CACTGCAGCCTGAAATGAGTCCTACACTTAAAAGGTATTCTGGCCATTACAGGGATTAGTGTGACCTACGCTCACACCACATCAGGATGTCATCTCATCTGATCTTACAAGTAAAGTAAGATTGGGCTTAGTAGAACTTGAATAGAAGATCTGGTGCAAGGAAGTGGGGTTCGTGATTCAGTAGGTGGTGGTCTGACAATTCTACAGTGTCTCAACCTGGTATAAAGGAAACTAAGTTACTGGAGGTATGGTCTGTGATAATGATGTAAAACTGAGATCCTGAGAACTTACGGTTATTAAAGGGTCACTTGTGGTTTGTGTAAGAGTGGGGGCATTAACACCTGGTATCCTGGCCAAATTTCAGCTTGGGTCTACGTAACTGATATACTTAAATCTTCCATGCAGTTTCAATTGGATATACCATTTACTTCCTTTCCTAAATTGTTAGAAATTCTGCATTTCACTGGTATTTTTGAATGATGCATGTCTGTAGCTCGCATATCAATTTCTGAAGTGGTTTGAAATGAAAGTTACAAAATTTATTCTGCTACCCAAGAGGTGTATTCCAAATTATCTTCAGTAGCAATGGCCTAATGTAGAACTGAGACAGATTAAAGTGTGCCAAGTTCTATTATCTATAGTTTTATCAGTAAAAATTACGGTAGTATTAAAATAGATCTAGTTTCTTTTGTAGTATTTGCTTAACAAAATATTTATATCCTGCACAATATTATCCTAGACCACATGGCTTTGGGGGGTTTTTTTGGTGGTGGTTTTTTCTTTTTTTTTTTTTTTTGCATCAGTCTTATAATACGAACAGCTATATGTTTGGGGAAATAACCTTTATTTATCTCTGAAACTTTTTTTTTTTAAGGGTGTGAGCAACTGCACACTTCCCCTAGCCAGTTGCTGTTGGGGGATATCAAGGAGAATTCCAGGAACTCTGGGAAATTGACAAGTCACTGCATTGTGTTTGCTTTAAACTATACTGAACTCTACATTTTGACTTAACCCTTAGGACATGTGCCCATGCTGGGTAGGTCTATGTGGGGGAAGGGGGAGGGGGCAGTAGTAGAGAGTCTCAGAGCCTGGTCAGCTGGTGCTGTTTTGCTGCATAGACATACCCAAAACCTTCTCTCTCCCCCTCCCCCTCTTTCCTTCCTACCTTCTTTGCAACGCGAGTTCTGCCTCCTTCGTTGGTTATAAATTTCTTGTTTTCTCAAAGTGGTTCTCAGCCCCTTCATCTCCATCATCACTACATGAACTCCCCAAAAGTAAGCTGAGAGCTTGCTTTACCTGATAGTGCCTCTGGCCTTGCCTTCCTGCAAAGAGCAGCTCTGAGCTTCAGTTGCATTCTCCTGATTCTCCCACCCACAGCTCTGAATGTGACTGTCCTTCCCTGGCCTAAAGGAGCTGTTGAGAAGTGGCAAGTTTATGTCCGGAGGAAAGGGTTCCCATCGTGGTAGAGGCAGGTTGCGGGAAGTCACTATTCCCAAGTTTCCAAGCACCATGACCCCCCCGCCCCCCAGGTTACCCCCATTTCATTTGGAGTACTGGATAATTTCCTATGACATCCACAGTAGGGCTGGCTAGTTTCCTTAGAGTTAATAACTTTTTATTCTGAAGTGGGTTTGAAAGCACAGCCCAGTTTAGTATAATGTTGAGATGACAAGATATTCTCTCTGAATTCAGGGGCCAGGTATTGCTAGTCTTTTAAAAAAAAATATTTCTGTAAGAATCAAAATGCCGTGGAAGCTGCAAATTTGTTTCTTGATGGCTTTTATAAAGATGGTCATGAGTTTAAATGTATCTGGTAGAAGCCCAAACCTGAACAGGTGGAGCCACGTTTTCTCTGCTTACCTTCAAGAATCAATTCGTTACCTGTCTGAATGGCATGAGCATTTGCTGTACAAGCCTTGAAATTACACCACGTCTTATTAAAAGCACAGAAAAGATGCACCCTTTTTAAAGTGCACAGATTTATTGGAGGAGCTCTGGCCTCTCCACTTCTTCTGCGACTTGGTTTTTAATAGTTTTGTTTGTGGCATACTGATATGGTGTGATCACAAATGGTTAGCAACGTCAGCACAGCTCTTAATCCTTAATCTCTTTCTAGTCTGCATATTGCAACAATCTAGTCACCAAATGCAACAGTGAAAAGAAGCACTACTGCCTGGGAATGAATGGTGTTCTTGTCTCCCTGAATGAAGTCTTCTTTTAGTGGGTCATTCCAGGAAGAAGCTATTAAAGGGCCATTTGGTAGCCTCCTTTATTGGGGGAAGGCATGAGCAAAGAGCTGCATCTTAAATTGCACTCAGAGGTGAGACAAGAACTCATCCTGGTCTCCGGAGTCGGGAGTTTCATAACCATGGGTCCTCCACCAAAAACTCCTTGCTCCTAAAAGCTTCAGCCTGAACTTCTGAATGGTAACGTTCCTGTTGAGCGTAGGATTTACAGTGGATGTGACAGGAGAGATCACCCTTGAGTTATCTCATACTGTCGAAAACTTTGAGATGCTGTGAGCCTGTTCTCTCTCTCTGTGTCTTCCTATCCCAAGGAAACTTTCTGTAATCCATTGTTAAAATAAACCATCCCAATGCTGACCTTAGCAACACGGCCATTTTTAGGAAGCAGCAGTTCTCAGTTTACACTGAGACTGCATTTGAAAATTGTTTTTTATAATTGGCACTTAAACTTACTGCTGCTGGTGGCCATTTTGCTGAGAGAATCATTTGTGACAGCATTACCTAAGCCCACTGCAGGGGACTAGAAATCTTTTCCCATCCTCCTCTAATGCAGTTACAATAAAAAAATTTCTTCTATCTCCATATGTAAACATTTAAATACCATTTCTCTTTCTTATCGTTCATCGTGACTGTACTTTAATGGGAAAGAAGTAGGTAATCCTGTGATTGGACTGTGGTCCATTTCACTGTGCTGCTCAGCCCTGGAGAGAAGGGACAACACATGAATGATTCTTCAGACTCCCCATTTCACCTGTCAAGCAGTCTTGTTCCCACAAATCAAGGATGTGTGACTCCCCCCCATCCCCCCCGACTAGTCTTGCTAATTAATTCTCATCCTGCCGTATGTACTTATGTGTCTGTCTGAGTGGTGCTGCAGATTAAACCCACCTTCATTGTTTATTTGTAGCTTTATACCAGTCTTGGTGTGGCTTTCCCTATTTCATAACTGTTCCTAAAGTGCCATCTTGTGGCAGTCCTAGAACTCTTAATTATTTTTCTTTCCCCTAACCAATCTGCTGGGGGTCACCTACTACAGGGCAGGCCTAGCGGAGAGAATGGCAGGGCGCCGCTGGCTGTCACCTTCGGCCCCCGGCTGGAACCCCTCCGGTGCATTATTGGGGATCTACGGCCTGTCCTGGGGGATGGCCCAGCACTCTCGCAGGTCTTGGGGGGCGGGCCAGTCCTTGTCTGCGGACAGCCCCCGAACCTGAAGCGGGTGCTCACCAGCAACCACATACCACACGGCAGGGCCACTGGCCCAGGGGCCTGTCCTTGCAACAAGGCCCATTGCCAACTGTGCCCACATGTCTGTTCAGGGGGCGCCATCGCGGGGCCTGATGGCATCGGCCGCACTGTCGGAGGCTCGTTCACCTGCACGTCCGCCAATGTGATGTGTGCCGTCGTGTGCCGGCGGTGCCCCTCTGCCATGTGCATTGGTCAAACTGGACAGTCTCTACGTAGAAGAGTAAATGGACACAAATCAGATGTCAAGAATTATGGCATTCGTGGACCGGTCGGAGAGCACTTCTGTGTCTCTGGTCACGCGACTGCAGACATGAAAGTCGCTATTTTGCAACAGGGGAACTTCAGATCCAGACTCCGGCGGGAGACTGCTGAATTGGAATTCATTTGCAAATTGGATGCAGTTAACTTGGGCTTGAATGGAGACTGGGAGTGGCTTAGTCATTATACAAGGTAGACTATTTCCCCTTGTCTCCCCCCCCCCCCCCCACCCGACATTCTTGTTCTTGTCCTGGATTTGTTCTGGAAATGGCCCAACTTGATTATCATACACATTGTAAGGAGAGTGATCACTTTAAGCTATTACCAGCAGGAGAGTGGGGTGGGAGGAGGTATTTTTTTCATGCTTTGTGTGTACATAATATCTTCTAAACTTTCCACAGTATGCATCCGATGAAGTGAGCTGTAGCTCACGAAAGCTTATGCTCAAATAAATTGGTTAGTCTCTAAGGTGCCACAAGTACTCCTTTTCTTTTTGCGAATACAGACTAACACGGCTATTACTCTGAAACCTGAAAATTGATATGAAGGACGCTCTACCTGTATCTGCAACTCCCACTGGTTGTCAGTAGGGTTTGTATGCTGGTAGATTAAGGAGATAGGTGGCTCTTAGAGATAGCTGTGGTTTTAGCTACTTAACATTAACCTTTGTGTTGTTGAACAGCCCTCTGAAGCCCAGTGATGCTGCACCCAGTGCATGCATCTGTCACAATGGTTTTAAGTGTGATATTGCAAAAGTATAAGTAGCCTTTTTAAGTAGAGAAGTTGAGTGATCAGCATCTATATCTTAGAGAATAGTATTGGCCAGATTTATGACAGAAGAGTAAGGCTTTTATTACTTGTATAACTTATTTACTCCAGAAAGCCAAACTCTGATACAATATTTGGTTTTCAGTGGAGTCCCATGCTGGCTTCACAGAGGGGTGATCCTGCTTCATGTGTTGACATTGTGTGTTGTCTAGTGACTACAGCAGGTGACAGGAAGTCAGAACTTCTAGGAGTCAAGTCAGGACTTACTTATTTCATCACCAGTCATTCAACCTCTCTAAGTTTTGGGTTAACCCATGTGGAGAAATAAGTTCAGTACCTACCTACCTACTTCTCAGAGAGGCAGATTCTTAATTGTTTGCCAATTGCCTAGAGATCTTTGGATGGTAGGAGCTGTGTGTACGCTTGTTGCAGTTAATAAATAACTGGAGATGGATGTCTCTCTCTCATCTCTACCCCCTCCAGTGTTCCCAACTCCTGCCCGGCCAGTCCACGTGGTGCTGGATCCTCAGGATATCGCTTTGTTCAGAACATTACCTCGGACCTGCAGCTGGCAGCAGAGTATGCAGCAAAAGCGGCATCAGAGCAGCAGGCAGACGCATCTGGCGGGGACAGCCCAAAGGTTCAGAGAAACATTATCTGCCCAGCAATGCTTTGGGAGGCTTTCAGGCCTGGCAGTATACTGTAGTTAAACAAGTCTAAAGATAATTTATCCATTGTACATATGTGTTGTGAGTTACGTATTTCCATTGGGATACTTAACGCCCCTGAGGGTCACTGGGTCGTCCCCCTCAGTGTCAGTCACTGGCTCATGGATATCTCCGCTAGGTTAGCTGCCCAAATTTATTTTCTGCATTCACTTAAAAGGTCAAGTTACAGGAATCTTTCTTTTCTGATGGACCATGAAGCCTGACATGCAGATGTGCCCCGAAGAAGCTATATATTTGAAAAGTATTAAAACCAAGGAGTCTTATTTTTCTTCTTCAATTAACAGCTCCACAGATGTACGTAACACTTTGTAAAATACACTGAGGGAAAAAAGACAGGGTCCCTGCCTTGAAGAGCTTGCTGTTTAACTCAGGCAGAATACACAGGCCTGCAGTTCAGGGACAAGAGGTGAGGAGAGCAGTGTAGAGAGGATTAGCTTTAAAAACATAACAAACAAAAAGTAAGTCATAAGGAAGGAATTCAGTCTTGATGAAGTGACCTTATACCCAAGCTGAAGATGTAGGTTCTCTCTTGGTAATGCCAGAGTTGGGATCTAGCAAGGGAGCACGATACTGGATAGCTATGAAGATTGAATTCTCCCCTAAGCCAGGGTGGCTGTTCTTGGTGCAGATGCACTGATGGAGCAATGTGAGGAACTGGAAATAAAATAAACCTTGCTAGTGCATTTCTTCAATTTCTAGAAGGGAGGGGTCCCTCCTGGAGACGGTGGAGCAGGACCAAGTCATGCTTGGTGCTAGTACCTAGAAGCAGGAATGGATGGAAAATTTTAAAAACGTAACAAACCTTTGGAACTTTTTTTTCCAACAGAAAATATTGTTTGGTAGAAAGTTTTGCTATATCTAGAAGGCATCCAGTATCTGGCTTGTGCATAAACTCCAGCATAAGAATCCTTATTCTGAAATTAAGCTTCCTCTGTTGTGTCCTCTCTTTTAGGATGAGTCCAAACCACCATATTCATATGCTCAGTTAATTGTGCAGGCCATATCTTCAGCCCAAGACAGGCAATTAACACTAAGTGGGATCTACGCCCATATCACCAAGCATTATCCATATTACAGGACTGCTGACAAAGGCTGGCAGGTGAGTTCTTGACACCTACAAATTTTGAAATTCCTATTAAAGTGCTTATCCTAAAAAGAAACACATTTGGTGAGGGATCAGGGCACTGGGGTAGTGGGAAGCTGTTCCAGTCAATTTAGGGAATAATCAGTTTAATAACATCACTTAAACTTTTTGTTTGTGGGCAGTGTTTGTAAAGGCTATTCTACAGAAACAATCCACATGGCTCAGGGGCCTCTGGTTTTCTAATGCCCATCCTTGCCACTCTTGTCACTCACCATGCCTGCATTTCTAGAGACATCTTTGACATGACTGTCATCCCCATTTTCATTTCCTTCCATGCCCTTGCTACCAGCAGCCACTTCATCAGTCTCATCTCCCCTGTTCTCTCTCCAAATTTTCCTTGACCCCTGAAAAATCTTGACGATGTCCAGTTATTTAGAAGAGGATGCTCAACAGACCTCTCCATTTGCGATTGTTCCACTTCAGCATGGCTGTCTACAACTCTGTTCTCTTCCTGCTTTTAATCACAGTAACCCTCATGCCCTCCACGACTGTTGCTTTCCTTTTCCAGAGTATGGTCGCTCTAGTATAAATACCATCATGGACCGCTAAGGGTCTGAAAACCACAAGCTGGCCCCTTGTGTTGCACGTCTCTGCATTTAGCATACTATTGAGAAATCTCACCAGCTTCTCTGTACAATTTGTCCATAGCTGACAATGCTGTGTCAGACTTGGGTATTCAGCTGCTTGAGTGTTGCTTTTAATGTGTCAGTAGCCAAGGCTTCAGCCACACTCACCCTTTCCCAGTGCCACGTCTCTGAACTGGGTGTTGTCACTTCCAGGCACACAACACTGGTGCACTGGAGAATCACGGGCAGCTGTTGTTCCAGTCAATTTAGGGAATAATCAGTTTAATAACATCACTTAAACTTTTTGTTTGTGGGCAGTGTTTGTAAAGGCTATTCTACAGAAACAATCCACATGGCTCAGGGGCCTCTGGTTTTCTAATGCCCATCCTTGCCACTCTTGTCACTCACCATGCCTGCATTTCTAGAGACATCTTTGACATGACTGTCATCCCCATTTTCATTTCCTTCCATGCCCTTGCTACCAGCAGCCACTTCATCAGTCTCATCTCCCCTGTTCTCTCTCCAAATTTTCCTTGACCCCTGAAAAATCTTGACGATGTCCAGTTATTTAGAAGAGGATGCTCAACAGACCTCTCCATTTGCGATTGTTCCACTTCAGCATGGCTGTCTACAACTCTGTTCTCTTCCTGCTTTTAATCACAGTAACCCTCATGCCCTCCACGACTGTTGCTTTCCTTTTCCAGAGTATGGTCGCTCTAGTATAAATACCATCATGGACCGCTAAGGGTCTGAAAACCACAAGCTGGCCCCTTGTGTTGCACGTCTCTGCATTTAGCATACTATTGAGAAATCTCACCAGCTTCTCTGTACAATTTGTCCATAGCTGACAATGCTGTGTCAGACTTGGGTATTCAGCTGCTTGAGTGTTGCTTTTAATGTGTCAGTAGCCAAGGCTTCAGCCACACTCACCCTTTCCCAGTGCCACGTCTCTGAACTGGGTGTTGTCACTTCCAGGCACACAACACTGGTGCACTGGAGAATCACGGGCAGCTGTTGATTCCACATGCTGGCTGGAGCAGCATGGCTGGTCGCACTTGGCAGTATAATCAGAATAAGTACATTCTGCCTGCCCAGTTTTCCTCTGCACTACCAACTGGTTATGGAATTCTTCACTTCCCACCTTATCCTGCTCCACAGTGTTGCTGTGCATTGTTAACCAGCTGCTGCATTATACTGCAGAGATGGCTGCATTTCAGTGGTGGGTGAAGTGGTCTCTATATGTCCCTTCCTTCCCTACCAGCAGTGTTGTAAGGCTCTGTAAAGCACATCTGTTGCTCTTTGAAAGCTGCTAGAGAAGCACAAAAATGGGGGCCGGGAGGAAGAGGAATTAGAAATGATTTTATGCAGTTGTGGGCTCACTGTGCCTGTCCTGCAACATAGCGGTGCTAAACCTAGTCAGTGATAGGACTGTTCCCTGGGAATTCAGTTGTTGTTTATATAGATGGGTAATATCTACAGCACCCTACAGTGCTAGGTCCGTGCCAGACAGCTAATGTGTCCCTCCCAATATCTAGTCAGTCTAAAAAAAAAAATCACTGGCCTGCTTTATGATTATTGTGGTGTGTGGTGGCCTCTAGTGGTTCATGTTAGCACATGTGATCAATTTGCTGGTAGGCGGTGCAGCCCAACCTGACAGTTTTCCACTTGAAGACAAAAAAGCCGTCTTTGAAGTGTGTTCTAAATGTTTTACAATACATATCTCTTTTGTTTATGCTTTTCCAAAGCCCCTACTTCCATATCTTGCAGTGGAAGAGCTACTGCCCTCACTGGTTCTAGGAGTTGTTTCGAAGGGGCAGCTAACAGTACAGTGCCAGGCAAATCTATCTTTCTCCATAGTTAATGGAAACTATCTGTATTTGTAACTTATTTAGCCATATTTTTTTCTTATCACTTCCATTCCCCTTGTGAGTCTTGGTAGCTGGGTAGCTTGTTACTGTTTGTGGCAGAGATTCTGAAGGGGATGGATGTTACTTTTCTGGTCTGTGAAGCCTAGTTTGTCTGTCTTTGGTGTTTCCACATTGCATAGTAATCAACTCATTCCTCTGCTTCCTTCAGAACTCCATTCGGCACAACCTTTCCTTGAACCGTTACTTTATCAAAGTTCCACGCTCCCAGGAGGAGCCTGGAAAGGGCTCCTTTTGGCGAATCGACCCTGCCTCAGAAGCCAAGCTAGTCGAACAGGCATTCCGAAAACGGAGACAGAGAGGGGTGTCTTGTTTTCGAACCCCTTTTGGACCCCTCTCCTCCAGGTAAGTTTGGGTCCCTTTTTATTTTGTTCCAAATCTCTATAACTGTTTTGGTGTCATTTCATAGTAATGCAGAACTTATTCTCACAGGAGTAAGTGGCTTACTGTGCAAAGCCCTGCCGTTCATTTCTGAAGAGTTGGGTCCACATGTGGATTAGGTCGTAGGAGAAATCATGTGGTATTTAAACTAGTCTCTTTCAGATAACATCACATCATTTGACATGATTGTCAGCAATGGAGTAGAAGGGATGTAGTATGGGACTAAATGAAACTGCCTCAGCCAATGGTATGGGTGTGGAGGAGAAGCTTAGCTGTTTGGACTAATTGATCCTAGCTCGTGCAGTGTTACCCTTTGCTCTCACAGGGACCAAATTTTGTCTAAATGTGTGTGAAGCTAAGGGAAAATTAATAATAAAAAGGTGACATCCACGATAGGGCGTGTATGAGAGAAGGATATTGTTTGTTTGAATGTTAATGAAAATGTGAGTCCCATAGAGAATACAGTTCTGTTTTATAGATGATGTTTTTTTGTTAAAATGAATGCAAATAAAGTCAGGATCCCTCACAGTTCAATGATATCTAGTTAATTTATTCAGTGAGATTCTATAACTAAACACCACACCCAGTGAGTATAGTATTAGAAATAACTTAAAAGACCCAGGAATTAGAAATCCATAATCCTCTCTGCTAAAATATTTATGCTAGGCTGCTGGTCTAATGTACTGACAAGGGGGATTCTAGGAGTGACTTCAGAACTCTTTGTCACTTTAACTAGCTGGGTTTGGGAATGTTGCGGAGGTAACTGCTTGAAGTTCAGTGTTCTTTGTACTTTTAGACTTTTCTAATGACTCAATCCAGAGTGTCAAAGTGTTCTCATTTAAGGCTGGTTACTTTCCCTGGTCAGAGGGGAAATGGAGTGCTTTCAGCTGTTCCCTTGGGTTTATGAACAGTGACTCTCTTAAATGGTGCTTGTACTTTTGGGAATTCCCGACCTTTGTAATACTGACAACTTGAAGATCACATTTGCATGAAAACTTTGTATCTGCTATAATTGCAAATAAAGCCTGCAATTCCTGTTACTTAAAATTAGCAAAAAATACAGTTCTTCAGTGTACTTTGTGAATTGGCAGCACTTAGTGGAGTTTCACTGTTTTTGCCTCTCTCAGGACAGGAATAGTGGGAGAGGAGCCTTGGCGTCATCTCCCATCTAACAGAGGAATAGAAAAACTCTCATTAAATGTTTCATGTTTTGTTTAAATTGTAGCACGTACTAATCAAAGGGACTGTCAAAAACAGGATTGGAAAAACAAAGCCAGCCAACTAAAACCTATTAAAAAAAAAAAAATCCATTTGAGTAGCCCATTTAGATTCAGATTTCTCCCTACTAAGAGTGGCATTGCTGCAAAGATGCCATGCTATTGGCTTCATTGGAGGGAGTAGGACGGTAGAAACAGCACAAGAATGGTTTCTTAGTGCTGTGGAAGAATAGAAGCTCTTCTGCTGAGGCAGTAGATTTTGGAGACGCCTTTTGTTCTCTGCTACAGCTTTGTTGGCCAGCATGTATTCTTTTGACTCTGTTTGCACTGGTTTGTGTTTCAGGAGTGCCCCTGCCTCTCCTACTCATCCCGGCCTGCTGTCTCCTCACTCTAGTGGCCTACAGACTCCAGAGTGCCTGTCCAGGGAGGGCTCACCCATTCCACATGAACATGATTTTGCGTCAAAGTTAGCCTCTGTTCCAGAGTATCGATATTCACAAAGTGCGCCTGGTATGTAGCCCCTATTTTGCAGGAGATGGTGTTTATTGTGGTGGGAGGGTGTTATATATTTCAAATAAAAGCCTCATCTCTCCATACTTAACCACTGGAGGCTGGGAAAGGGTATATAGCTTTAGACTGTCTCTTTCTTATTCGCTTCAGTTTCATGGTGATGGGATGGGGAGTTGAGGGAGTCAATCTGAATGGGGATTTGGATCTGTCCTCTCTCCTCTTCAGCCATTTAGGTCGGTTGCTCTTTGGGGCTGCTGTCTCCACCCAGAGTTCCATGTGACCTGATAATTTAAAAAGCACTGAGCAGGGGTGGAGTTTTTCACTCATATGCTGGGAAAGTGAAACTGCTGGGTGGTGATAGGTCTGTATGAACCCCATGATTGTGCAACCCATTTAAAATCCTGCACTGTGTGTACACACACTGCATACAAAAACTATACTCAGAATGTTGTTGAGATTGCAAAGCCAGTCGCTCAAAAATTAGGAAGTACAAGATTGACTGTTGTCTGAATAACTTGAATTCTTTTCCAAATACTGCACCGCTCAGCATTATGCATTATTAGAAATGTCTCAGTAAATGAGTCTGAGTAAATGAGTGTTCTAACTTGCGTATCTCTTCCGTTTCAGGATCACCTGTCAGTGCCCAGCCGGTGATCATGGCTGTTCCTCCCCGGCCATCCACTTTAGTGGCAAAGCCGGTAGCTTACATGCCAATAGTGACTTCTCAGCAGCCTTCTGGTCATGCAATCCATGTAGTGCAGCAAGCACCCACTGTTACAATGGTCAGGGTTGTAACCTCCTCCTCAAGCTCTGCTAACGGATACATACTGACAAATCCGGGCCCAGGCGGCGGTGCTCACGAAGCAGCAGGAACAGTGCTGGATTTGGCTGGTGATCATCGAGGTAGTCTGTTTCATTTCCCTCCCTACTTGACAAAGGAAGATTTGTCTGGACTTGTAGGGTTTTTCTGCACACCTATTTCACGCCCTGGGTGTTTAGCCCTTGACAAAAGAGGTCAGTCATAAGATACAATTTAAATTGGGTAAGAGCTTTCACACTAGGTCTGCCTAGCAGTAAGCAGGAGAATTGAGCTCTGTGTGGCCTTTAGTTAGTAAAAATCTAGCTAGAATTTTACTGGTGACCAAAGCTGAATATATGGCTGTGAATATTTATTCTAGTTCTGGTGTCCACCTACAATATGCTTGTGGACTGTGGCCCATTCTGATCAATTGGGAAAATTACCAAAAGGCATTGCTATCCCAAAACAAAACTCCCATCATCCCAAGGTATTCTTTTCTGTTTTGAAAGCCAGCACAGAGAAGGCTGAAGCTGTTTGTTTCAAGGTGACATTGATGGTAATTGAGACTCTGTGTCCTTTTTCTGTGGATATGTAAAATATATTCCAAGGGAGGAAAGGTGTAAGCCTCTGGAAATGAGTTTTGTAGAAGTGCATATAGTGTTTGTGATTAGAAGACTCTGCAAAAGCCAATTATTATAAGGATCACTTTATATCTTTCTAAACTGGCCAACTCTGGCCTCAGTGGTTTTAGTGAGCTAAACCCTGAAAATACCTAATGTTCTATAAAAGGATCATTCTCTGTCTGCTTTCACTTGGGCAGTATGTCCTTTTCTGCAGCTCTTCTCATAATTGCATGATATTATTGTACAAATGTACAGTTAATGTACAAGCACAATAAGAACAGTGAGTTTCGTTGGGTGTTTGTGCAGAAGAGTGATTTTTTTGCTTACAAGCTGGGATGAGGAGGGGAGGGCAGGGCAAGACAAAAGACCCTCCCCAATAGTAATATGGGACACTCAGCATTTGCTTTGGTGTTGGCTTGCTTTTGACCACCTTCAAACTTCCCTGAAGTTTTTGAATAGATCCCCTCTGTGGTTCTCCAGGCTTCCCAGCAGCAATCTGTGGGCTTGCCTACACTTGTAGTGGTACAGTAGCACAGCCTCAGCACTTCAGTGTAGATGCTGCCTGCGCCGACAGGAGAGGTTCTCAGGTTGGCATCGGCAATCCACCTCTCCAAGAGGTGGTAGCTAGGTCAGAAGAATTCTTCTGTCAACCTACCACACTGTACACCGAGGGTTAGGTCAGCTTAACTGTGTCACTGTGGGTATGGATTTTTCACACTCCTGAGAGATGTAACTACTAAAAAGACGTAACTTTTTAGTGTAGAGCAGGCTTCTGTCTCTCTCTGATCCTCTGCCATTGCTAGATCCTCTTCCCCCCTCCCCCCGCTCAGCCTCTGCCTTCCCCAGCTCCACTCTTCATCCTCTCTGCTATCTCCTTTTCCCTCCCCTTTGCCTTTCCTACTGTCTTCCTTCTCCTCGCTGGCTCTCTTGTCTCTCCTAATCTGTCTCTTCCCTACTTCCCCGACCACTCCTCTTTACACCCTTCTACCAGCCTGACACCCTGCCTGAGCTCTCCTCTCCTATTCTTCCATATCTCCCTTGTTTCGCTGATGTTAAGATGGGGAAGAGAAGGGGGACGTTGGGGTCCTCCCTGCTGGATCAGCTTCCTCACTTCCTGCCTGCCTGGGCAGACATCACTCCTTTTCTCCTCATCTCAGAGTTGGCTGGAGAGGTCAGGCAATGAGCTGAGTCAGTTGCAGAGAGAAATCTCAGTTGCAGCCTTTGGCTGGCCAACAAAGGGACAGGGTTGCTCCTTGAGGCAAGAGTTCTGGTAGCTGCTCCCTGCCTGTTGAGCAGATCAGTTAACCTGGAGGAATGAGGAGGAAGGTTTTAAACACTGCCGCACTAAAACAGCAGCATCAGTCCAGGCACTGCCCCCTTTCTGCTGGTTCCTTCCCCTATCCTTCATAGCTAGTTGAAAGTTGTTGTGCACAAAGGCAGGTGAAAATTGAAGGGGTCTGTTTCCTCTCCACTCCACTCCCCTGTGATCTCACCCAAGTGTAGGCATGAGAGTGAGCTGTCCCTATCTCCACAAACACTGGGGCTGTTTGATACTGTTATGGTTCCTTCCCTGTTGTGTAGCTGAGGCTCAGGGTGGTTGGTGTACAGGCAGGGAACTCGCGTAGTCTAGTTTCCACTGACTATTATTCATGCCAAAGTAGTAACATGCAGATAAGGAAAAGAACGATGGGGAGAACCTTTTTATGCCTCAGGATGACATTTTTATAACCTTGTTTCTTAGTTGGCCTGCTTGTGCCTTAGAGGAAGTCTATTCCTGACATTGGTAAATAGTTGCATAGATATTTTTGTGTTAGGTACAGTAAGAAAACTTGTGGAGTTACTGAAAAATCATGGCTGGATGTTTTGAAATGCTTCAGAATAACCATTTGTTCCTCATAGGTAGTAATCCTTCCCCATTCTTATATCACTGGTTGCAATGTTCTTCTCAGCCTTCTCGGTGCGGATCCCATTGTGTCAATCGGCCCACAGAAAGTGTTCCCTGGAGAACCTGATCCTTCATAAAGATTTCTGGGTACTTCACATCTCCCGGGATCAGGCCAACACCAGTCAGCCATGTCCTCAACCCCTTCTTGTTTTGGAGCCCAAATGTGTTACTCTGAGACTAAGCTGCATTGACCTGAGAAGTGATGCTTCCCATCCCCAAGAGATACTGATTTGTGGGATTCATCCAAGGCAAATTATTTGATGGTATCTGGATACTTTGGCTGTATGTGCTTGGGTATTTTCATTTTGTCTAATCTTGGGGTATGCATTATTGTTAGCATATTAATGAAAATGAAGACCACTCAAGGTGAATGATTCTCCTTTCTGTTTAATATCCAAACAGGCCTGGATGAGAAACCAACAATTGCGTTTGCCACAATACCCACTGCCAGTCGAGTCATCCAAACAGTTGCCAGTCAGATGGCTCAAGGTGTCCCAGGGCAAACTGTTACCATCCTTCAGCAGGCAACTCCAGTGACCATTGGACAACACCAACTCCCTGTTCGGGCAGTGACACAGAATGGGAAGCATGCCATCCCCACCAACAGCATCACCGGCAGTGCTTATGGTATGGCTTTCCTTTATGGCTGTGTGCTCCATCACCTGATGTAGTCACATGCACTGCAAACTCTAGAGTTCTTCTACACATAGGTCCTGACATACGAGTTCTCCCATACATCCAATTTGAAATGTGTGTGCAAGATGTGTATTGTGCAACATTTTGCACCACTAAATAACAGTTTTTCTCCCCCAACCTTCGTGCTCTTAAGTCCTTGCGGGGAAAAAGCTCTGCCATCTCAAACAACATAGAGGCCTTCTAGACCAGCCCCAGACACTCAAGACAGGTCTAAGTATTAGCTAGACCATCCCTGACAGGTGTTTAATCTAACCTGCTCTTAAGAATCTTCAATGATAGAGATTCTACAACCTCCCTAGCCAATTTATTCCAGTGCTTAACTACCCTGATAGGAAGTTTTTCCTAATGTCCAACCTAAACTGCCCTTGCTGCAATTTAAGCCCATTGTTTCTTGTCTTATCCTCAGAGGTTAAGGAGAACGGTTTTTCTCCCTCCTCCTTGTAATGACCTTTATATACTTGAAAACTGTTATCATGTCTGCCACTCAGTCTTCTCTTCTCCAGACTAAACAAACCCAGTTATTTCAATCTTCCCTCATAGGTCGTGTTTTCTTGACCTTGAATAATTTTTGTTGCTCTTCTCTGGACTTTCTCCAATTTGTCCACATATTTCTTGAAATGTGGTGCCCAGAACTGGACACTGTACTCCAGTTGAGGCCATATCAGTGTGGAACAGAGCAGAAGAATTACTTCTCGTGTCTTGCTTACAACACTCCTGCTAATACATCCCAGAATGATGTTCGCTTTTTTTGCAACAGTGTTACACTGTTGACTCATTTAGCATGTGATCCACTATGACCCGCACATCCCTTTCCGCACTATTCCTTTCTAGGCAGTCATTTTCTATTTTATGTGTGTGCAACTGATTGTTCCTTCCTAAGTGGAGTACTTTGCATTTGTCCTTATTGAATTTCATCCCATTTGCTTCAGACCATTTCTCCAACATCGCCTCTGCAGAGTCCAGTCCCTTTTTTTTGTCCTTGACAATGCATCTGTCTATCCCTTCCCCACCTCCCTCCAGTCTCTGTTCCATCTAGGGTTAGCATCTTTTCAAAAATAAATGTGGCCTTCCTTGAGCCCATTTTCTCTTACTTTGACTTTTCTTGCTGTGAAAAAGTAGAAATTTTATGTAATGGTTTTTATGAATTCTGCACTTGGCATTGCTGCCCAGTGGAGGCTAAAGGGTTAGGTCTGCTCTTGGGGCAGAACAGGAGACAGGAGTGGTGTGAGAGACATCTGGGTTCTTGGTGGAGTGAATGGGCTGTTTAAAAAACTGATTGAAACCGTCCCAGCTCAAGGAGGATCCAGAGACAATGAGAAACCCCCGCAACTGAACAATCAACATTTGACAGCAAGCAGCTCCAGCAGGTGGGGTATGTGAACTCCGCATGGCTCTGCCTGAGAAGTGACAGGAGGGGGATAAGAGTTGTTTTTTGGAAGAGGCCAGACAGCTCTCACCTGGGACTGACAAAGGGACAGAGACCCTGAAATGGAATCCAGAGCAGCGTGGCTGGTGGATAGCACTGGCTTGGCCAGATGGACTATGTCTTAACCTTTTTCTCTAGGCTAACCTAGGGACTTGCAATGCTTTTTTCCAGTTCACTAATAAGCCCTACTCTGTTTTAGAGAAACTGCCTGGTGTCACTGCAAATACATGCTGAGGTGCATTAGCCTACAAAGAGTGTAAAAGTCTCTGATTGGGGGCTGTGTTAGTTGTACTCACTGGGCAGAGCTCATGGTGTGAAGCAGGAGTGCAGGAGCCCAGAGGCTGTCTTGGAGGCAGTGAGGCTGTGTGGCCTACTGTGAAGAAAGAGTAGGATCAGTTGGAGGCCTGGCACACTGAAGGGTTCCTCTTGTGGATCCGTGACACTTGCTAGTCAACCCTTGCCCTCAATATTACATAATAAATCTTCCCTAGTGCTCTTCTGACACCACTAAACCCTCAACTCTGTTCTCAGAAAATCCTTTTCTCCATACCTCACTGTCTCACCCCCAGTCTCTTCTCACTCATCAAAGTCTTGGGGAAAGAACCAGTACTATGGTGCATGGTTTCGTCTTGTAGAAATGGAGAGGGCCTACTGGATCTTCTACATCAATGCAGGATTGTTCCATATAGGATATTTTCTAGTAATTAGTCCAGTCTGGTTTCCCTTGGGATGTTATTCTTGTGCTTCCTTGGGACATTAGGTATTGTCACTTTAAGGGTAATGACTGGTGGTGGCAGAACCCTAGCACTTTGAGTTTTGCCTTCCCTTCTTATGAAATCAGAGTCCCAGCACCCCCACTCTGACTCTTACGGGCAGTCAGAGTGGAAGACTTCGTCGGGATTTATGCTGGCTTTCTTATAGCATCTTTTGGATTGTCCTACGAGTAATTTCTTTGGTTTAGTCCGCTGCTGGATGAAGGGTTACCACCATTTTTTTTTTAACCTTTCCCACCAGAGTTCTACCTAGTTTTACCTTGTCCAGTCATGGAAACCAGTAATGAGTAGCTGTAGTTTCCTCAATGTATAAACCTGTTAAATAAGAATAGAGATTAAAAATAAGTGGAGCTGGTATTATCCTGCAGTAGCATGAGACTGATGTAGAGTAGGACATTTGATTGCTAATTATTCTTCATTTATGTTTAAGGTGCTCTGAAATCACTGAAATTTGTCTTACTCTTTTTTGTAATCAGATGTGATTAGAATCTTTCCGGTGACACCACAGCTTTCCTGTTGAAGTGGTGCTAGAGTCTCTCTGCAGAGGATGCAGAGCTTGTATCTTTCCGACGCAGTTCACTATGCACAGCTGAAAAACATAGTTTCTTCCCTTAGGCTGACTGGGTTTTTAACATGTTTCCCACCCTGGGGTTTTCTCCTCCTAGAATTCCACTATGGCTTTTCTGAATAGTGGTCAGTGGTTTTCTCTCATCCAACCCTGACGGTCTTCTCTTTTTCTCATCCTGTTGACCTTACTGGTGCATGGCATCCTTCACAATTGCCTGGTGTAGTTTGCTGGACTCTGAAGGTCTTTGTTCTGCTTCCATTACTACTTATCCCTGTGCTCCTTTTTTGTGCCTCTAGTAGTGGACACTCCTGTATTGCTAGCTCTTACCATGTTGATGTACCTCACAGTTTGGCCATCTTTATCAATGTGAAGCTATTTTACGATTTTGCTAAGGTATAAGCGTATTCTGTCTTGCTGTGACTTTAAACTGTAGAAATTTCTACTCAGTAACAGAACTCTTGAAACTCTGTAAGCTGAAAGTAGGGTTACCTTATTTCCCAGTTCTTTACTATTGTGAGAGTTCAGCCTAGTTCTTGGAGAACGGGGCTGGAAGCCAGGAACTCCTGGGTTCTAATCTCAGCTCTGACAGGGACTCCCTCTGTGGCCTGAGGTAAGTCATTTAACCTTTTTGCCTTAGTTTCTCACCTGTAAAATGGAGACTAAACTACCCTCATGCCCCTAGCAGTGGTCCATCCAGGTCAGGTTTAAGGCATGCTGGTATGGCAGCTTGGGAGAAGCTTTTGATTGTGGTGCTCCATGCAGTAAGTTGAGCTTCAGTCTCATAGTCCAGGGATGCAGAATTTTTCAGTCATGGGCTAGGGGTTAAAACACAAGAGTAGGAGCTTTCCCAGCTGGAGACAATTCCTTAGCTCACTGGTGTTCGGGTTTATTTATGAATTGATGTGTGAAGCATTTTGAGAACTTTCAATGGAAGGTGCTAGGGAAGAGCAAGGATTAATGTTCTTAAATTCACATAGGCGTTTAACTAACTTTTTCTGAGTTTGTAAAGCACATCTGAAGGTGACAGTTGCATATCTCCAGTATGATTGCTCTCCAGTGTGATTTACTTCTGTCTTTTTTAGACCTGCAAATGTTGTTTAAATTTTTGGCTGAATTAACACTTTTTTCTCTCCCACTCCGCAGCTCTCACAAATCCGCTACAGCTCCTTGCAGCCCAGGCTAGCTCATCCACTCCTGTTGTGGTCAGCCGGATATGTGAGACAGCGACTGAAGACCCTGCAGCACCCTCGGGTGAGCCAGATGTCAAAAAACCCCGGATGGAAGAATCCAGCGGAGCAGTCCAGGCTCAAACTGGAGTAATCACATCAACAGCGCCTCAAGGACAGGCAACCAGTGAATGACGAATGACGATAGTAGGAATGTAGGTGGGGCAGTGGCATGAGCCTCGAAAGCAGTTTTCAAAGAAAAGAAAAACTACAACTGTAACAGTTCAAAATTTAGAGAATTACAAGCTCTTTTTAAAATTTACATTTTAAAGGGCAGGTCAACAACAGTTCTTAGAATCTCGAGGTGCCAAAAAGAATGAAAAAAATCCTCCCAACTACCTGTACCTGGAACTCAGTTCTGCCTTTACTTATGGAATATTTTCCCTCTTTTTAGATTTAAAAAAAAAATACAGACAACTGATTGTATGACTGCTGGGATTTTTTTTTTTTTTTTTTTTAAATCTCCTTCCCTTTGGGATGGGAGTTACAGTTCAGCATCTAAAGGAATGTATCACAGACACATCTGCTCTCTGGGAGGAAGGCTGATCATCTCTGATGCCTTGCTATTCTGCGCCTCAGAGCTTCAAAACATATGACCATTGAAAAGGGCCACCCAAGAAGATTTAGAAGGATGGGTGCAGCTTCTCGTAGGAACAGCATTAAAGTAACATGATACCAAACTGGGGGGAAAAGGCAGATTTTTTTTTTAACAAACCCACACCGTGAAACATCATTATACCCATGTTTGTTTATATTGGGATTTGGGAGGGTGAGCTACAGGGCTCAACCAGATGGATCTTCAAAATGTGGTTTCTGTCTATTCCCTGTGAGGGAAAGTGAGAAGACGGAGGAGCAGCATTAATCTATTTCTTTTAAAGAAAAGAGAAAAAAACAAAAAGGGGTGGGTTGTCCTCACACTGATTTCTCACAGTTATTCATCATCTGCTTCTGAATTCACGGAAAAATATCATAGTGACTGAACATGTGAGAAATGGCACCTTTGAAAGGTTCTGTGTACATTTGGTTTTCTAGTTGTTCATATGTCCCCCTGCTTCTGGGGCAACATGGTTTATTCATAACATTCTAGAATGAAACTACCGTCATCTTTTCTGTGAACCCAAGGGGCAAATGGTTAGCCTTCTGCATCAAAGTGGTTATCTCAGTCCTTTCTGGCAGTACGACCCTCTGGCCTGAAGACCAGATGGCCTAAGGTCAACAGCCCAGCACCAGCTTCAAACTTGGAGCTGGCATTGCTGGAAGTGGATTTCAGCAGGTGTCCCAGGGTGTGAAGCTGAGACAGTGAGGTTAAATTCCAGGGGTGAGGGGCAATGGGGATTATAGACAGTATTGAGAATGAATCTCATAAACTAATGCAAACCAAGAAAACGGAGGCCTCTTCTTTCTACATGAAAACTGTCAACTGCTGTTTTTAAAACAGGATTTTGAGGTTTTCCTTTGCTCCCCAACCCAGGCCTCCCAATGATATAGTTAGACAAAGGACCAGAAGTCAGTTGCATTTGTTAGGACTGGCCAGGAGTCAAGATAATTTCCTTTTAAATATATATTTGTTATAATTTAGCAGTTGGATAAATCATGTTCTTTTCAGAATGTAGTAAAAAGATCAGTGCAGACCCAGTATCCCTACAGATTTCTGAGACACTTGAAGCAGTTGGGGAACTGGATGCTCTGCATGGCATGAATTGTGGTTGAGGAAACAGGATCACCCTCTTTTCAGCCTCCAGTTAATCAGCTGTTAGTTTTTACAGTACAACCCCTTCTGCTATCTTCTGTGTAAACACCAAAGACATTTCTTAACTTAAAAATCCTGATAGCTTTGGAAATGGGAAAAGTAAGCTAGCAATGCTGGAGCATGTCTTCTTTCTAGGGATCTGTCTGTCCTTTGTGCTTCCACTGATGCAGTGCAGTGTTGTCATCTTGCTGTTAAATTCAAACTGACAGCACTGTTATGGAGCACAGTGCAGTGAGCAGCAAGCTCAGTGTGGAACTTGTAATGGGACGGATCTCCCCAAGACACAGCAAATGAGACCATTCATATCCTAGACACCTGGCAGATCACAGGTGTTAAGGAGTAAAGCAGAGCTGATTAATTCCTTCTAGCATCTTAAGGAGGTGGCAAATGTGGTAGTAATGGCTAATTGCGAACAGGTGACGCTACTTCTCTCTAGGTTTCCTTTCTCTTTGCCAAGTCCCATTCCCTCTGACTGAGATCCACTTTCTAAACGAAAGCTGAGCAAGTCCCATTCCCTCTGACTGAGATCCACTTTCTAAACGAAAGCTGAGCAAGTTTGGTTTTGCCTCACAAAAACGAATTTCTTGCAGTTTCCAAAAGAGGAGAAAATTCCTGGGGGACATGGTTTAGGGTTACACTTTTAGAGGAACAGACAGCATTGAAGACAGTGATGCATCTATAGCTTGACCATTCGAATTTATCTGTACATTGGTAACGGTGAGTGTACAGATTCTCTGGATTTTAGTTCATTTAATTGATTTCTGAAATCTGGTGGCAGCTATTGTAATTTGCCTAACAGTTGCAGTCAGCCATTCAGTAACTTTGCACCTATTCTGCTTTCTGTAGGTGGCTAAGTGTGGGGTTTTGACAGTAGTCAGCTGATGTAACGGTTTGCTCAAAGCCAGGATCCCAAGAGAAGACTATTAGCACAGACTCAGAAATAGGGCACAATGATGAGAGTGCAGCACAGTTTGTTTGTGCCCCTACAGCCAGTCAGTAACTTCAGGTGAATGGTACTTTGAATTTCGGCAACCCCCCCCCCCCCCCCCAAAAGAACTATAAGGCTGGGAATCCTTTGTTTAAGGAAGGCTTTTTAAGTCTTGTAACAGGTCAGGTGAGCAAATGCTGGATGAGTGACAAATGAAAAACATTGTTTGGGCTGAGATGGTTGCTTCTTCCTGAAAATGTCCATAAATAGGACCATACCATAAGTTGTTGTAAATCACGTAGATCCATTAAATCAATGGAGACTTGTAGACTTACAACAGGTGAGTGTTTCCACAGATCAGTTGCTGGGTTATAGACATGCCTTTTAAAATGTACAGATTTTAAAGTGTACATATTTGCCAGCATTCAGGGCAGTGTAACATTTCCTAGACTCTCCTTTGTGGCTCAGAACACCTACTGGCCACGTTGCTAGTTGAAGATAATTGAATGTACTTATCACCAGTTACATGTTCACTGGTCCACTTGCAAAACTCCAGAATCTTTATCCAAGTAGTGTTTTCTGCCTCATCCCACATCAGTCTGGCGTATTCACCATCCATTCTAAGAAGCAGCTGTGCCACTTATGAATTAACCCTTCTTGGCCAGCCTTTTAGTTGGCACTTGGCTAGTGTTGGATCCACACTAGGAAAAATAGCACTTCTTACCCCAAATCCTGTAGAGCCTATGGAAAAGTGTTCTCCTTCCTTATTTGTAGCAGCTGATAAAGAGTATTTATACCTACTTTCAGGCCTCCTGAGTGGTTCTCTAGCATGCTGCCAGTTCTAGAAAGCTGCTCAGCTAAAACACTGCAGTTACTAATGAAAATTCCTCTGCAGAATTTCCTCTTAAAAAGGGCAAATTATAGATATTGGAGATTGAAACAATCTAATATGTTATCTAAACCATCCCTACCAAGGCAGATTGTTGCAAAGCCAGAAGCAAGTTTTCTTCCCCATTACATGCTTTTTCAACCCTTAAAAGTAAGTAAATAAAAGGGAAACTTAAATGCATGAGTAAGATAAATTTGTCCTGTTTACACACACTAAAAATCTAAGCTTAGAAAAATATCCAGCTTTATTAAAATAAAACGTGGCCATCTAAATAGCCATCTATTAAAATCCAGTTTGTAAACAAACTTAAGAAATCCGTAACAAAAATAGGGATGCGATGGAAATAATGACTCTCTCTGCTGTTCAGTTAGTGGGGATAAAAGTTATGCACCATTCCATGCTTGCAACTTCACAGCTATAATTTCTAAATCAAATATGCATTGATAACCTAAATTCTTGTAGTGGTGATCCTCTCTTGCTGTCTTTTTCCCTTCCTGTTGCTAATCATAGTCCACACTCAGCTGATTGGGTATAACCAATATGGAGGAAATGAGTTGTGGTGTTTCTTGGTTATTGGAATGCAGAATTTGGGCTGGAAATGTTTGGTGATCAGACAGACTGAATCCATGTCTGAGTTTGGCTTGTTGACCCTTCTTTTCTAGTTGAAAGTGATTTCATTGGAGAATATTTCCCCTGTGCACTCCAACTGATGCCGTATTGAAACCAGCAGATGCTCTCTTTTCTTTCAACAACGTCTCCTTTTTAGGCGGTTTATTGCTGGTGACTGTCAGACCCGGGCCTAGTCCCATGAATTCTCTTACATTTTCGCACCAAATCTCTGTTGCTTTTGAGACTGTGATTACTGTGCTGTCCCTTGGCTTGGGCAGGCATCTTTGGAGATGGAATTCAGTGCAACTCCAAGGTCATTTGAATTACAAGTGGCCATTTCACTGTCCCCACCAGTCTGTCTATGTGAAGGTGCTCCTACATTCTGGCGTACTTGAATGTGACCTCCCATACTTGGGTTACCTTTGCAGAATAATATTGAATATGTTTTAGTGATTGACTTGAAACCAAGAAAATGTTATCTCCAAAGAATTCCCAGGAATCATACAAAAACCTGTATCTGCCTTTTAAACTCCCCTTTCTATTTGAAAATGGGAGCTACTAATTTTTGTGTAAGGTTGCAACATTAAAAAAAATTAAATGAATTTTTTCTGAAATTTTAAGAAGTCTGTTTACATTTCAGCCCGTTTTTTCTTGTTTCTTCCAGTTGCTAGTTAAGCCACACCACATGTTGTACACGGGGCATTAGTATTAAGTCCACAGGCTTTCTCTCTTGGGTATTATAAATGACTATGGAAACAGCTGGAATAAGGAGTAAGGTCTTCAACTAAAGGGACATTTAAGTTTGATTATCTGAAACTCCCAATTGTCCAGAACAGGGTCATATCCCTCTTCATCTATTAATTGTATTGAAAAACCCCTTATTTTCCCCAAAACTTCAGTTATCTGAAATTATTGAGCATCCCTCACAATATGGAGGTTGTACCATATGGTATTTTTTAAAGTTTCTTTACCTGCTATAACCCATACCTTGGGATAATCTAAAACTGAAAAAAAACAAAACAAAACTAAATCTATTGACTTTTCACTGTTTCCTTTTTGCATTTTTCGGAGCTTGGACAATGATGAGAGATGAATCAGTTTTACTTTGATTTATAGGCAGTTTATAGCTCCTTTCACTCACGCACTACTAGTGTGATGCCTGGGTTGCAAACACTGCAGGGGATTGTTCTTAGTTTTATTCCACTGGAATTATTTTAAATTCAGGTCTCTGGATCTTGGCTTTGTAAAAGTATATTTTTGAAATATGTCAATTTTGGGGTGGGAGCAAAGTTCATAGCTCTAGCTCAGTCCCATTTTTCTGGGCCAGGAGAGACTGGGTGAGCTGTAGGGGGCAGCATGTTTAGCCTTTGGTGAAGACAGAGCACTTACATTGAACGCTGCCCAACACAAGGCTGGGAGAAGACTATAGGATAACACATTTGGGATCTGCAGGCTCTGAGGAGGACTTGGAGGGGTCATGTTGACCAGCTCATTATAAAATCCTGCCATGTTTCAATCTTTTGTCTTTTAGAAATTTGCTGCCAGTTGCAGCTTTTCTGTAAAACAAGAAACACAGAATGGAGTTAAATTTTACAGAGGTGAAGAAATAGGCAGGAAATGCAGGATCCTTTTCTTTGCTTCTATAGCCCATGCTGTAAACAGCTTCCATTTTTATTTGAAAATGTACTGGCTGTTGGTCCTCATGATAATTCTTGATACTTGTTATCAACAACGATGTAAATGGCTGAGTTTATTAATATTAGCTAATAAACTACTGAATATGAGTAGCAACTGTTAATTTGATTTTGCATGAACCACAATTAGATGCCTGACTCCTCAGTGTATGTATGGAATGACCTAGAGACACAACTGCTATTCAGAGTCCGCTTCCACAACCCATTTAATTATTTAAAAAATCATTTAAGGTTGGGGACTTAAATCTACCGAAGTGAGAGCTGCTGACCTTAACTGGCATGTAGTGTGTGGAACATTGTTCACTAGGTCAATTGGAGATGTTCAGGCTGGAGCTACAGCGTTACCTCTGAGTTCACTGGAGTTTTTTCCCCCGAGGAGACCCTTAGCACCTTTGATGTACTGTAGCATGTACCTGAATATTCGAATGCGAGGAAAAGGGAAGAAAAGAACTTTCTGCCATAGGTATGTGCATGAAAGTTGGATGGCAGATGCAGTGAAAGGAATTAAATTATGAATAGATCGGTTTTTAACTTCTGCGTATTTTTCTTTGTGACCAGAAGCTCCTCCTTTAAACCCAGCCCTCTGTTTGAATGATTAAATCCTCAGGTGGGGATTGTCCGCATCTTTGTCTGATATGCAGTGACCCAAGCAACAAACTACGCTGGATAGTTGTGAGTTGCAGCATAGGGAATTGTAAAGGTTCTGACAATGCCGGTTGTGCAGATGGACTCTCCCTTGTCCCTCTCTGTTGAGGTGTTCTGGCTTGATGAGCAGGAAGCAGCGCTGGGGACCGTGGCCAGCTTTAGAAATGCTTAAGCCATGCCTTGGCTTGTTTAATCAAACAGTGGCTTCAGTTCTATGTGTAGCTTTACATTAGATTTTTTTATACTACGAGCCTTTTTTATTTAATTGAATTATCTTGGGTTTCTTAATCCTGCTGCTAATAAACTGGAGTTGGGCATTAAGAACCAGTCTGTAAAAGAGATGTGACCAGCTTTGTAGATTTGCCATTATAATGCAGCATACTGATCTTTTGCTTTGTGAATGTTAGTGAACATGCAGCAGCAATCTTTCTTTGTTGGCATCCAGGCCGTGAGCCATCTCCCATTCCCTCCCCCCCGCCCTCCCGTTTTTTCTTCTACAGTTGTTGTTTCCTTCAATTTCAGTGACCCTCTGACCTAAATGCTCATTTATATGCCATGGTTTAAAGGTCTGCGTGTGGTAAGACTGTTTGGGCCCAATACCAGTTGTGTGACTTTTTTTGTTTCTGAGTTTAAAAAAAAAAAATTGTTTTAAAGCTGCTATATCTCTAGCATACACTACTGCTGTACTGTGTAAAATGCAGGGGAACCAGCTGAAGAGGGTTGTGCTGTAGGAAATCTGTTTACAAGATTGTCTAGTGTGAGATTTCCTGAGCTACTAGGGATGAGAAGCACACTTCCTTGTACATACAAGATCTTAAACTATTTGCATAGCCTCATGCTGACCAAAATGTAGCTGTGACTTTACAGGGAAGAGTTCCCCCTTTATACATAGCTGTCTAGTGACTGTATCTGGTTAGGTCAAAAGTCATTCTCTTCAGTAGGTGGGTTATATTCAGGATAATACATACCTGTGTGTGTGTTACATCATATGCATCTGGCACCACTAGTAGGGGCAAACATCTAGCCATGATGGTGTTTTTCCATTAAAATTCTGTTTTTTCAGGGTGTTGTAATGTGGCTGTAAACATCTGCTGTGGGGTGAATAGACTTGGGCAGGAGCACCGTTTTTAATTTAAATTTTTTAAAAAGATTTGAATATTTTATCTAAGTTAAAAAGATGACAAATACAAATCCTCTTTATGGGTGCTATTTCATTTTAACTGCACTCTGAGACCTTTCAGAATGAATGGCTGGATGTTTCCTTACAGCTATGGAACTATAGACTTTATGCACCATTATAGCTCATGAGCTAGAGCCTAAGAGGCCAATTGTGCTGAATCAACTCCCCAACTTCCAAAGTGGCACATCACAAGGAGAATGACATCTAAGAAACAACCCTTTTAAAATCTGTTTTCAGAGTATTAATTTAGATCTATGTAAGTATAAATTTTGTGTGTGTAAATGGTCCATGACTGTTCCCTTCTGTTAAGAGTGTTAATGGTACTTTACATAGATATATTAGTAAATTCCAACTGAAGACACTAATTCTAGGAGAATATCCCTATTTTAGTACAGAGTGGGGAGCGGCCTGCAGAGGTGTAGCTTGAGCCCACTGATTCATTCCTCTTGTGGGGCACGAGGGCCAGTTTAGGACTCTGCTCTCCCTCTGGGATGAGTCTCACTTCAGGCACAATACTGAGAAACTCTGAAGCAGCAGCACAAGCTGTTCTATTGGCAGGGAAGTCCCGAAATGGCACTAATAAGAATTAGAGAATGAAAGTGATTCAAGCCGTCTCCCAGCCATGGTTTGAGAAAACCAGGCCCCAAGATCCTTACAGATTCTCATCCTGCCCTGTACATAATGGAAACACCTCCCCATAAATTGGAAATTAATTAGGCTGGCAGAAGGGTGAGGTTTATCTGCATCATGTTCAGTTTTTCCAACTGCTTTGAATTACCAAAAGGTTTAGAATTGGGATCCCCCAAGAATTCTGGGGGGGAATGGAAGTTCCCCCCCATCTGGTCACTTTAGTATCTTGTGTAGTATAGAATATTACCTCCCAAAAGACAATGACTTAGGATACTAGGCTAATCAGTCAGTGTCATGTGTGGCATATTTTTTCTACCATCTCTTCTTTCTCTTTGATTCCCACTCTCCAAACATCTGCATTTGATTCTCTGCACAAAACCTGCAGTCAAGAAGGAAACATGCTCTTGACAAGCTTGAGTGCTGCTTTGTGGCTGTCTGCTATGGTATTTGGGGGTTGTGCAACCTGTCTCATTCTTGATGATGCTCCTACCTCCCACTGGCCTGAGGGTTAGGGTCTCCTAGATAAAATGTATCTAATAAACATATGCATACAACTAGAATTCCTCTTTTCTCTCTCCTGAGTGTGTCAAATTCATTCCTAGCATAATTCTGCTGAGGTTATTGAACTTGCCTTAGGATGTATTTTGACTTTTTTGGCCTTTTCAAGGTTACTCATTGCATTAGGGAGCCAGAAAGAAGCTGCTTCTGTGCGGTCTCTCTCTAAAGTAATATATTTCGTTGCATTTCTGTGAGGACCCAGAATACAAGCTTCTCCTAGGTTTCTGCTGGTATCAGGATCTGGTGGTTGATTTTCTTGGGAGGGTCATTTGGGCTGAAGGTTGTTCAAAAGGGAGTAGCCATGGTGCTGTGAACACTGAAAGAAACCACAGCTTTTCTTTTTCCCCAAGGGAGAAAAGCCACTGTGAAATCCAAATGTGACCCTCTGTATATTATGGCTCTTGCTTCATATCCTCTCCAGACATGGCCTAAAGGCTACAGCAAAGGCCCCTGGGAGTCAGCATCCTGGGTTTAATGTGGGCTTCAACTGCTTACTCATATGACCTAGGATAAGTCATGTGACTTCTTGCATTCCATTTGGCTTCACTGAAAACTGTCAAAAGCAGAACCATCATTAAAAACCAGATGCAGTGTCAGGATACTTTCTAGCGGATTGGCTGGCAGAAAAGGATTTAGATCAAGTAGAACAGTGGTTTACAACCTTTTTTCATTTGCGGACCCCTAAAAAATTTTGAACGGCGGTGTGGACCCCTTTGGAAATCTGAGACATGGTTTGCAGACCCCAGGTTAAAAAACACTGAAGTAGAAAAATGCAAATCCCCTTCCCCATCTCTGCCTCACTGCTAAAAGTCTGGTGTAAAACATCCCATGTTACACTGACTGAAGTGCTACACTTTTGAAGCGGACAGGCTGCTGACATACACAACTGGGTCCAACAGTGAAGGCGTTAGCGTAAACTTGAGCACCCTTTTTCTGTTTATTTCCCCCAAACGTTCCTACAGTCACGGAACCAGGGTAGTAGTAGTTTTGAAGAGACTTCTTCTTACGAAAAATAAGAGCAGGAAAAAATGTAAAAGCGTACTTGAAAACACTACAGAATGGCAAAGCTGTACTACTTTTTGATTCCTGATGTAGAGTGCTCTTTATCCTGATGAGACTGGAGTTCTCCAAACTGCCAGGAAATGCAAGCTTAAGAGAGGATGGCTAACTAATATCTGCAGTTTCCAGAGTGGTGTTAAGAGCTGTTTCAGAAGGATCAGGAAATTGCATTACACATGCAGAAAACCAGATCTTTAATTAATCTCAACAGTAACTATAAGAAACACCAAATAACCAGTAAGAAGGAAGTAAAATCTGTTCAAATTTTGAAGATCTAATAGAAAACTGTTAAATCTCTAACCAAGACTGTGTGAGTTTATTCCTGCTTGTTTTTTAGGGGGGTGAGTGATATGTGTAACGGAGAGTAGGCCCCAGAATATCTCAATGGGTTGATATGGACAGAACCTTGATCCTGTCCCTTTATACACAGGTATGTAGAGGAGAGCCTTGCACCCTCTGCATTGCAGTTTGGCACTGAGCTACATTCCACCCATACTATTCTCTCAAGTATGTTTGCATTTTGGCTTCTAGTCCTGGCCAGACAAGACATCTCCTGCCATAACTCTTTATAGAGTACTTTTTGATATAGAAAGTATTTTTCATGACTGTTTATTAATCAGTGTTTTTAAAAGCAGGTTGTATCTCTAAAGTGGAAAAGCTAGGTCTAGGGCATTGGATGTGAATTTCAGCTTCTCTCCTGGTTATGTTGAAAGTGAAACACTTAGTCTGCAACTACAGAGTATGGGAAAACTCAGAAAAGTGGTAGGGGAATGCAACATCCAAGGATGGGACCTGCGTTTTTGTGTCAAATGGGATCCGGTATTTTTTATAAGGAGCCATACTTTTTTAAAAGTAATTTGAGATCTGAATGTGATTTCTAATGTATCAAAACATTAATATTTTAAAGCTATAACAAAGTTTTAAATTTCTACTATTTTTTCATTTATTTTACCTGTTCTGTTATCTATTATCTTAAATTGATGTATGTGGTTGAGGAGTATTGCTTCTCCTCTTAGCATTTGTTTCTATAACCAGAAATAAAATTATATATTAAAGAGAAGGTGCCCTGAAATTGCTTACTCCTTTTGAGTGGCTAAAGGATACGCTCTTACTGCCTGCATAGCACTGTGATGAGTTAGAAGATTTCCTCAGCAGCCTGTGGTGTGGATTTCACCATTTTCTTGGTATAAACTGCTTGCTTTTAGGCCCAGTTTGTAATCAATTGTGGTGTGGCTGACTCTAAACAGGATCTGTCTCTACATGATTAATGTACAGTTAGTAACTGTGGCAGATAAGTGTTTCACTGCTAGCAGAGGCCTAGGCTGGCACGTTTTGTCTTCTTTGTAACAGTTATTTTTCAGTGTGGGCAGAATAACCTAACCATGTCTATGGAACCAGAGAGGTTGACTGGGCCTGCCTTCCTTCCAGCTCTCCCTGCTGTAGGATATCCCAGAGGGCTCTGTTGCTCTGTGCTGCTGGTGCTATTTTCTGCGCCTGTCTTCTGGGCACTCTGTCTCATGCATGGCTATAAACAGGCAGTGTGCATTTGTGGATGACAGAACCTAAATATTTCTCTCTCTCCATCCGCACCCTTGAATTGTGTGCAGAACATTAGGTATATGTTTGTACATCTTCAGGGTTCAGAAAAATCCTAGCTATCAATTCAGCTCTGGTATTTGGAAGGTACTTTTGGGAAACAGTAGCTCACTAACATATTGTTGGTAATAAATAACCTGTCTCTTTTCTGCATCAGGATGGATAATCAGGATTAGCCCATCATCCCTCAAACTGGCTGTAGACTCAGGATCAAGTTTGCACTTATCCATCGGGATCTTCATCAATTCTGTGCTAAACCATTTCAACTGCTGCTGTAAATGATGAGACAGCATATTGTGAAGCTTAGAAGTTATACGTGGGCTGAAAACATTTCCAAGTCCTCCCATTTTTAAGGCTAGATTGTTCTTATGCCCTATTCTTCCCTTTGACACCTTATGTCAACTGCACCATCCCTACTCTAATTGCTCATTTTGGTTAACCAGGTCACTGGCTTTGAGTTTCAGAATTTAATGTGAATGCCATGAAGACCTCAGTGGACCTAAAGATGGATTCTCCCTGCCTAGTAACCATAGTCTGGCTGGCTTTTTCATGTGTTAGAAATCCTGCCCAGATCAGCAAAAAATACTTAGCAGACAAAGTCTGTAGAGAGTTAGATCTGGACATTTCCTTTAGCATCATCTTTTTTAAATACAGCATTGGACACCTATTTTTAAAATATATTGGACAAGCTCCCCACTATATTACATTTGGGAAAAGCTGAACCTTTTGTCTTTAGGCCCTCTGTTTTCTGTGTGTCTGATTTTATGCTCTACGATGACTTCGATAGCTACAGCAATGGAAATTTCTGGTTCCAAGAGCAGCATGAGCTGGCACATAGATGGCTAATGGAAACTGTTATTGATTAAGCTCTTTATGGAACTTTATACCAATGAGTGGCTCAAGGCATTCAACTCCCAAAGGAAAAAGAACCAGCAGACTTTGCAGGGTAATATCCCTTCCTGCTGAAAGACTCATGATAGTAAGTGCTGCTATAAAAGCTACAGGCTTTTTAGCAGTCAGAAAGGACGTTTCTAGGAAGGAAACGTTAATGTCTCTTAACTTTTTGGAATCTATGAAGACGGCCTGCTGGGTAGCTATTTGTATTGTAGCCTTTTCAAAATACGTTCTTTTCAATGGGGTCCCAGGGAAGGCGAAGAGCTTCTGCCAGTGTCACGTTTTCCAAAAATGAAAATGTAAAAAAACTCTCATCCACAGACACACTTCTACGGCTTGCTCAGGCACAGGGCTGTGACGGTCTTTGTGAGAACCTGCCTTGGTCCTCTACGCGGTGGAGAGCGCCTCGCCACCGTGCTTTGGCTTTGACTGTGAACGCAGTGGCGGCCTGAACTGCTAAAAGTTGAGAGTTGTGAGGAGGTCAATTCTCTTCAGCTGTACCTCCTTCCCCCCCAGTGTGGCTGCTCACCTGCTACGCCTCTACCACCTCCATGGGCAGCCGCCATTTTAAGATCCTGCAGCTACTGGTTCTTCCCAACTCTGCTTTGGGCGAAGGGTCTCGGTAAGTGGTTCGGTGGATACCTGGGTTCCTTGGGTTGCGTGCCCCGCGTGGAGAGAGGGGCAGCCTGCTGTGGCAGGCCCGCTGGTGCGTGAGTGATGCCTCTGCCCACGGGCCCCACGCTGGTCCACCAAGGGCGGGGGCACTACAGGGGCCGGGCGTTAACAATTATTCTTTTAATTAAAGCTCATCATGGAATGAAACCTTCAGCAAAAGCTGGGTAACCTCCTTCCCCTTAGCAGTGTTAACCCCTACCGCCCCCCCCCCCCCCCCAGGCCCTGGCAGAGGTTAAGTGGGGGCTGGGCCCCAAGGGAGGGCCCCTGTTCATCCTGGGGCGCCTAGCAACCTCAGGAGGCGCTACTGCGCGGCCTGTGCACGCCCCTGAGAGGGGGCCCCGCTCTCCATGACCCTTGGACTGAGCCTTCAGCCACGTCAATCCGTCCCCTCCCCCCCTAATAATTGGGGGGCTACTTCTCTTACCTCGCCTGCCCTCCGCGCGGCGGAAGGATACTGGGATGTGGCGCCGCCTGTGCGGAATGATCCATCAGAGAGCGACGATCGGCGCCGGGGGCGCGGGGGGAATGGCCGAGCGGCGGCTGCTCCCGGAACTGTTCGTGCGGGGGCAGCCGCGTTCCCCACGAGCCCCCTCCGGCACGGACGCGCCTGCCGGAAGCGGCCGGGGAGGGAGCGGAGCCGGAGCGGCTCTTTCCTCCGCTGCCCTGGAGCGCGATGGTGCCCATTGCCTAGCTTCGGCGCGGCGGCGGGATGTTCACGCCGGGGGCGGAAAACTTCCTGCGGCAGGCCAGGTGGGGCGGGGGAGCCAGAGACGCGGCCCCGTGTGGGGCTGGTGGCTGGGGAAGAGGCTCAAGTCAGCCGGACGCCTGGGTTCCCGGGGTTGCGTGCCCCGCGTGGGGAGAGGGGCAGCTGGACGCCTGGGTTCCTCGGGTTGCGTGCAGCAGGACACCTGGGTTCCTTGCCTTGCATTCGCCGCACGGGGAGAGAGGCACCAGGACACCTGGGTTCCGGGGTTGGGTTCCGCGTGGGGAGGGGCAGCCCGCCTGGGTCCGGGGCGGGGGGAGAGGGGCAGCAGGACGCCTGGGTTCCTTGCCTTGCATTCGCCGCACGGGGAGAGAGGCACCAGGACACCTGGGTTCCTTGGGTTGCGAGCCCCGCGTGGAGAGAGGGGCAGCCGGACGCCTGGGTTGCGTGCCCCGCGTGAGAGGGGTTGCCTGTCCCTGGATAGGTGCCTGGCTCTGCTCAGGGCAGTGATCGCTGTGGGCGGGCAGGCAGGCGGGGTTGTGTCTCGGTTGGTGAATTCAGCAACGTAGTTCCCGAGGCTGTGAGTGTTCCCTGCGCTTTGTGCTCCCACAGCGAGGGCTCCTCAGACACTGACCTCTGCAGACCCAGTGGGCAGGGGAGTGGTATTCTCCCCATGTCCTAGGCAGGAAGGCTGAGGCAGGGGTGTGAAGTGACTTGTCCAATCTATCGCTGCTAGAAGGAGACATTTCAGACAGGTGGCTGTCTCTTGGAACTGGTCTCCACTTCCCCATTGCTGACCATAGGCAATGGGAGCGGGTGCAGCTGAACGGTAACTGGAAACAATTCCAGGTTCAGCCTTCTCAGAAGCCCTCCTGAAACCTTGCTCCCAAGGATGCAACTAAAATACTGTGCTTTCAGAGGACTGCTGGGATACCAGCAGGATGATGTGTTCAGAGGAGAGTTGCAGACATCCTTGGGTCTCCCAAGCTTTGGCTTTGTTTTCATGCTGGCAAACGAAGGGATGAATGGCTTGTTTTGAGAAGATATTAAAGCTTTTTCCCACTTAAATTGCCAGTTTAGCAGCCATAGCTTTGAAGCGGTAGTAGCTATTTATTTCCTTTCTTTAAAGACACTTGCCATTTGAGAAAAGGCTTAGAAATTGGCTTCTTGAACTTGGAAAGCAAATAGAAACTGCATAGCACAAAAATAAAGGGGAAATGGTTTTAAAGGAACAAACATTTCAGACAGTTCAAATAACAGAAATAGGTTTGATACCAGTATTTTGTCTTTGAGGTTAACAGAGCAGTAGAATGTGGACTTCTGTGTAGGGGAAGGTATTGCCTCAGCACTCCCTTTCTCCTGTTTTCGTTTCTGTATGTTTCAGACCATGAAATTTTACTGGTTAGGGTTTCCTAATTCCTGTGTTGCCCTTCTTCACTAGGGAGATCCAGGATGAAGAACTGCGGAGATTTAGTTCCCGAATCACAAGCCTTCTCCAGAATCATGACTTGGGAAATGATACCATTGACTGTTTACAGAGACTTTTCCTGATTGTTTCAGCCACAAAATATGGCCGGAAGTGAGTGAGAGGACATGTTAAGCCTTGTTATGTAGTCACTGTAACAGGGTATTGTCAAGAATCTGTTTCAGCATTCTGTAGATCAGTACTACTACAGATCTGCCCTACTTCCTTTTTGGATTGCATTTGCAGTGACCAAAAATAGTTAATAGATTTTTTTGTATTTTAATGTATCTACCAATATGTCACTGTTCCCAGGGGTGAGTGCTATGCTCTTTTAAATCGATTACTCTCTATTATTATATAACATCTATATTTCTGCACCTTAATCATGAACAGTAAATCTTGTGAATGTGGAATCTGTGTGTGTGTGTTTTAATTTTTGTCTTCTGTTTCTATAACAGAAAATATTTTCTTAGCTTGCTATTCAGTGTACTAATCCCAGCAGCTGTGATTCTCTTAGAATATAAAATGTTGAAATTGAAGCTTGTGTTTCTCCTGTACACAGGAGTTGCAACGCATTCTGTTCTTGACAGAACAGAAATAAAGGCTGGGTGACTGCAAAAATTTCCCTTTGCTGAAAACACTGTGCTAGTTTCAGATGTTGAAATCCAGTCCGCTCTCTGTCCCCTTGCAAACTAGGGACCCTGTCCAGCTCCCCTTAAAGTAAGTGGGGAAAAAATCCCTCTGACTTCATTAAGATTTGGATCAGGCCTTATTAAAGGAGTGAAATTCAGAGATGTTCAGACTGAAGAAGTTGAGTAATATGAGATTACTTAGGACCAGCCTCAAAGAAGACACCATATCAAGACTTTCAGATAAGAATGTTTACTTATATTCCTATCCTCTTGTTTTCTTTCAGTGATGCCTGAATGACTGGTTTTTGTTGGTTGATTTTTTTTTTAATTTTTTTTTTTTTTTTTTGTAGGTTGGATGGCAAATTTGTAGAGCTGTTGCAGACAGTGCTGTGTTCGCCCAAGTGTCCTGAGCAGGTTCAGGCTCTGTGTGCTGCCATTTTGAGAGAGATGTCACCCAGCAATTATCTGATCCTATCCTGCGATGAAATCCAGGATGCAAAGCTCTTGAGTCTAGTGTCCTCCATCCTCTTGGCTCAGGTAGATGGACTGTGCTGTCAGGAATCTTGTCTAGACTTCATCACCCCTTCACTTAACTCAAGGGGAGTAAAATTTACTTGCATGTGTTTAAATAAGAACAGAAGGAACTTCATGTAAATTAAGAACAGTTTATGCTTTGTTTGAAATCAAATGGCAAAGTTTTCTCTGTATTCAAGATTTGATAATGAGCTATTTAAAATCAAGGTGTGTGTAGCATGAGGGGATGAGAGCACTGGGCTCTGTGACCCGCGGAGCGGGAAGGAACCTTTCAGTGCAAGCTCCTGTAATAGAGTTCAATCTATTGCTGCTCATGCCTACAGAGGAAAGGATTGAAAAGTGAATTTATTGTGGCTTCTCACCTCTTTGTGGTGCTGGTTTTTCATAACATGTAGAGATCTGCTTGGCCTAATTTTAAAGCCTGATCCAAGCACAGCTGATCCCAGCGCAACCATAGAGTGTTGAGTTGTTGTCAGAATTGAACTAACCTGAACCTACACTTCCCCTGCAGCCTGTGTAGGTGCTGCCACTGCGTCATCCTTGGGACTTGGCTTGTTGGTGGCTCCCCAAGCCATCCGTCTCTTCTGCCCATGGTGGTGAGGGATGGTCAGTAGCAGTTGCATGACATGCTCCTGCTGGCCATCCCCACCTTGCTGCGCTCTGTGCGCTGCAGAGTGAGAGGTGCTGCAACTCCTTGGCCCGCTCATTCTGCAGCGTGCACAGAGCGCAGCAAGGTTTTGGTGGCTTGCAGTAACAAGGCACGCCGCTGCTACCAGGCTAACCCCACGGGCAGGTGGCGGTGGTCAGAGATGACCCAAGTCCAAGGGGGAGGGGAGGGTTGTTTTCACTTGTAATCCGGTTCGGGTCGTCTTTAAGGCTCTAACGTACCTTTACTAGGGAAAGTAACTTATTTATAAAGCACCCCTTCTTCCCCAGAAAGCAGTTGCATAGTTAAAATGTAATAATTCCAAAATCTAAAACCTTTCGCCTTTCATCTGTGTATTTACCCTTGAATTAGAAACAGAACCATGATACGGTTTTTGCTCTGTTTTGATGTTGCTGAGGCGTTAATTTGGCAGATTTAATGCTGCTACTGCAACTCATTACAGCAGGTGACACTAATGAGCAATGTCCCACTTGATGTAATGAAAGCGGGAACTATTCAGCAGAGCCCCTACAAAAGGGCCCTCCTCTCATTGGTTCTTGGCTGTCAGCGTCTCGTCTTCCTCTAACTGCAAGGAAATGAGGTGGAAGTGAGTCACTCATTCCATTTGCCTACCTGTCGTTGCAGCTGTCAGTCCCATGTACTTTGCCTGAGACTAACAGCTTTCCAGAGCTTGTAGCCTTACTGTTGCCTCCAAAAGAGGCAGCTGCAGCAACTTTCTTCCTTGGCTTCTCTGCCTCTTGCTCTTCTGTTTGTTGGGAGAGTAGACTGGCAGATGTGATTTTAGACATTGGACATTTCTAACAGGTGAAGGGCAGATCCTCTAAGTTGCATGTAAACTTGTTAAAAGCTGGAGATCTGCCATTGATTCATTTATGCTTCTCACTAGAAAGCAGGCAGGGCTCCTGGAGCTGCATGTCAGCAGCATGATGACATGGTTCCTTCAGTTCCCTTTGTGTCACAGCTTTGTAACCCAGGAGGAATGGCGTGTCCTCTTACCCTTTTTCTTTACTGTAGGTATCCCTAAATCATAAGCCTCCTCGTTAATGTGTTTCTTTGGTCCATCTGTGTGGGGAGGGGGGGAGGGTTCCCCAGTGCAGCTCCCTCACCTCCAGAAGGTTGTGTAGCTCACCACCGAATCGTTTACTTTTTCCTGAGTAGGGCACACATCTGGTAACTAGTGGATGCCACAGGTTGATGTTGATTTACATCCTTCAGATCAAGAGGATGAGGCAGACAGCTGGGTAGACTGTCAGAGACTCTGAATAGTTGAATGGGTTTTACTTTCTGCTGGCATGATGGCTTTGTAGGAGGAAGAGAACCATTTGATACCACTAGGGCAGCCTCTCAAAAGGTTTGGTATCTGCCTGTCATCCCAAAGGAGGGGTAATCTTTGTGAGAGACCCATCTCCCCTGACAATTCAGTCTAATTATGTATCTTAAACCACAGCAACCACTTCCAAACAGAGAGTGTTTTATTCTCCTTATAGGTACCGGCTAACTAGACATGTTGGAACACGTTTCATCAATCTGACTCAAAGCCACAAGCCTTGCGTTTAACAATCATATTGGCAAATTCACCACTAGGGATTATATGGAGGAGTTCGCTCTATTGTTTGCCTCTCCATCCACGCTGGATGAATGTAGCATTGTATTTGGGGGGAGTCCGCTAGAGCCACTTTTGGCGAATAAATTCAACTTTCAGTTGTGGCTGTCCCCAAACTTGTTGCTTCATCCAATGTTTTCTCCATTGGGAACTGTGGCTTCAGCTTGTAGAAGAGATCTGTGGACTATGGTAAAATAGATGCACTCAGCACCAGAGCAGAGATGCCTTCATGTAAGCATTTGTAAGGCTGAGATCATTAAAAGCTCAGTTGTAAATGGTCAGCTTCTTTTAATCTTTGCTTCATTTTAAGGGAAATAAAAAGGCTCAGGTGTCAGCAGTGGGGCAGCGTGTTGTAAAAGTCCTGGAAGGGCGACTGCCTGAGGGTCAGAGTTCACGGCACTTTCTTCCTCTGCTCTCCAAGATCATCAGTCTATCGCCAGCAAACCTAACTGAAGGTAAATGCAGGAGGGTCCTAGAGAGAATGCCAAAGGGTCCCACAGAGATGGAACAGATCTGTCATACAGCATAGTGATAAAGAAGGGTCTTTGAAGGCTTAGACCAAGAGTATGACTTGGGATGCTTGCAAATTGCCATTATAAATGGCACCTATATCCCAGGGAAAGTGAAACTCTGATCCATTGAGGAGAGGTACCTTATTTGTTTGATGCCCTCGAGTGTGCTAGGCACCTCACAGGACAGAAAGACATTGGCTCCTTAGGGCAGAGAGATCCTTGCTATATGTATGTGCCTAGCACTGGGGCGTCTGAGTGTGATTGCGATATAAATATGTACCCTGAGGAGCTTGGGGTGGGGGCGGAAAAGCTTACATGGCTCCACAGTTTGTGTGTCTCTATTTAGTGAGTACAGAAGAACAGCCAGTTCGCTTTTCATAGGTTTCTTGCCAGAAGTGAGATTTGGAGTGGCAGAGAATTTGAAAGGTGGGGGTGGTGAAATTTCAGGGGGAGGTGATGGCCCAATGAATAGGCTTTGGGAGAGCACTCCGGTCATGGGGGGACCCGATGGAAAAAGGTGCAGAAATACTCTTATGAAAAGGAGATGCTGCACTGTGCTGAGACGAGGTTCAGGAGTTTGCTCAGAGATTCGCACTCCTTGGACAGAGGCGGGGAGGCTTGAAGGAGGATGCTGGAATGGAATATTTGCCTTTGCCTAGGATTCAGCACCACTTCCCCGGGCTTCTGCTACATTCAGTAGGATAAAACTGTATAGGGGATATACATTTTCATGCTATAGGGCTCAGATTAATCACAACTCCCTGATTAGGGAAAAAACATCCCCCACAGACAGGTTATTCCATTATTGTCCACTACATCTCATCTTCTGATACTATCCATCTGATAGCTGCTGTTGGAGACCAGACTTGGGAATAGATGTACCATTGGGCTGATCTATATTACAAATCCCAGGTGTCTGCTCACTTTCTGACTTCAGTCTGAAGAACTGTGCAGAACATTGATGAGATTAAATATAGCATTGAACAGGAGCGGGGGGAAAGGCCGGGGGTGGGAATGGTATACGGAGCTGTGAATGGAATACAAAAGATACTGGTCTCTGAGCAAGTGTAAAAGTAGAAGAACTGGGGGGGGCGTGAAAATCACCTACAGAGTTTGACTGAGGGAATCCCTTTGCTCTGAGAGTTGCTAAGAGTTGGACTATAGTTCTGCTGGCAGCCTTGGGCTAGGTTTAAAGTGTATCAGTTTGGGAGCAGTTTTTAGTGACTAGTGTGCTGCAGAGGCCCCTTGCTGTGATGAGTCTAAACCTTACCTGCATTGCTTTCCATCTGTAGATCAGACCAATCTGGTCAATAAAAGGATGGTGGACTGGCTGAGATATGCAAGTGTTCAGCAAGGAGTTGCACTGCCCTCTGGAGGCTTCTTTTCCAATCCCAGGGCAAGGCAGGTGAGTGATGAATTCCAGAGACTCTCACAAAGGACCTGGACCATGTCATGTCACCGCCCCACCCTTTAAAGCTCCTGAGCACAGATCATTTTTAGGAAAGGTGGTCTAGAAATGCTGCTGTTCTTAGCCAGGTGGACAACTAGTGGGTGCAGCAGTCAGGCACCTTGGGGATCAGAGTTTGGATTTCAAACTCCTAGGCTAATGGGAGTACAGAGACCGAAGGTTTAGCTCCAGGCAGAGGTGGAAGAGAGCATCTTGCAGATTTTGATGACCACACTGATATGTGTTGAGGGCCATTTATCTTGAAATGGAAGGTTGCTGAAGGTGACTTTTGAGGGAGATGGGAAATAAAAGGATTTTGAGGGCCCCTCCCATGGAAAAAGACCTGCACCTTCCCAGCCTGGGCCTCTGGTTGTTATGGAGGCTTTCTGTATGTCTATATGTATGTATGTAAGTAACTTCTACATACATGTAAACATACAAACATGTTCAATGACTCAATTCATGTGTTTGGTGAACTCCACTTCCCCTCTCCCCAACAATCTCTACCTCAGGAAGTCCCACCACTTCACCCAGTTTATCTTCTACCTCCCAGCCTGGCCCTATCACAGAGGTGGATGGTGCAGTCGCCACAGACTTCTTCACAGTGCTCTCAGTTGGTCAATATTACACAGAGGACCAGTGGCTCAACATGCAGGCCTTTTCCATGCTGCGCAAGTGGCTGCTGCTCTATGGGAGCGAGGGGGCAAACAGACCTAATTCAGGTACTGGCTTGGTGGGTTGGGTGGTGTATTACATCCCAAGTGGGAGATGTTTCCTGATCTAGTCCTGAAAGGGCATCTGGTGGCTTCACCATGAAACCACCATTTGGCTCAGTATGTTTGGCACTAGCTCCCCAGTTGCTGCCTGAGTTGGTTCAACAGAGGGTTGTGGGTTGGAATTGAGGGGCATTGGCAGTGCATGGAGGTCCATGAATTCAATAGCAGGGGATGCCAAGGCTACGACTGTTGTGAAGGAAATGTCACAGTGAGCCTGCTGAATGACCATGGTCTGACATACCGGAATGAACCATTTACGTGGGCCCTCAGGTTTCTGGAAAAATCCCTCCAGGCTTCACAGAAAAAGAAATGAAGGGCAGGCGGGGAGATAGCATCCCCTTAGGTGCTGTTGTAATATTCCCACACTCCAACAGAATGTACCCCTTGGACTGGAATCAGATACGACTTTCCCTCTGTGACATACCAGGATACAATCCAGACCAATGAGTAGCTGTGTCACCCCTGCCCTGCAACCTTGGGTGTCCTTTACAATGCCTTGCTGCTGTAGCCTCCAGCCTGGACTGCTCCCAAACAGCCTCCAGCATGTAACACTCCCAGCTGTGTCAGAGTGTGTGTGCGCTGCAGTCAACCAGCCAGACCTTGGCTCTGGCCACCTTTGGTTATGCTGCAGGGTGACCCCAACACACCCCCAGTCCCAGATCTTTTCCCAGAAGTGTATATCCTCTACTGCCCAGCCCTCTCCTGGGCAGTACAAATATGTTAAGTCCATTATTCCTTTAAGGGAGTAATATGCATATAACTTGTCACCCCAAATGGAGTTATCCTGACACTTCAGTTTGAACTCACTGGATTAGATAAAACAGTAAAACAAGCTTAACAACTACAAAGAGAGAGATTTTAAGTGAGTACCAGTAATGAGGCATAAAAGTCCGAAATGCCCCTGTTTAAACTTCCTTTGTTTTTCCTCTCTGCTTGCTGACTCTGCTTACTGTTTAAATGTAAATTAAGGAAAGCACGTATTCCTTCCTTTGCGTAGGACAGACCTGACTTCTGGCTGGGCAGGGCAGTGGGGTTCAGAATATGTGCTGATAACATCATTCAGGGGAGTCTGATAACTTCACAAACAATGTTGCCAGGCATATTTTCCCAGGACAATACTGACCAGCAAATTATGAGTTTTCAGACGATCGCTTACAGGCATGCTTTATACAAAGATTATTACCATAGTGTGTGAATACAGGGGTGTATTCCATTGTACCTTCTCTTCCCCCATGGTGAGCTGGGCAGTTTGTAGAGCCTCGTTCATACGTGAAACTCTCTAACAGTACCATGCAGTGTGATCTGCGATGATCTCTTCTCTGCAGATGACAAATCAGAGGTAGATGGGTCTATTATGTCCATGGTTTCTGCTACCTCCACCTCCAGTCGCCTGCTTCCCCCAAAGGAGCGTCTAAGAGAGAAGGCTTTTGAATACTGCCAGCGTCTTATTGAGCAAAGCAACCGGCGTGAGTTGTGGTCTGAATATGTAGGACTCTTGTCGGAGTCCCTCAGTGTCATTCTTAACAATCATCTCGATCAGTCTCCTGCTGGGTCGAGGGCACAGTCTCCCCACTGTTCTGAGACTAGGCCCAAGAATCTATTCAAGCCACCTGCTAGACCATGGCTCTGCTCTGGCTTTGAGTCACTAACTGACTCCCTAGTGTCTGGGGAAGCGGACGAAGGGGTCTGAGCTGAGTCTCCCTAGAGGGATTAGCTGGGGATGGGAGAAGTTGCTTGCTAGCTCTCAAACATCACCTGATTCTAGTGCCAGACTCTGTGTTCTACCTCCTGCTGTTGATGTGGGTTTTGGAAACTGTAGACACTGGGGTGTGGATTCTCTTGACTGTAACTGCTCAGAACTACGTGAGTTAGGAGGGTCCATGGCTCTTCCCCTCCATCCTTAATTCTGGGCTGTCTTGTAGAGGGCTGCTGTGTGCTCAGTAAGGATGCACTGAGAGGGCTCAGTTCATCACATTGGTAAAGGCTGAAGGGAGAGCTTCCACTGATCTAATAATGGACTTGACAGCATTCAGCCATTCCCAGTAGAGCCCATGCCAATACCAGCAGTATTGCCCAGCGTGGACTAGGGGACTGAGTGTGATTTGTTTATCTGTTAGGGGCCCTGAAGAAACCAGATGGGGACCTGCAAAAAGCCGTAAGTACAAAAGAGGCAGGGGGGAGGGTTGTGGTGGTGGAGTTGTTTGCACAGTTCTGATCTTGCTGTACTTTCTTGTGCAGTGTCTCATTGAGGCTGTCACTATCATGGATATTATCTGCAGGCAGGACTCCAACTATGTGTACCGGACGCTCTCCTGCCTGAAGATCTTGCATGGCAGAATCAGTGGGGACCTTGCTTATGCCAGGGCACTGCTGCCCATTGCTCAGTTCTTCCTGAACCACAGTAAGCTGACAGTGCACACATGCTCTCCTCTCTAGAGCTGCTCACAGGGATTGCTGGGGGTTGGGATGTTGCTTCTGTCGCGCCCTCTTCCCCCAGCCTCCATAAGCTTTGGGAGTCTCTGCGGTACCGGTGTGCTCACTCAGGCCTCTGTTTGAGTGGCAGGATTGGATCACTAGGCACTGAAATACTCTTCCTCTCCATGGCTTCCTACTACTATTCTAGCTTTGACCATGTGCTAGGCTAGTGTATCTAACACTGTACTGTCTCAGCAGTGCTGAACCTGCTTTCTTTCTCTCTGCCTCCCCAGCAGCAGGTGCTGCTTGTATGGCTTTGAATATGCTCTTAGCTGGGCAGCCCAGTGCTGGAGATCCAGGAGTTGCACTGCCGCCCTCTCCTATTGCTCTTGGTCTTGATGTTACAAAAGCCGCTCTGTAAAATCTCCAGCCCTTGAAGGGTGGCTGCTGGGTGGGCCGAGTTCCTGAGTGGGCCTTCCTTCCCAGGTGAGACAGCAGCGGTGGATTCGGAGGCAGTTTACAAGCACTTGTTCACCAGGATTCCTGCTCAGCTCTTCCACAGCCCAATGGTGGCCTTTGAGTTTATCCAGTTCTGCAGGGACAACATCCAGTTCTTCACAGAGAACATCAGCATCTTCAGACGGAGCTTCCCAAACCTTTTCAAGGTATGGGGGCTGGGGCTGGGTCAAGCACTGCTCTTCACGCACTTCATGTGTCCTTGGAATGAAAGCCCCTAATGCTCAAGGGGGTGGCTGTACAACAGTGGTGCCCAAACTTTTCCTGTTGCACTCCCCCTTACCAGTAATGGAATCTGTCTGCGCCCCCTCTCTATGGCTGCACAGTTGGCTCAGCAGAGGAGCTTGGGATGGGGGAGGAGCCGGGACTAGAGGTGGAGCTGGCCTGGGGGCGAAACAGGGGGTGGGGTGGGGTGGAGTGGAGCTGTGGCTGGGGTGGAGTGGGGCTGGTGCAAGAGCTGAGCTGGGGGTGGAGTGGAGCTGCAGCTTGGGACAGAGCTGAGCTAGGAGTGGAGTGACTCCTGGGGGAATTCTGCCTCACTGTGTATGCGCAGAATTCATGGCCCCCGCAGATTTCTTTTTTTCCCCGCAGAAAAATTACTTCTGACGGGGAAGCTGCAAGAGCAGTGTAGGCAGGTTAATTTGGGCGCTCAGAGTAGCTGGTAGAGACATAAATCACCACCGGGGTGGGGCAGGGCAGTCATGCCTGTGAGAGAGAGAGAGAGAGAGACTCTGTCCCTCTTGCTCACTATTGCGACATGCTCGGCATGGAGGGCCAGGGCTTTGGGATATTTCTGATGAGGTAAGTGTGGGGCAGGCTCTGTCCCTCAGGCAAAGCAGCATGTAGCAGGTTGCCTGCTTAATGAATTGTTCCCATTGTTCTTAGTGAATTCCCCTCAAGATTATAAAACAGGTGTAAAAAATTGTAAGGCTCCTTTTTGTTGCCAGAGTGGTGTAAAGGAGCCTTATTATAAAGAACAGTATGACCTTATTAAAATGCTTATGGTGCTTTAGTGCTTAGAACTGGTCTAAATTTTTGGACTGAAAAAATTTCCTATCAAAATGTGCTCTATGAACTGTTTGCTACTGACCTTTCTGGAGATGGTCAGTAGCCAATATACATTGTGAGTTTGAGTCCCCAGCCCTCACTTGTTCTTCAGTTGCCTATGATGTAACACTGAGCATATGGCTGCATATATTTGTTGACTAATAACTAGAAGTGAAGGGTCAATACTAGCTACGTTACTATTAGACAAAGGGGGGTTGGGGATTTCCTCCAGTGCTTCCCACTGCCATTCTCTATCCATTGTACTATAGTTTAAATAAATTACCAAAATAATTGAAACTAGCATGATTATATTAATTATTTTAACAAATAAAACATGCAGAATTTTGCTGAATTTTAAAATATTTGTGTGCAGAATTTTTAATTTTTTGGCACAGAACTCCCCCCAGGAGTATGGAGTGGAGCTGCAGCTTGGGCCAGAGCTGAGCCGGGGCTGGAGCGGAGCTGTGGCTGGGTGATGCTCCCGCCCTGCCCCCTATGGGCCCTGTGTGCTATTTGCGGATGATACTAAACTGGGAGGAGTGGTAGATACGCTGGAGGGGAGGGATAGGATACAGAAGGACCTAGACAAATTGGAGGATTGGGCCAAAAGAAATCTGATGAGGTTCAATAAGGATAAGTGCAGGGTCCTGCACTTAGGATGGAAGAATCCAATGCACCGCTACAGACTAGGGACCGAATGGCTAGGCAGCAGTTCTGCGGAAAAGGACCTAGGGGTGACAGTGGACGAGAAGCTGGATATGAGTCAGCAGTGTGCCCTTGTTGCCAAGAAGGCCAATGGCATTTTGGGATGTATAAGTAGGGGCATAGCGAGCAGATCGAGGGACATGATCGTTCCCCTCTATTCAACATTGGTGAGGCCTCATCTGGAGTACTGTGTCCAGTTTTGGGCCCCACACTACAAGAAGGATGTGGATAAATTGGAGAGAGTCCAGCGAAGAGCAACAAAAATGATTAGGGGTCTGGAACACATGAGTTATGAGGAGAGGCTGAGGGAGCTGGGATTGTTTAGCCTGCAGAAGAGAAGAATGAGGGGGGATTTGATAGCTGCTTTCAACTACCTGAAAGGGGGTTCCAAAGAGGATGGCTCTAGACTGTTCTCAATGGTAGCAGATGACAGAACGAGGAGGTAATGGTCTCAAGTTGCAGTGGGGGAGGTTTAGATTGGATATTAGGAAAAACTTTTTCACTAAGAGGGTGGTGAAACACTGGAATGCATTACCTAGGGAGGTGGTAGAATCTCCTTCCTTAGAGGTTTTTAAGGTCAGGCTTGACAAAGCCCTGGCTGGCATGATTTAACTGGGAATTGGTCCTGCTTCGAGCAGGGGGTTGGACTAGATGACCTTCAGGGGTCCCTTCCAACCCTGATATTCTATGATTCTATGATTCTATCCCGAACATTTCTCCACGCACCCATGGGGAGGGCATGCCCCACAGTTTGGGGCCCATTGCCATACATGTATCACTGACAGGCTGAGGTGTGGAAGGACTCACAAGCGGAGTTTAAAATATGTTTGTGGTGGGGGATTAGTTCTGGATATGTTTACCTGGTTCATCAGGGCATGAAAGGCTGTGAGTAGCATCTGTGATCCAGAGGCGTCTGGGTGTCTAATACAGCAGTTGGGGGTGGGCAAGGGAGTAAGGACTTGGCAACCAAACTGTAGCAGAAGGGGTGTCAATGGGCTCTATCCCAGGGAAATGACTGTCTTGTGGGATGGAGCATTTCCTAGTTTGTCCACAGCACCCCTTAATTCCTTCACTGGAGTCTGACAACACCCTGGGCAGCAGGGCCTGGTTGGGGTGGGGGTTAATTCTCCTGCATTAAGGCTTAGGGACTCAAAATTGCTAGTTCTGAGATCCACCCCAGTGCAGGTGGCCGCTGGGAGCTCCTGTCGCATCCTTGCAAACCCCCTTTGTGGAGGCTGTGAGGTCAATCCAGTTCTGTGCTGGGCCAGCCTGAGCGCCTTTAGAAGCAAATTCTCCATGCGGTGAAACTTGCTGTGTTGGTTTGTGAGAGACTTGGGTCATCCGCTTCTAAATGTTTCACTCTGGCTGTGGGGTCTCAGAGCTGAACTGCCCTGGCACTCCACATTTCTGTGCATTTTGTTCCTCTCCCTTTGCCCCTGTAACATGCTTTTGCCTTCTCTGAGGTGGGAGAATCCAGCCCAGTTAGGGGGGAAGAGAAGCAGACCTACGGCTAGCTACTTGTGAAAGTCTCTGCCTGTTTTTCCCTGCAGCTCCTAGCATGGAATAGCCCAGCCTTGATTTCTGAGTTCATGGACCTTCTGCCACCTCTGCTTGGTGCTGACACAGCCATCGAGATCTTTCACTTGCTGCTTGACCTGCCATGTTTGGCGGCTGCTCTGGACATCCAGCTGAGGTGATATCACCTTCCCCTCCTCTCACTTTTTAGCAGGGTGTTGACATTGGGCTGTGTCCTGACCCACTCTTTGACCCAGAACTAACTGCTTGAAATGCATGCCCCACACCCAAAGAACACCCAGGACCGCATCAGTTCAGAGCAGCAGCTACCGTAGCTGGATTTATATGGGGCTGTGAAAGCACCTGACCAATAATGTTTGTAGTTCTGCTGCATGTGCAAAGATAGGGACAGTCAGGTCTCATGCTTCTGAGCAGTAGGCTGACTGTTGTTAGGGGTCAGGAAGGAATTTCCCTCCCTTCCCCCATGTCCACCTCTGAGCAATTGGTAGATGCCCATCCCTCTGGAGCACATGGTATTGGCAACTGGCAGAGAGAGGATGCCAGAATTGGTGGTCTCGGTTAGCCAGTCTTACATTTAGGCTCGGAAGGATTCAATTTTTAGTGGTAAATGTTGATTTCATCATACGTACAAACTGGTGAAAAAAATATTTCCATCGATGACGATCAAAATTTACATATAGGCAAGGTCAGAAAAATGCCGCTTGATTAGAGTTTGATTTAAGGATATTTACTGTGTATATTTTGTGTTTTGACAGTTATAAAGCGTTAACTTTTTGAGTCTCCAACACGTCATTCAGTAATTATTATCTGACACCCACCCTGATAATTTCCTGCAACTGTGAAAATTTGAATGGATAAAAAATAAAAACAAAATAAAAACAAAAAAACCTTAAAACTAAACATTGATATTATCCATTTCAATGATTAGAAAATAAAAATTCTGCCAGGCCTGCTTATGTCCTGCCCTGTTGCCCTTGTTAGCTTCTCGGGCAGACATGAAGTTCAGATTCTCTCCTGGGAGGGTCATGTGAGAGTGGAAGGGAAGACGAGCGTGACTGGCTTCTGCGGCTCGCTACCCCACACATGCCCTGGGGATCCGCGGAGTATAGAAGCACTTCCGGGAAGGCTTAGCACGGAGACTCGCACTGGAGCGGTCCGCTGGCAGAGGGGACTTTGGTCATTATGGAGTACTGGGTTTGCTGGGCCTGGAGTCGCCCTTTTGGACTTTGCCAGGGCATGCTGCTGAGCCAACTGGAGAGAGTGCTGGGAGAGTAGCCTCATGCCTAGCTCCTGAGGAAGGGTGCAGTCTGCCTGAGCTCCCGTCTGTTACCCAGCATTTCTTATACGCAGATTCCTGCTTTTTAACCCTGTTGATGTTCTTGTTCTGAAGGCCCGAGAACCATTTCACTGTTGGAAACTATTTGAAAGAAACCTGAACTTTCTGGGGGGTTGATCAGCTATTGGGGGCCCTTCAGCCTTGACATTCCTCTAACTGCGACCTAGCCAATTTGCTGCTGTGTTCCCATTACTTCAGTTTGCGTTGTGTGTGTCCGTTACTAGATCTGCCTCTGCTCCCATCTCTGAGAGAGCCACCTGGGATCCTGCTGCAAAGCCAGCCAGCTGCCTGGAGGCCTTCCGCCACCCGCTCTACAGAAGCACCTTTCAGTATCTCCTCCGCATTGAGACCACCCCCAGAGACCCCCCTGAGCGGTACGAGGCTGCAGCCAGCGTCGGGTTCAGCTGCATGGGGATGCTGTGACTCCCCATCCCACAGCTGCCTGAGGACTGTGGGGTCCAGGAGGAGGAAGCAGCACTGCAGGCAGGGTTCTGTGCAGAGGAAGAGCTGGGGTTGCTGTGCAAGACTCGTGTGTCTGCTCCCAGGCTGGCTCCTGTGTACTGGCTCCTGAGTACAGTCACAGCTAGAATGTGGCACACGTCTCCCTCTCCTCTTCAGTTTTGCAAGGTGTTCAAAAGCAGAACGACTTAGGGAGAAAAAGGGCGGGGCTGGGAAGCCGGGATTCTTCAGGGAAGCTGCTTTGATGGTGATATTGGGGTCTGTTGTCAACAGGTTGGCTCCTCTTCGCCAGCTGCTGGGGTCCATGGCCAACTGTCCACGGGTTGTGCAGTGTGCAGACACCATCCCTGTCTTACTGCGGCTCTACTTCGGTGTGGTGGCAGAGGTAGGGCTCCCTGCAGACAGGTAACTGGGGAGTTCCCATCCTGTGTGTCGCTGTCTCTGATGTTCCCTTTGTCATGGGAAGAATATCCATGGGAACCAAAGGGTTAAACTCCCTCTGGCTTGGGTTCTGGCTCACTCCGAGACGGTGCCCTCTTCCCTTTGCTCTGGGCCTTAATGGGGGGTGAAAATACCCAGGACCCTGAGTGGGTGTATGAATCTATAAAGGAAATTCCTGGGATTGTGGGGGGTGTTTCTTTAGGGAGTGAACCTCTAGGAACAGGCGGTGGCTGGGCAGGCCCTTTTCGTGGAAAAGGGCCCTTACTGCAGTAGCTCAGCATTATTTGAAATCCTTGCCAGGCTGCTACCAGCAGCAGCTGCTGACCAGTGAGGCCTCTCCAAGTGTGGGCAGCAGGAGGACAAGTGCAAGGCTCCTGCCCAGCACCCTGTGTCACTCAGATCAGGCTGCCAGGCTCCTCCACAAATCCCCTCTGGGTTTGGCTGGAGTGGCTGGGGGCTGTGGTGGTGCTGAAGGAAATGCTTCTCCATCTCCAGTTTGCAGACAGCCCCCTGATAAACCAGCTGGTGTTGGTGCTGCTGGAGAGGAGTGAGCAGCTCTACGAGATCCCGGCGTTTAAGGCTGATGTCCATAGGTGAGTATGGGCACCTCTGGGAAGGGGAGAGAATGGATAGAATTGCCAGGAGGAGGATTACACAGCACACTGCCCCGGTCTGGCTTTCCAAGGGTAGCCAGGGACCAGCCTTGCCACAATTGCTGCATGGCCTGTCTTCGGAGGGCACAGTGACATGGTGCCTTGCGGTTGGCACGCTTGGAGTGAAATCAACAGCTCCCTCTCTTTGGTCAAGAAAACCGTGTGGGTCACAGGCACATGGACACCAGAGTATTGGGGCTGAGCCCTCTGGACAAACAGCTGCAGGGACTGGAGCCACTGGGCACTGCGGTCACACCCTGATCGCAGCACATCTGCAGCCACTGTCCCGCACTGAGGCACTTGTTTGCCATTCACACATGGGCACTCACTGGTGGTCACTGTGCAGACTCCTGTCTGGGGGCAGGCTCCTCCCTTACTAGTGGGCCATTGGGGTTGCCTAATCTGGTGAGCAGCCTGCTCTGATCTGTGTGGGTGCCAGGCAGTTGGTTCCTGAGCTATTGCCCTCTCCCTTTTTCCTGGCAGAGTGCTGAGCTCCCAGCTAGTGCTTCTGTGTAAGCTGCACCCCTCCCTGGTAGTGGAACTGTCCAAGGAGCTTCTGGAGTTCTCAGGAACCGTCAGCAACATCCGGAACAAAGAAGATATCTTCACCTACGTGGTAAGGTGGAGCCTGCCTGCCTCTGATACCCTACCTGTGGCCCCCTCTGCAGGCTACCAGAGGACTCTCTTCACAAACTTCCTCTTGTCTTCTCTCCTCTGGTGCAAACTAATCTCATCTGTCACTTCCTTAGACTGTTCTCCAAGAGGTCTGTATACTTCTCTGCCTGTCTTGCTGCAGGTCTGGGCTATTGGAGAGTACATGTCTGTGTCATACGACAAAAGGTGCACCGTGGAGCAGATCAACAAGTTCTTTGAAGCCCTGGAGGCCATGCTGTTTGAAATCATGCAACTCCGGCCCTCGGCCAGCATCCCCAAGTACTCACCCCGTGTCATCACGGTTCTCATGACAACGCTGACCAAACTGGCATCGCGCAGCCAAGATTTGATCCCCAGGTGTGAAACCGGGCAGCAGGTCAGGGTTGAGTGTGCAGTTCAGCCAGGTTACCAAGCAAATGTTTGTTGCTGTATTCCTGTTGGCTAAATAGCCTTAATGAAAAACCCGGGAATTGAAACAAGACAAACTGTGAAAGCAATAGAAAAGTATATTTGGAGGAGCCCAAATTGCAGCCAGGCAACCAGTTTGTGCATGTTTCTGGATAGTGTTTAGAGAGACTCGGAGGGGGAGGGATAGCTCGGGGGTGGGAGGGATAGCTCAGTGGTTTGAGCATTGGCCTGCTAAACCCAGGGTTGTGAGTTCAATCCTTGAGGGGGCCATTTAGGGATATGGGGCAAAAATTGGGGATTTGTCCTGCTTTGAGCAGGGGGTTGGACTAGATGACCTCCTGAGGTCCCTTCCAATCCTGATATTCTATGATACTCTATTGTGTACTGTAGGCAGTGTGTAATCCCAGCCACTCCCAGCAGGAGGCACTGAAGGGAGTGAGGGGGTAGTGTTACCATTGAGGAAGCTCACAGCTTTACCCGGCAGGTGTTGGTGATGGAGGGGATGTGGTTCGGGCTGGAGGGTGCTTTCACCTCTAGGCTCTATCTAGGAAGTTATTTAAGAGTGGTGGTTTTGAGGCAGGAGCTTTATGAGTCTAGAGCTGTTCTCTTGAAGCTCCTGCTGGCTCAAGGCTGTGTCCTTCCCTCTTGCAGGATGTCCCTGTTCCTGTCCAAGATGAGAGCGTTTGTTCAGAGCCCTGCCATGGCCTCGGTGTACAGTGAGGAAGACAGTGAGGAGATCCTGACCCGGGCTGCTGAGCTGATGAACCTGTTGAAAATGCCCAGCGTGGCTCAGTTTGTGCTGACGCCATCAGCAGAGGTTGCCAGCCCACGGTTTCACCGAGACACTAACGTGTCCCTGCCTCTCGCCATGAAGACGGCTAGCCGGCTTTTAGAAAGGGGGACTGGCTTCGTGCCAGGGTGAGGTGATGGCATTTCTGAGTGTCCACTGCATAGCTCTGACTGACGAGACCTGGCTGGCTCTCTGCTGTATTTTGACTAACCTGCTGCTACTGACTCGCTTAACGGAATATGGGGAAGGAGGAGGGATGAGGCTCTGCTCCAAGCTGCACCTTTCTGGAAATGGGCAATAAATGGTGGAAAAGAGGAATAACCAGAGCTGACGGTTTCTGTCTTCGAGCCTGACCATGTGGTTTGTTTGTTTCCTCTCATGGGTGGCTGTTCTGCCCTCGGCCCCTGCAGCAGGAAGTGTTTCCACTGACTCCCCTCGGTGTTCCTGCAATGGGACTCGGGTCCTGGCCCGCCCGGGGAGACCAGTGACATCACCCCCATGAGGCAGAAGCAGCACGCACCCCAAACAGACAACCTGGTGCTACAGGGGAAGGGCGCTGGCTAGTGTATGTGAATTGGGGTTTTCCAAGAAAGCTTAGCCAAAGGCCCAACCTGCCTGAGGGCCTAGCCTGCTTCCCTTTGCAGCTCATGGCAGCAGCCAAAGGAGCTCTGGGCTGGAAGGTTCTGAAAATCCAGGGGGCCATCTCCAAAGCAAGTCCCTTGAGGGGCACTTTGCCCTGTCCTACCAATCAGCTGTTACTTGTCGCCTTTTCCTTCTCCATTGCTCTGACTGCATTGTGACTCCTCCTGCTTTTCCCCCACCAGCTCTGCTCTCTCTGCCTGTAACAGGTGCTTAGAGCAGGAAGCCAAGTCCTGTAGCCAGGAAATGGCGGGAAGTGTAGGCAACCTGTGGAAATGATTTAGGTAAGCGAGGGCCTGCCCCTGCTCCCTTTTTGTTCTAAAGTTCAGTTGAACCTGGCAAGGCCCAAACAGGCTCCAAACCACGGCCACCAGAATGGAGCTTAGGGAGGTTTTATTGTATCCAGTTTATTTTTCACACCGCGAACAACTCCTTGAACATAGCAGCCCTGTCACAGATGGGCCCTGGTCTTTGTTCCGTGTCTGCTCTAGAACTATATACATTGTAGAGATGTACAGTATTAACAAGAGAGGGGAGTGGTCATGCCCCTTTCTGCTGCTGGCAGAGAGCATGTGCCCTCTGACTTCGCACTCAGGCAATAGGAATATTTAGCGCTAACTATAATATTAGTGAAAGACAATTGAGGGACGATTGCTTGGTGCTTCCCATCCAGTTATGGAGGCTGGTCACTTCTCCTGTGGGGTGAATTATGCTATTCTCCTTATGGGTTGGGGGGGAGGGGGGCTGCAAAGCTGGAGAGCAGTATGTTTGGCTTGCTTTGATACTGCTGAATCAAGCCATAGCTGGCCCTGCTTTGTCATGCTGCAAACTCAGGCTCTTGCTCCCTGGGCTGGGACAAGTGTGGCTGTAGGGGGGATATACCATGATCTCCTGGAGGCTCAAGGGCCGTTCTTGTGCCTGTCTCTGAAGCCCTCAGCTGGCAGGGGCATGGAGTGGATGGGTGGGGGGATCCCAGGGCTCAATGGAGGAAGGTCAAGCTAATGTTCACTGTTCTTTTGACTGTTAATAAGGCAGCCACAGCCTTGAGCTGCCTTCATGTGGTTACCTGCTTCTGTTACAATTAAAGGGTATCTCCAGTCGCTGCTGTGCAAGAGAATGCCACAGCACAGAAGCCAGGCACTAGCCTTGAATGGTTATTTCTGTCAGCCTGGAGAGCTTGCAATGTGGGTTTAGATGCCTTGTCCATGAGGCTGCACAGAACCCTGCGGTGTGGTGGGTGGGCTAATGCTGCACTTCCACCTTACAGTGATTAGTCTGAGGTTTTTCCACTGACTTCAAAGTGCAGGAGTAAGAGCGGAGGGTTTTCTCCCTCTGCGCTTGCTAAACCCCACACACAGCTCATCTGCACTAGCCCAGAAGAATATACTTACACTTAAAACAGTTCCCCCCTTGGTAGAGCAGGCACCCTGTTGGCAGGAGAGAGCTGAGTGATGTGTGTGCACTCTTAGGAATAAGCTGTTAAAGCTGTGACTGACTTCCCAAAAAGGGGGAATGTCTGTTTCAAGGCCAGGCATTGTTTAACATCATCAGCATGGCCATAGCAGGCACTGCTGAGCAGCTGAGGTATGCAGAAGATGGGATGGTGCATGGGAGACAGACTCAGGTCCATGGAGCAACTCCCCAGCTCTGCCTGTATGTTTCAGCAGTGGCTACACTTTTTAAAACTACCCCTGATTTGGTATCCACACTGTGGTATCCACAGAGCTACATACCTGCTGGGGCCTGCAACCTGGCTACTTGCCATCTAACTGCTGCCATTTGCACTTAGTCAAGTCCGGCTGCAAAAGTAGCCATGCCTTCAAAAGTATGCCCCTAGATCTATGTGGGGGAGGTTTGACTTCTTCACTTACTAATGAGCTGCAGGCTGCCTGCTAAGGATTTATGGCTTATTCCATAACCCCCCTCCCACCCCCTTTTTTTGGTCCTATATGACTACAGGGGTGTTAACAGGCCCCTTCACCTTGAATGGTTAGAATATGAGGCAAATACTTATGCTAAACTGTCTGTTCAATCTTGGAGTTAACAGTGCCCCTCCCAGACCTCAAGCAGAGCTCTGTGTAGCTCAAAAACTTGTCTCTTTCTCTCTCACCAACGGTAGTTGGTCCAGTAAAAAAGATTACTGCCCCAGCTGTGTCCTTCTAAGAGCCTGGGCTTGCCCCTGCAGCGGATAAGGCATCACCCATGCAGCCAACGAGAACACGTAAGAGCAGCCACTCTGCCTGGGTTGCAGCCATGTCTCCATTTTGTGAAACTGTCAGCGCAGGTTGTTCCCCTGTGAGTACTTTACCAAAGCAAGAGGTCATATTAGTTCACCTTGGCTGGGGGCTTCGCTTTCAAGTGTGGGCTTCACAGGCCTCTCCCCAGGCCAACGTCACTGGAAGCTGTTGAAGGGCCAGCTTTAGAGAAGGTTTAAAACTAGATTCCCCTGTGCAGCAGGGCCCATGCTAGAGCCGGGGAGCAGCCCACGCGGGGGTGATGAGGAAAGGAGAAGGACCTTTCCAGCCCCAGCGCAGGGCCCAGAGGGGGTGGTCCTAGCCTTCCAGCAGCAAGGCACGACACCAGGGCAGGGTGAACTGACTGCCAGGCCCTGGAGGAAGTGAATGTAACGCTCGCATCCGTTCCACCATGACAGCCCATTGCATCAGCTTATGCTGCTAAAGCCTGTCCCTGTAAAAGTCATTTCCTGCACCCCAGTTGTTCTGTTATTTGTTAGTACTTCAGGCACCCCCAACCTTGTATAAGCAGGGGCATAGCGAGCAGATCGAGGGACGTGATCGTCCCCCTCTATTCGGCATTGGTGAGGCCTCATCTGGAGTACTGTGTCCAGTTTTGGGCCCCACACTACAAGAAGGATGTGGATAAATTGGAGAGAGTCCAGCGAAGGACAACAAAAATGATTAGGGGTCTGGAACACATGACTTATGAGGAGAGGCTGAGGGAACGGGGATTGTTTAGTCTGCAGAAGAGAAGAATGAGGGGGGATTTGATAGCTGCTTTCAACTACCTGAGAGGTGGTTCCAGAGAGGATGGTTCTAGACTATTCTCAGTGGTAGAAGAGGACAGGACAAGGAGTAATGGTCTCAAGTTGCAGTGGGGGAGGTCTAGGTTGGATATTAGGAAAAACTTTTTCACTAGGAGGGTGGTGAAACACTGGAATGCGTTGCCTAGGGAGGTGGTGGAATCTCCTTCCTTAGAAGTTTTTAAGGTCAGGCTTGACAGAGCCCTGGCTGGGATGATTTAATTGGGGATTGGTCCTGCTTTGAGCAGCGGGTTGGACTAGATGACCTCCTGAGGTCCCTTCCAACCCTGATATTCTATGATTCTATGAACCTCAGGAATCCAGCTTGAAGGGCCAGAGGGTGACATTCTGCTGCCACCTTTCACAGCCCAGGAACCTGAGTTTGTTCCAGCAAAGCAGCTGTTTGGGGTTTGTAATAAATGTTCCCTGGCAGTTCTGGCCTAGGTTAACTGTAATTGTTATGTTAATCACTAGGTGCTCAAAATCTCCCAGGTCTCAGTGCTAGGTAACTCAATAATTGCAACAGCAGCCGCTAGGGCCCCCACTGCTAGTCAGGCACCAGCCCTGCCTCGCCCTCTGGGTGCAGAGGAATGGAATAGCTTGTTCCTAAGCTCGGTTGAGCCGAAGAGAACATTGCCTGGAATGGGATCTGTCCTCTGCAAAGAGGAGTGTGGGTGGGCAGGTAAGTAGGGGGCTATGGAAACCCCATGCTCAGGCTGGCAGGGGGAAGGACAACTCTGTAAAATGAGCCCATGCGATACACCTGTGAGCGGAGGGGCATTTGGATTGTAAAGCCCCCTCCCTCACTCGCTCAGCAGTGTCCTCCCTGGACCCTGGCAGAGCAGAACAGAGATACCCAACAGCCTGAAAAGCAAATTGAGAACAGGTCTTTAGTCCTGGAATGGTGCAATTTCACACTGGATCCTCCGTGTTCCACGTACAGTCTCTGCCCATCCCACCAGCTTTTGTGTAGTTGGCCTTGACGGCAGCTTCGTTTGTAGGGGGCTACGGCCAGGCCCTTGCAACGTGAGCGTTAAGAGGACGATGGTGAGCTGGAGCTGATTTTCTTGGCTATTTCCATGTCAGACTTGGCAACCAGAAACCGCAGCTTCTTCCCTCCAGACCGGATAAGCTCCACTGCACTGGAGAGACCACACAACAGGAACAGGGAGGTTAATGCCATGGCCCCAGGCTCACTACCCAGAGCAGCGGCTGGCTCGTGTGACACTGAGGATCCCTCTAGTCAGCTCTTGCAGAGCACGGGTTGGGCTGGCAGTCCTGTTGGAGGCTCTCCCCCTGCTCCATCCCTCTCTCGCCCTTGGCACAGCAAGTGCGAGGCAGGCTTTAGAGACAAGGTCCCAAGAGCCAGGCTTTTTGGTTGCAGCTGCTTCACTGCATTCCTCTGGGTAGTTGCTGTTGATGTTTACTTGCTGGGTGGGGGTTTACAGTTACTCATCTCCCCCGCTGCACTAACCTCCTCCAGCTCCCTAGCAATCAGGTTCTGTCCTATCTCCCCCTTACACTTGCTGTCCAGCTCTTTGTTCACATCAAAGAAAGTCAGGAGGGGCTGAAGCTTTAATTTACTTGTCCCCTGGAAGCATTAAGTGAGTTTGGAGCTGGGCTACAGCCAGGTGCTTGCCCTCAGGGTGATACTCAACACTAGGCTGCTCCTTGCTCCCCTTACAAGATGCCATTCTTCTCCCCTGACAGCTGGATCACTGACAGAGATGCACACACCATCTGCATGGTCAGTGCTACCAGCAGAGGTTATTTCTCCTCTGGAATTGTTTTTAATCCTATGAGGGTCGCAGACCGCACAGAGCAACATCACTTATAAGAAACAAGCATTTCCTGCAATGCACAGACCTGTTCTAGTCAAAGTAACATTCCCTGTAGCCAGGGCTTTCCAAGGGCCAGGCCAGTGCTGCTCCTTCCAACTGAATGGACCTGGGCTACAGTTTAAAGAAACGCCACTTGAGGGATTATCTTGAAAGGGTCATACTACCTGGCATGGTGGTGGACAGGGATGGAGTGTGTACTGCTCTAGCAGGTGGACTCCAGGGCAGGGAAATACCTGCCCACTCTGGCAGGAGAGCACTGATCTTTTCACCAGACACACGCTTTTTGCCAGCAGTTGCTATTTGAAACTCCTGGCTCTCTCACAAACTTTCGTTGTTGGTGCCACTTTGCTAGCCACATGGTGGCTCTCCTGCGTTCCCTGTGGTACAGAACACTCCCTTCTGTGTACTAAGCACATGGCTACTAGCCCAGGCATCACCAGGAGCAAGAGGACCTCGGACACTGTGAGCCTGCTCTGAGCAGGAGTTTAAAATGCCTGCAGCTGCTAGAGAAGGGTCTAGCAATGACTTTCTCCTGCGCTGTTGAGTACTGGGCCAAGACGCCAGTAGGGCCATGCCTGCTCTTTTGCAACACATCACAGCCTTCAATGCCTCCCACACCCCGGCTTCTTCCTTTTTTATTTTACCTCTGGTAGTCTGCTCCAATCAGACTGGTGCCGTTAACAGCCAGGATGCGGTCGCCTATGGAGAGTCTGCCATCTGAGGCTGCAGGACTGCCCTGGATGAGGGTCCTGATGTAGATGCCGGGAGAGTTCAAAGGGGTGTGCTGTCAACAAATAACGGTCAGTACGAAGGCAGTGGTGAGACAGGTTCTGCACAAGACAAAGGGCTACACAGCTTCTCGCACTCTACAGCTCTGGGTCGGCCGTGTTGGGAGCCTCTGTGTCCACTGGGTTACTAGCTGCTGCAGGCATTTAGAACTCCTGCTTGGAGCAGGCTTACAAGGCACCGGGTGCAATTGTCAAGAGCCACTGAACAACTTCCACGCCACAGTCCCCTTTTTAAGTTGCTTTGGGGCAGCTAAGGGCCCCGGACCTTTAGTAAGCTCCCGAGTGTCTGTCGCTTTTGAAAATGGGACTTTGGCATTTCTGAAAATGGTAGCACACTGTGTGGGGTGGGTTTGGGTTGCTTTTTCAATCACCTATAGCAGCCCGTGCCCAAGGTTGCTCATGCCGGCGGAGCTGAATCTATGTGAGCAAGGGCGAGGTGCTTGTAGAACATTTTCCAAGTGCAGATGACTTTGCAAGGGAAAAGGTGAACACGAGGTGTGTGTGCATGAAATGGATTTTGCAGTCTGTCCCCACCACCTACAAAGGAAGACCTAGGATCAGTGACTTCCCCCAGCTTATGCATTCCTACAGCCTGAGAAGATGCCAAACACGTGCCCTAGTTCCTTTGTCCGCTCAGTGGGAGTCTCATGACCTGCTCCAAGAATTCTGCAGTACCAACAGGCCAAGCTTCTCCAGATGCCAGGGCAAGGCTGCTGCAGAGCTAGGAGGAAAAGCAGCTGGCTGAAATTCTGAGGGCCTGGCAGCTACTGCTGCCTGTGGACCTCCTGGGGGTTCTAGTAGCTGGGTGTTTGCAGCCCTGGGCTACGGAAGCGCTCTAATCCACGCGGAAAGAAGGGGAGCCCTCCGCGCTGTTTGCACCTCCAGGTGGACAGAGGAGACTGCTGGCCACACTTCCCTTGTTCATTTTAATTCTGGGAGGAGCATAATCAACAAGCCAGGCTGCCCTCTGGCAGGACAAAGCTCCCTCACTGAGTGCACATGAAATACAGTTAGGACTATGGGTAAGGCCTTATTTTTCTACTGACTAATGCACTGCTGAGAAAGGCCCCAGTTACAGTGACCCATTGCGCTAAACCAGATTGCAACCCCTAGCGCATGAGAGCAGGGACGTTCCTGTGACTTTTCTGCTTGCACTCAGCATTGGCTATTCTGAGCATGTGCTGTGAATGCAGGGCAGGACAAACCATTTCATTCCTACTCAGCAATGAGCTCTTGGGAGGGGGTCCTCCACCTGGCCCGCATCTGGCCAGATTTTTTTTTTGACATTCACCTATCACTTGTGACGGGGTAGGAAAGGCCTTCCTTAGTCTTGCATCCTTCTTCCGCAAAGGACTCTAGCAATAGCGTTGGGCAGATTTAATTTCATCTATTCTCCACGGGCCTTGGGGCAGCTTTGATATAAGCATTACAGCTGGGTCTGCGCTAACAGGTGTCTGAGATCTGATTCCTTACAGGGCTTTATTGGGATCCCTCAGAATAACCTAAGAAATCACGGCACTTGCATTCACCCCAGAGATTAACCCAAGCAACCACTTGGTCAGATTTCACAGGAAAGGAAGCTATAGGGCATACGAGCGGCATGAGCTTTACAGATCACTTTTCATCTTCATATAATACATTCCCTGCAGCACGAGCCCAGTTCTAAATATTCTGCGAGGCAGAGCAGGATATACTCACCAAGCCATCAATCAGTCCCATCCCCAACCCGATGGGCCCTTTTTCCAATTCCACCACAAAGACGTAGCAGAAATCATCCGTGGCGGAGCTGCGACTGGAGGAAGCTGGCGTGGGATAGTCGTAGGGCATCGGAGAACACCCTGGGGCCAAAGAGATGCAAAGGGTCAGACAAATATTCCTCCAGTATTCACCCAACCCAGCCTGCTCCTCTCTGCACAGAGCTCCTCCTTTCTTGCCCCGCCGGCAATCACAGCTGAAATAAGCAGCGTATCAGCCAGGCTCCCTGGAGTGCCCCTGTGCTTGCCAGCAGCACATCTGGCGGGGAGGGCGGGCTCACTTCATTTTGGCTTGGCCAAACTGCCAATGCAACGGCACTTCATGCAGGCAGAGCCGGCGCTCGGCATAAGCAGACTAAGCAATTGCTTAGGGCCTGGAGCAACTCAAGGGGGTCTTGTATTAGTTATTAGTATGTGTTGGGGGGAAGAGGGGACAAAAATATTCCTGATTAGGGCCTGCAATGGGCTAGCACTAGCCCTGACAGCTTGGGGCAGAACATGCTTCTAGACAAGGGGCTCGGCCTAGAGAGGAGAGCCTGGTGGCTGCAGGATCCATTAAACGTCAGTCTAGAACGTCAGACATTGGGAACTAACATGGATGAGCCTGGGAGCGGCAGGATGGCTGGCAAAAGCGCTCTGCCCTCTTCCCCCGGGCCTGTCTGGAGAGCTCCAGAGCCTGTTGGCCGGAAAAGCTCAAACGGGCCTCTCCAAATGTAGCCAAGTGTTGCCCTCACACTGATTCTTGGATAAGGTTTTGGTCCTTGGCTTGTACACATGCAAAGCCTGCTTGCCCGGCCCCGGCTGAATGACTGCACATACAGAAACCGGGATGCACAAATCCTGAGGGCACAAAATGACACGTTGGGTTGCTACCTCTGAAAATCTGGCCCTAAACGGCTCTGCAGGGTTTCGGGAGTTAATGGGTAAGTTTTTCTCAGCGGCTGGAGAGTTCTCAGAATAAATGGTGGCACGAGAACAAGCAAAGGCCGTTCAATTCCTCCAGCAGGTTGGGTTTTGCAGAACTGGAAATTTTTTGGCTTTGGCTACGGCTTGGTACATGACGCCAATGAAGGCTCAAGCTGGCCATGACTCCACGCTGCATTCATGAATACGGAGGAGCCCAGTCAGCCAGGAGAGTCTGGCTTCCCCTCCTGGCCACTATAATGACCTTATAAAACACTCCTGGAGTGTTGCCTTCTCACATGGATACAGGCTGCTCCTGGGGCTCAGCTAATGAAATCCACCCAGCTCTGCTTGGTGCTTTGTCTACAGCACACAGTCGTACTGACATCTGGCTTCTATTTGCTGGCCTTTCCTTTCCTCTCCTGGCTCACAGCTGGCGGGAGAGGGACTGGTTTTAAAAATAAACACATGGGCATAATCACCCTGCCATTGGCCACGAGAAACGCAGCTGCCAATATGTGCAAAATGTGGGATTTTCAACTAGCTGCTCTTTCAGGAGTGCCCCCCTGATGCCCAGGTGTCTTGCAAATCCCTTCCTGCCTCTGTTCAGTTCCATCTACTGGACACTGGTTCACACATGCAAACCAATTACCTGCTGCTTCTTCAGAAGGGGCAGTGGGATTTAGATGCCAAGCACCCACTGTGTCCCTACAAAGGTCTGAAATGGATGCAAAAGGCCTCTGCTTGCTTCTGGGAGCAAGGTCATAAAATCTTCTTTCTTTTACAAAATCTTCTGAACCCGAAGGCACTTCACAGTCTGTGCACACACGGCACCCACTGGTGGGCTGCAGGGCGGCAGCTCACTGGCTAATAGCAAAGGGCAGGAAGGAAGGGAGCGGGGCGCTTTGACCAAGGGAGCCTGCTCTTACAGAAAGCATCCAAGGCTCTTCAGAGCCCCCCCAGAGCAGCCAGGCCTTTGGGACGGAGCTCGGTGTATCTAGCTTGGGACGATAAAGGTTAAGCTGACCTCAGCTGGGGCCGGGGCATGCAGGTATTGCTCACCTGATGGTTCAGGCTAGAGTGCAGCACAGAGGTCACGCTGCTCGCGGTAATCGTGAATTTTCATGCAGTCCGTGAGCCCTGCAGCTGCGGCTCCTCTGGGCCCCATTCCAGCCATTGCAACTCATGTGGTCGCACTACAATTCTGCTTTGGCCGTCCGCCCCACCATAGATGGAGACAGAGGGGCGGATGAGCCAAATCTGATGGGTGGTGCCACCTAGCATACAGGGTTTCAATGACTGAAGCAGGGAGTCGGACCCACCCCTGCTGGTGTGGGGTGAGCTCGCTCTCCAACCCCTCCAACCCCCGGGCTGGGACCCCTCCGTGACTGTGGGGATTTTTTTCCACATACCTCTGCTGTGAAATTGACTAAACATTTGTATGACAAAATCGTTGCCTTGCTGATGGTTAGGCCACGAAGCCTTCCCCTGTGGCAAGAAGCAAAGAGGCCAGGCCGCGGAGGCCCAGTGGTGCTGGATTATGCTCTATTCTCCTGGCTGCCATGCTTGTCTGACCCCCAGTCTGTTCCCCGGGGAACCAGACTTGTTGTGGTCCCTACAGGAAGCAGTTCCTAGGGAAACTGGCAATGCAAGACAGAGCCTAACATGTGAGCGCTGAGGATCTGAGGGCAGGAAAGGTTCTCGGTACCTTCAGGGGTGGTGGCTTTGGTGCCATTGAGTCCATCCTTCCTGGGGTCCTGGATGACTTTCCCACAGCTGGTGCTCTGAGGGGATTCTGGGCATCCAGGGTCAAAGTTCAGAGGCGTATTGGGAGGGGTCAGTAAGCAGGAGGGATCCACTGGCAACACGCTGGCCTTGGAGATGTGGTTTTTCCCCAGGCTGCAGGGTAGTTGCAGATGCTTGAGTTTTTCTTGGCGCTGTGGCTCACTGGTGTAATAGTCTCGGGGGGATCGGCTCATGTCTGTGGGGAGCGGAGGGCTCCCAGCAGCCTCTGCCTCCACACAGCTACCTGGGTGTCTGTAATCCGACTGGCCAAAGGAATTCCCCAGGGCTGGCAAGGTGAGTGTGTTCTCGGGCACCTCGGGGGCATTTTGGCTGGTGGGAACGTCTTTCTTTAAAAGGAGAAAAATACGGAGCGTTAGCCTGGCCCCTCTAGCTATCTAGGTTGCCCCTCACTTTGGTATCTGACCTCCACTGGGGGCAGGGAGGTGACTTAGTAACTTCTGCCTAAGAGCTTGAACATGGGGCAAAAGTGCAGCAGTGTGACCCCTCCTGGGGGCTGGGGCAGTGCTGTTAGCCCCATTGGTCAGCAGGGGGAAGCAGAGCCCAGAGAGGGGAAATGACTTGGCCGGGGTCACAGGAGGAAGCAACGTTAGAGCTGGGCAGAGACCCCAGAGTTTCCGAGTCCCCGTCTCGTGTCCTGACCACAGCGCGTCCCACCCACAGGTAAAGCCAGCCTTTCTGTGGGCGCACTGCCATGCAGGAGCCCCAGCTCAGTGTGGTCCACTGCCCCAGCAGCTGCACAGACAGGTGCAGGTTTACACCTGGATTCTTCTCGGTACATCAGTGGGTCCCAAAGCTTTAGCAATTAGGAATTAGTTAGGGCTTGTCTACATGGAGCAACTTACCAGCACAATTCTAACGCTGTAGTTACATTGGTATAACTCCCTGGGCGGACACCTGCCCGAGCAGTCGGCGCTAAACTGGAAAGTGGCACTCTGACCCCGGAAAGGGTTCCCCTTAGGGCATTAGTGTGCTGTAACGATGGCCTGCCCACAGTGTTCATGTTGCCTACACTCCCCCTCAGCTAGGTGGCGCTGGCATGGCAGTACGCCTCTCCCTTCTTTGGTACCCCAATCGTTCCAAGGTTCTGCAACGGCGGGATGGCCAGTCTCTTGCTGGCTGGTTTCCAAGGACCTCCCCGGCCAACCCAGGACTTCACGCTGGGGCAGTCGCCAAGAAAGTCAAGGAAATGCTCCAAACGCAGAGCCCTTTAGGCACCCACTGGGGCCGGCTGGGAGCGGGGGGTGATCTGAGGTATCCTCCTCTTGCTGCAGCAGGGAGCTGCACCCCGTGAGGACGAAGACAACGGCCAGGAGTCGGCTGTGCTCGCAGGGCCTGGGACTGCGCGTGCTGGCTGCAGGGGTGAAGGCAGGGGGATTTCCTGTCACTCCCCACCCGAGAACTGCTCCCTCCCGAGGAGTTCCACAGGGGAGGGGTGGCAGGGACACTGAGCCCTGACGGCACTTTACACACATTTGCTAATTAACAGTAACCCCACAAATGCCTGCGTGTGGACGTGAGAGCGGGCCAGGCTGCTTACACCCCTTGGAGCGGGAAGGACATTCTCCGGAGTCCAGAGCCACGACGTACTCCCCACTTCTACCCAGACCTGCAGCCCTTTGGGCACAGAGAAAGGGAGTGAGACAAGGGGGATGGGGGGCGGTGAGACAGGAAGGGCACAGACAGGGAAAGGCTGCATTGCAAACTGGCACCTCCCTCCCCCTCCTTGCTAACAAGATTGTGAAAACAAGCGTGTCCTTTCTCCACACCTCCTCGCCCTCCTCCAGGCAAGGGGATTAGCAGCACTAATCCCGCACAGCAGCGTGCAGGTTCCTCTAGTTTGAGATATCAGCTCGCTAGGGCTTCCCAGCCCCTGCATCCCACAAGACAGCCCCAGTAAACTCCCAGGGCTGGTGCAAAGCCAAAGGCGCGCACAGCCCGTGGAGTCGGGGTGATCGCACTGGTCTGGCTGGCACACTCCCAGGGCCAGCACGGGCCTGCGGAAAAGGGGCCGGGGTTAGACTATCCCAGCCACGCACAAACTCAGGCTCCCTCCCTTCCGCTCTTCCTGGTCTGGCTCTTGGTCCCAACAGCCGCCCGGCAAATAATGCAGCAGGGCAGCAGAGGGCTCCTTTACTCTCATACAGTCAGCGTGCGCTTCCCTCTCAAAGCGGAGGCTGGTGGGAGCTTAGGATAAATACCCAGGAAGAACTGCGGCAGACACAAACCCATTGCTACTCCACCGCAGGGACCCAGAGCTCTGCACTGTTCCCGGTCACTGAGAAAAGGCCAGTGTTGGATGACCCATGCTCTAGCCCAGCGCTTCTCAACCATTTTTGTTCTAAGCCCCCCCAGCATGCAATAAAAACTCCACAGTCCACCTGTGCCACAATAACTGCTTTTCTGCATACCCCCGCCAGGGCCAGCATTACGGGGTAGCAAGCCGGGCAGTTGCCTGCGGCCCCCACGCCACAGGGGCCCGCCCCAAAGCTACATTGCTCAGGCTTCGGCTTCAGCCCCTGGCAGTCAGGCTTCTGCTGTCTCCCAGGGGCCCCAGGGAGTCTAATTCTGGCCCTGCTTGGTGGACCCCCTGAAACCTGCTCTCGGCCCCCCGCCCCCGGGAAGAACCACGGCTCTAGTCATTAAAGACGGCACCACACCATCCAATTCCCAGCGGTGGGGGATGGACGAAACCTCCATTCCAATGTATCACATTCACATGCTGCAGGAAAGGAAAGACGCACAGAAAGATCCACCTGGCTGATCGGCTGTGCTATCTTCTGGCTTCATTGTCCCTCCCCCTAGTGGGTGCATCTTGCCTAATGCTCCTGGGTACCAGCACTTCCCTCTAACTCTTCCCTCATATGAAGACTGTGCCACTTGCCCCCCCCCCAAAAAAAGTCTAAGATCAATGGATTGGACTAACGAGCCCCAGGGAGTGGCAGAGGCCAATGTGGCAATGTCAGCCACTGCCCAGGAAACCTGGAGAGAGAGCAGGCTCATGTTTTCTGGGCTCAGCTACAGCAAGACGTGATGGGGCTTAGAATATGGAAAAGTGTGAGTCAGTAACTCCTGGCTAATAGGATCGAAGCCGAGGGAGCGGCGGGGGGGGCGGCATGGATCGAAGCCGAGGGAGCGGCGGGGGTTGGGGGGGGCGGCGCGGATCGAAGCCAAGGGAGCGGCGGGGGTTGGGGGGGACGGCGCGGATCGAAGCCGAGGGAGCGGCGGGGGTTGGGGGGGACGGCGCGGATCAAAGCCGAGGGAGCGGCGGGGGTTGGGGGGGCAGCGCGGATCGAAGCTGAGGGAGCGGCGGGGGTTGGGGGGGCAGCGCGGATCGAAGCTGAGGGAGCGGCGGGGGGGCGGCGCGGATCAAAGCCGAGGGAGCGGCGGGGGTTGGGGGCATGGATCGAAGCCGAGGGAGCGGCGGGGGGGCGGCGCGGATCAAAGCCGAGGGAGCGGCGGGGGGCAGTATGGCCTGGCAGGTAGAGCATGGGACTCAGAGGTGAAGGTGAGATCATGGGAGATCTGTGCAGGATGGCCGGGGATCTATGATGTCCCTAAGAGCTAGCAGGGACAATGCTCTCCCTGGGTCAGCGACTGCTACCTTCACGGGCTCCAACTCCAGCAAGTCACCGGCGTGGGGGCTCTTGCTCCGCAGACTCCACAGGAAGTGACGGATGTACAGGAGATGCCGGTACACGTTATCGTCCAGCGTCTCCACCTCCAAGTCCACCTTAAATCCTCCACTTGGCAGGACGATGGGCGGGTGGTTATCAAAGGACTCTAGCACTTCGTCTGCAAAACACAGGGGGAAGCAGGTGTTGGTGTGTGACCCACCTGAGCCCCAGCCCTGCTCCCAGATTGCGGGGCCATTGCTCTTCCCCAGGTCCTGCAAGCCAAGTATCTGCATGGGAACCAATCCCAGCATCCTCTAGGTCACAACCCTACACAACTGGCCTCCATGTGCCAGTGAGAAAGGGGCAGGGGGCACTAGCTAACGCCTTCGCTCTGCTTAGCTCCCCTGGGTTGTGCCCCTTGCTTGTTCCAAACTCTCGAATGGGTTGTTCAGAACCTTTATCTCCTCCTCCCTGTGTCATTTAGAAAAGGGCTCTGTAGCTTCCAGATCCGCTGCTCTGGGGCCCGTTCCCCCTACGTCCCGTAGCTGTTGCTAGAAGAGCCGTAATCCAATCTCTTGCACTCCTTGATCCATTTCCACCCACTTCACAGTGTCCTGATCTCTCTTTTCTCCGGTAGCCAAGATCATGCTGCTGAGCCCTGGGGCAGGGGGAAGTGCTGAGTCTTTAGCACTTCAGCCCCTCCCATGTCACAGCCCGATATGTCTGGGTACATGCTAGTGGAGGAAGGATGGTCTAGTGGTTAGGGTGCCAGCCTGAGACTTCAGAGAGCTGGGTCCAATGCCCTGCTCCACCATTTGCCCTGGATGAGTCAATCTCACTCTGCACCTTTTCTGTTCAATGAGGGTAAGTACTGCCAACATGTTAAAGACTGCGAGGTGCTCAGCTCTATGGTAAGGGGGGATATCAACACCATAGATAATGGCATTGATAGCACGGGGTACAGCCAACGTTCACCCACAGGGGGAGTCATGTGTCCCCTGGATCTGTCGGGGAAGACTGTGATTCCACCACATTGTTACCCCCTGCCCCGCCGCGTGCCCCTGCATCGGAGTGGCTCAAACCAGAGTCAGGACACTCCACGTTCAGGCTGACAGTGCAGCCCCAACTCATGCTGCCTGTCTAGGTAGAGCAGCACATGGAGGCCATGTGCTCTAGTCCCTACCATACCAGGCTCAGCCTTCAGCCCGAGCTCCCTTTGCCTCAGGGCAGTTCAAGTAGACCCTCAGGCTACAGGACTGTAGTTCTTTGTGGCTGTCCACGGTCATGCAGGAACCCCTGCAAAGCACAGGAGGTTACAAGCCCCATGAAAACACTCGAGGGACCAGCAAAACTTGGGATAACCAACCTGTACTGGCAGGTCTGAGGAAAGTACCTCTTGGGACGCAGCCTAGTGCAGGTTTCACTGCCCTGCAGCAGTGTGGGAGATACAGGACAACCACAACAGAAGCTCTACCGAAGGCACAGATCACACCACCCCCAGTACAACGCAGACGCACCAGTGCTGTGCGCTCACCTGTCTTGAAGGCTGCAGGGCTGTCCTCCTGCCAGGCCGCGACACACCGCACCTCGGACGCTGCCTGGGACTGAGTCAGGATGTGATGGAGCTGAGCAGGGCTCAGGGCGGGGAACTCGGCTCTCAGCAATGGCCAGGTCATCTGAGCAAAGACAGAGAGAGCTGAGGCGACAGCCTCAGGACGGTGCACAGGGCAGACAGCAGGGAGCGAAGCAGGCTTATCAATGGGGAATGAGCTTAGCTCGGCTCGTCAGCAAGTGAGCAGCATGCTAAGGGGTCTAGAGAGCCCAGGAGTGGCAGGGCACCACTAATGCTCAGCTGTGTATTTGCTTCACTGCTACTTCCAATACGGGAGCTGCCTACTGAAGCCAAGGACGGGATGTAAGACACAGAAAGCCTGAAATCCTACCTCATGCTACCAATGCCTCATGCTGCTGCTTCCTACCAAAATGGGTGCAGATGTTGGTTGAGAGGATGTGGCCCCCAAGGTTTGGCTTTGAAACAAGGCGTCCCATTTCCTGGGAAACTACCCGGCAATTTTTGGGCAAATACATTCCCGCAAATCGGCCCCTTCGTCGCCATATTCCAAGCCGGCTGTCCCAGTCCTGCATGGGCATGCTCTGGGGCAACTGAGCCATGCCCTGCTTGGCGCTTGCAAAGGTGCCGCCCAGAGGCACGGTTCGGGAGGCAGCGTTTGAAAGCCTGGCCTAGCGCGAGAGTGACATCACATTCCGCGGGAAGGATCAAATTCACCCAGCACACAAAACGCACCCGAGTCTCTGAGATTTCGCACCCGAGTCTCTGAGATTTCGCGTGTCTTGACACTGGCACGTCAGATCCAGTGCAAATTCTGGAGGGAACCCTGCCTTCCACTCCTATCTCAGGGAGCTCCCATCTTGGCCCAGTGTCGGGGAAAGGGCATTGATTCCCCCACCCCCTCTGCTTTGATGTCCCATGATGCTTCTAACGGGAAAAGAGAGGGAAGCTGCATATGAAAGGGACTGTGGTGCTTGTGGCTCCCTGCCTTGGGGAGATGACCCCCCAGTTAGCGTGGGGAGCGCAGGCTCGGGGAGCCCCATCTAATAACTGGCCCTCCCAAACAATCCCCATGATGCTCACAGGAGCTCTCCTGCCACTCACAGGCCCAGACTCTCCCAGGGATCTGATTGGATTCAATGGGAGCTAGGTGTCTACAGGCCTTTGAGGATCTGGGTCCCAAAGGCCATCGATACCCTGGGCCAAGAAGCCCACGCACGTCTCACCTGTGCCAGCTGGGTGCTCGGCATGGCCAGCAGGTGAGCCACGCTGGAAAGCTTGCTGAAGAACTGCTCGGCCAGGTGCCCGAAGCCCATGCCCCGCATCCACTCCAGGAGGAGCCGCAGGCCGGCGCGGATCTTCACTCCTTTCGACCAGTGGAAGCAGCCTTTGGACAGGGTGGGGAAGAGAGAATGAACAGCCACATGCGGCGCTGCTTTAACCTGACTTGCAGTAGGAGCCCGGCCCTGCTGCAATACAGACAGCTACAGGTTCAGAAGACACATGCCAACCCTACTCCCTGGCGCAGATACAGCATGAAGGCAATCGGCTGCCAGGGTCAAAGATTGCTCTGTCCAGCCCACCAACAGGCTCAGCCAAGGAGAAGTCAGACAACCCAGTCACTTGGCTGGCAGAAAGCAGCCCCCTCCAGCCAGAGCCTGCATATTGGGTCCTTCGCCTAGCTGCACATACTCGCCCTGCTCTGACAGACGCCAGCACTTGCTGGACACAGCAGAACGGTGGCCAAGAGCAGTGAGATTCGTCTGCTCTGTGTGGACACGAGAGACCCCAGGGCATCCTTCGTGAGTGCCTTAGCCAGAATGCCCTGGTGCCCCCATAGCGTTGTACAGGGTGCTATTTGGAGGTTAGCTGCCAGCCTTCTCCCCAGAGATAGCCGCCTTTCAGTTGTGCTGTGTGTAACGTTTCTGAAGCAGCTGGGCATCCTGCCGCAGGACACGTGCTAGCAGCATGAAGCACATTTCAGATGGATACAGATAAATGTCGAGTTGCAGGAGTCTCCTACGAGCAAAACCTGGTGCTGTGGGGAAGGGAAGAAACCTTTTTTTCAAGCTATCACGTAAACTAACTTCTCCTAATCTGCAGCCCCTGCCTCCCCCAGGAGGCTATCGCAGAGCTCCTGTATTATCCACGAGGACTCCACCTCCACCCGCATCCAGAAACCGATTCACCCGCTTGGATTGTGCAAGGCAGGCAGCTCTCCACACCGCCCTTGTCCTCTTCTCCCCATGCAGTGCGGGCACAGGGGAAGTCTCTGCGTCATCCATCAGATATTGACTGACCTGAGCTTGCTGTCCGCCAGATACCTAATCTCCCCAGACTCGCCTTAGCTGCACCCAGGTAAAGCCAGGCCATAGAACTGGGGCAGCAGAAATGGCAGTTGCTGATCCTGGGGTTTTATTGAGAGAGATGCACGTCAGTGCTCAGATCCAGTTTCTGAGGAAGGCCGGGTTCTTCCTCTTCCCCCCATGATCCTGCATGGGGGTGACCCAGCACTTCCCTTCCTCCCTGGGATGATGTGGGGCCCTAAAGCCAAGCCCAGCTCCGAGAACACAAGAGGCAGCGCGTGGCCCAGGCGAGGAGCCGGCTGTCCCAGGGGACAGCAGGATTTCACACTCTAATCTGCTCTAATCAGCTCCCACGTGCAGGAAATCAACTCCAGAGACAAACATTTGAAAGCTTATGCTGTCCTTGATAGGCAGTGAGCCAAGACTCAGCCTGTGGGCCCATGGAAATGGGGAGGCAGGGGGTGGGGGGGAAGGGAGCTGGTGCTCCGGTTAAAAGGAAGGAACTACAGCGGCAGGAGGCTGTAATCCAATAGGGCTGGGCTGCTTCAGAGCCCACCACCTTCCACACTAGGAACTACTGAGCCCCCTCCCCCACACCCCGAACTGTGATCCAGAATCTGACCCTCACCTCACACCTCCACCCCGACACCAGATTTGAGCCCTGCTGGCTGGGAGGAAGTTTGATCTAGGTGTAGAGCCCAACTCTGCTGTAGGTGTTGGGCCTGATCTTGTACCAGAAGGTCCACAGGCACTTTGCCATGGACTTCACTGGGAGCAGGATGGGGCCCATGCTGATTAAACCAGAGGGAAGCCATGCTATAGCAGAAGGCTCTAGTTTGTTGGACCTACGGCTAATTTAGCCTCATCAAGGTCCTAATTCCATCACCCCACTGGACTGTGTGCCCTATACTGCAACCCCGCTGCATGGACACAAAAGTAACTGCTCTTCCAGCGATGCCGAAGGATGCATGGAAAACATAACTCTGGCGGACAAATCTCAGGTTTGGGGCTCACCATTCAATGTTCTATCTCTATCGAGGTTCTGTGTCCTTCCTGCAGCAAACCGCCTCGCGCAGGACCCACATGCTGTGCCAGGCCGGCCTCACTAATGGGTGAGATTCAGAAATTCCAAGGCCAGAAGGGACTACTGTGCTCATCTAGCCTGACCTCCTGCATGACACAGGCCAGGGAACGTCCCTAAAATAATTCCTAGATCAGATCTGTTAGAAAAACATCCAATCTTGATTTTAAAATTGAGCCTTAGTAAATTGTTCCAGTGGTTAGTTACCCTCACTCTCAAAAATTTGCACATTATTTCTAGTCAGAATTTGTCTAGCTTCACCTTCTAGCCACTGGATCATGTTAGACCTTTCTCTGCTAGACTGAAGAGCCTGTTCTTAAATATTTGTTCCCCGGGCAGATTTGTGATCAAGTCCCCGCTTAACCTTCTCTTTGCTAAGATAAACAGATTGAGCGCTTTGAATCTATCGCTATAAGGCAGGTTTTCTAATCCATTAATCATTCTAGAGGCTTTTCTCTGACCCCTCTTCAATTTATCAACATCCTTCTTGAATTGTGGGCACCAGAACTGGACACAGTATTCTAATAGCAGTCACACTCCTTATGTCTGCTAAATACGGACATAAAATAACTTCTCTACTTCTACTCAGGATTTCCCTGTTTATGCATCCCAGGGTCAACATTAGCCTTTTGGCCACAGTGTCAAAGTGGGAACTCCTGTTCAGCTGATTATCCCCTACAGCCCCCTAATCTGTTTCAGTCACTGCTTCCTGTAAGTATGACCAACATTCTTTGTTCCTAGATGTAGACATTTACATTTATGCCCAGTTTACCAAGCAATCCAGATCACTCTGTATCGGAGACCACTCCCTCAATTTTTGTGTCATCTATAAATCTCATCAGTGATTTATGATTTCTTCCAGGCAATTGATAAAAATTTTAAATAGTGCAGGACCAAGAACTGATCCCTGCAGGACCCTGCTGCAAACACACTCACTTGATGATGATTCCCTGTTTACCATTATGTTTTGAGACCTATCAGTTAGCCAGTTTTTAATCCATTTGATGTGTGCCATGGTAATTTTATATTGTTATTATATTTGGGTCGCTATGGAGCTCCCTTGCCTTGGCCCAGCTCAGAGAGGCTTGACACTATTATCTGTGTTGTGGTGGCACCTGGAGCCGCAATCTTAGACTAGGCGTTACTTGCCATCCTAGGCACTGCCCCAAGCAGCTTGCAGTCAGCGTGGGTTTGGTTGCAGGTCCAGTCCAATACTGGATGGGGGACGGTTTTCTGTCTGCAGTGCTGATGCATCCAAGAGTCTATGAGAACAGCAGCTCTCAGGAAATCCCCACCATTCAAATTGGCAAAAAAGTCTTAGAAGGTGGGTTAAACCTTGCAAGATGAGTTGATTGCATGGAGTTCAATGGGACTTAGCTATGTGTTTCACAGAACAGGTACAGGAACACTGGCATGCTTAAAGTTAAGCATGTGCTTAAGTGCTTTGGTGAATCAGGGCCAAATGGAGGAGTCCAATCTCCCGAACTGACAGCCTGGCACCTTCTAAAGTTATTCTAGATCTGAAACAACAACAATGACAAAGCTCTAAATCCAGAGGCCGACGTGGCTGTGGCTCAGCAATGTACCCGCTGGCACGCAAAGGGACGGACAGCTAACAGGAACGCCCATACTGGAGCACAGTTTCCCTTCCCCTTTTTGTTCTTGCTTAGTGGACCATCAGACATGGCAGAGGGAGCAGCGCTGGCAGAACCTGCTGCTCGCAGTAGAGACTCGGTTTGTACGTGGGGCGGAGCTGGGCAGAAAGAGGGACAGAGGTCTGACAGGGCTGAGTGGCAAAATTAGGTTAATTCTTTAAAAATCCAACTCCTATTAACTCATATGGTATTAGCTGTAATGCACCTGGCAGTAAGGAGGTGCTGCTGGAGTGTATATAGGTATCACATGCTCTGTAGTTCAACTGGAATCCTGCAGTAATTAGGATTAATTAATGAGCAGATTTTCGCCTCAATTAAGAAGCAGGATGCAATGTTTTATTACACACAGCAATCAGGCAGTGCCGGGGAACAAACTCCACTAACAGCCTCTGCTCGGCATCAAAATGGCAGACCTTATTGCAACCCCAGCGCAAGAGATGGGGGGGGGAATGTTAATTTGGGGGGAGAGCTAATGAAGGCTGAACACATCCCCATGAACAATGGTATCACAGTGAACATCCAAGGCATTAATAAGGGGTTAATGGAGCGTTATCGATAAAGGCCGCAGACTCGGGCAAGACAGCAAACATAAAGGCTGAGTCAAGCCAAGGAAGCAGAAGCCAAAACCCGAGTTAAGCTGTTATCTGAGCCAACTATACACCTAGAGAGCAGCGCGCACAGGCTGCGATCTAGGGAGTTCATCAGAGTCAAGGAAGTGAAGTCTCGAAGACCTCAGTGGCTGGACTCTAGTTTGGTTTATCCTCATTTGTGGGTGTAGCTGAGCCCCACCCCCACCCCCAGGTTTCATTGCTACAAGCCTGGCAGAGTCCTGAGGCCCCCCCCCACTCTCTCTCACACCCCTACCCCAGTCTTAGTGCTGAAGCGGGGCTCTGAATGATTGAAAGTGAACCTTATTCCTAACCACCTCTCTGGTGACACCAGTTAAACAAAGGACTCAGTAGCTTAAGTCAAGTTCTAAAGCATCCTTATCCCCTGTAGGAAACATGTTGCCCGCTTTGCTGTCAGTCCCAGTCTGGGGGTCTCTCCCTGGCCATGGGGCCATACTGATGACTTATGCACAGGCTCAATAGCCTAACACGAGTTTAGGTAACAGGGCAGCAAGGCTCCTTTGCCGAATGCAGAATTCCAGGTGCGTCCAAGCCCCTCACATCCTAAAACAACCCAACAGATGCTGTAAAATCTCTCCCCACATTTCGCTGATCCTCATCTCATAGTCTGGCTGGCTGCAATACTGGGGCAATTTATGTCTGTTCCTTTAATTAATGAATAAACAGAAAAAGGGCTTCAAAGCAGACAAGGCCAGTCTTTGGGAATGCCTGCCCCTCCCACAAATGTCTCACTCCCTGGTCCCGAGGTCACTCACCTTTGTCCATGAGCTGGTTGAAGAGCAGAGTGTTGGAGAAGAAGAAGAGGTAGGCAAACATCTGGGAGGCTATTTCAGGGTGCACTTCATACTGGTGGAGCAGGTCCAGCGTAGCCTGGTAGATCAACACAACTCTACGTATTTCTTCAGGCAACTGGGATGATGCCCGCCAACCTTCCTGGCCCTCACTCTGGAAGGGGTTACACTCCAGGAGGGCAGGTAGAGATACATACAGAGACTGGACAGGGAGGAGACAAGAAATACACAAGTCCAGGATTCAAAGCGCTGAAGGTTTACTGTGGGAAGCAATTCTGCATTGGCCAGATGGTTAGACCCTAAACAGGTCGTCCGAATCTCTTGTTTCCATGATCCCATAACCAGCTCAAGCCCTGCTGTTCTCAAACAAGGAAGGGCATATTTCTTGCCCCCTCACGGACTAACCCCTTGTGACCTGCAAGCTTGCTCAGCCCTGTCCCTAAGCAATAACTTAACACCATACATGGTGGTCAGTTGGTCTCAGTCTGTTTTGGGGAACAAACGGAATGTGAGAAACAAACTACTGTAGATCTTAAGTGATAGGAATGCGCCAGTACTATGCACCCACATGGTAACTGAAGATCTAATACACATGCTATGGAAAAAAGGCAGACGACAAAAGTGGTCTCCAATTAGAGACTCTTTCCTTTGTGCAAATGAGGAAGGTTGAAGAGCAGGGTCCAATCAAGGTACGCAAATGAGACAGGATAAGCATCAACCAATCAGAGAGAGGGAGAGGCTGCTGGACTAGTGGAACAATCTTTCCACAGAGGGGAAAAAAGAGCTACAAATAGAATCAAGAAGAAAAATAGTCCATTTCCCAGTGAGAGGCCAAGTCTGTAATCACCAGACCTGGCAGGGGGAGCTGGTGGAAAGGCAGGCATCATCGGTCAAATTTAACTTCTCTTTCAATGGAAACAAGTCCCCACCCTGCAGACACAAGCAGCCTTTCTCTGAGCCCACACTGCACACACTGTTCAGCACTCCATAATGACCACTTGCAATAATGTTTCACTCCAGGGGCCTAACAGAGAGAGTCCAGAAGGAATATTTCCATCATGTACATGAATCAATTCATTATACCCAGGGCTATTACTGTACAGTAAATCACAAACGAGCTGAGGAGGGCTGGACCCGCTATCCCAACAACTTTTTCTACTGATCTGTGGGCCACCCGTTTCCTCCTGTGTCCTAGTCCCCTGTTTCCAAGTTGCTAGCCATGCAGAGAAATGTTCCATCGTAATTTCACACTCTCCTCGGGCTGTGACTTTCATTGGGACACTTGAGCCCAAAGGAAAATGAATCCAAAAGTTACAAGGAGGAGTGAGGGAGAAAGTGAAAGTGACTTAGCTAAGCCATTCACTAATGGGGACACTGTAATGAGCAAATGCCTCCCTAGGACACAGTGTTACTGTTAATTCTTCAGGGACCTCTCAGGCTGACACCTGCCAGAAATTCACTGTGATCAGTTCAAGGTGCAGCTCTCCCCCACTGCCAATCACCTGCCAGGGTGATTATACTAAAACTCACCCTGTTTGCTATCTAGATTCTGATACAGCGTAGCATCTTTCAGAGATCATGAGGCGCTCACATACTGTGTAGGGTAATGGGGGGCTCATATTAGTAAACAGCATCCGAGCAGCTCGTAATCCTTAATGGATTTTATCCTCACACCCCACCTGAGAGCTAGGAACATATCCTCCTCTTTTTACAGGGTACATCAAATGACTCGTCTAACACAAGCCTATGGCTGAGCTGGGAATTTCACCCCAGCCCCTGAATCCCAGTCTACTGCTCTCTGTCTGTCTTACCTATTTAGACTGCAAGTTCTTTGGGGCAAGGTCTCTCTCTTACTACATGTTTGTCCTATGCCTTGCCCAATGCGCCCTTGATCCTGGATGAGCACTCTAGGCGCTGCTGTAGTAGAAAAAACAACAGCTAAATAACTTGTGCAAATGAAGGGCCATCCAAAAATATCTACGTCGTTTAAAAAAAATCAACTTGTTTGATCATTTCTGACCCCTCAAAAAATCGTTTCTGACCTTAAGTTTCACTCTTCTAAGGAAAGTTAGGGAAAGTCAACTCCCCGGGTGCCTTGTACTGCATCCTAAAGACCAGCGTTTTTTAACACCGAGGAGGCTTGCAGGAACGAGTATATCTGTTAGAACTCATCACAAAGAAGAACCTGCTGTCCCAGGACAGGATGGGGGGGGGCGATTTCAGGCACGGGTGCTCAGGTGGGTGACTTCTCCCCCATCATCCCCCTTTGATTTCCAGTGAGACACTATCAGCACAAGGCTCCTCTTCTCCCTTGGCAGCTCTCTGGATTAGGCTGTGCATTTGCAGGAGAGAGGGGGAGGCGTTGGGGGTGCACATACCTTGGAGATATAGTAGACGCACTGCTGAAAAGTATACATGATCACTTCCTCTAGGACTGTCATGGCTTCCTCACTGGCTGTGATGGTTGAAGAGAACAGAGACTCCTTAGAACCTAAAGGACAAAGACAGCAATGGAACGCGTCAGAGCAAAGGGCTCCAAACCGGGCTACCGGGTCTGTTAGTTTAGTAGAAGAATGGTCTCTCTGAGGGTCAACTTGTGATGCTGTATTTCATTATGCAAAGTCTACTGACACACACCGAACTGTCATGGGTTTGTTACTGCAAAGAAAGCATGGCTAATGATTACAGCGTGGGATTGGGAGCCAGAAGTTTTGGATTTGATTTCTAGCTCTTCCACTGACCCGTGTGCCCTTGAGCAAATCACAGCTTCTTTGTGCCTCAGCCCCTCGGTCTATAAAAGGGGGACAGTTCTCCTCTCTGATCTCACAGGAAGGACATGACCCCTAGTTTAGCAATATTGGTAAAATGCATTAGGATCCTGGGTGGAAAGCGCTATAAAAGATACAGAACTCTTGATTAACAATGTTGTAGCAGCAATAGCTCCCTACTGGGAGGCATAATTTACGCTGCTGTCTTGCAAAGGCTCCCAACAGTGAGGACTATTTCAAAGAGCAGGAGAGGGGCTGGCATGGAGGAGAACTGATGCTTAAGTTATTTCTTACAGTCACTCTACAATGGAAAGAAATCAGGGAGCAGGTGCATCCTCGGGACATTCACAAGTATGCACAACTTGCACTACTTTACCTGGCCACTTGATGTCCCCATTGCACTCGTGAAATTAAAGCTGAAGGCGCATTTATCTGGCTTGACTTTAAGAAGCTGGACAGCTCAAGACGGCTCCTTTAAGACAGAGGTTCAGAAAGAGAAGCCATTCCCATTTGAGGCCATTGGTGAATATGGTGCTCTCATTTTGGAGGACAGATACCCACGTCACAAAAAGCACACTGATACTGTCACCAGTGCCGGCAGTCACACCGAAAGGCCTGAGGATGAATGCACAAGACAGAGCTCCTGTTCCCTAGCAGAGATGGTCACTCCAGAGCAGAGTGCAGAGCAGACACACTGAGAGGGGAAGCCTGCACTGCCATTGCCCAGCTGAACCCCTCCTATTTATCCGGAGGATGAATGTATGGCAGCAGCCTCCAGGGCCGTGACTGCAACCCCCTGAATTCACTCCAATACAGGAGAACTTAGCTGGTTCTCCCTTTTCTTCTCTCATTGTATCATCTTTGCCAGGATCCGCCTGCCCCTTAGTCAATCTCCAAAGGATACGGCACTGGAGACAATACAAATTCAATACTGGTGCCTTCCCTTTCCACAGTGGCTGGGAAGCCATTACAGGATGCCACGTCAGGAGTCAAAAACTCCAACCCTGTCTTCTGCTGGTGCCTTTTTCTGGCTCTCTCTTAAAGACTTGAAACTGCATCTCACTTTCCTCGGTGCCTTGTGAGCAGGGAGTATGTACAGAAATCCAGCTCTAATAAACATGGGGTTGCCACAGCAGTGGCTGTTAAACACATATACGTTGTATTTCTGGGCGCTGAGCAGTTGGGGGGGCGGGGTTAATATTTCCCCTACAGACTAACATTTTTCATCTAGCAATGCTTCGATTTCAGTCCAGATTTGCAGCCCCGCCAGCCCCATATGCTGAATATTTGTGCAGCTGGATGAAGTGCTTTCCAAACGCAGCTTGTCAGAAAACTTTGCCTTTGGAACAGAAGAGAAGGTCTCGATAGCTTTGCCAAACTAGCCCCACCCCGTTCCTCTGATGTGGAATTAGAAAGAGGGAAATTCCATGACATCATCCACCTGACCACTCCCCAAGTCCCATTTGCAGATGGTTAGTGAAGGACTTTTCAGCCACACACACTTTTGGGGCAGTTCAGGGAGGTAAGTTGGTGAATTTTTAAGGCTCAGGAAAGTGCAGGGCTAATAGGACTGAATCAACCCATGTGTAATGAAGGCAGGAGCATTGTAAACTTCCACATACAGCGCTGCTTAATGCACCTGAATCCTGGTCTACAGCCCCACTCGCTATTCCAATAGCAGGACCCCTCACTGCTGTGCCAAGAAACCTTAGTCCCAGTCTGATATTCTAATCCTGATCTATTTGGAACAGAGACCGCTACTCACACTGAACTCTATAAAGGCTGGCAAATACCCACTCCAGAGCAGGCTGAGACCACTCTAACTCATTTCACTTTTGACCTGAGGTTGATGTGAACCCAAGTTTCTGAAGTGAAAAGCCAATGTAATCACTTAAAAACACGGCCATAATAAGATTTTGAAATCTGACATGAAAAATAACATGGGCTATGCAGAAGAAAACCTTGGTGTTCATCTGTTTCAGGCAATTTAAATTGAAAGCCAAGGTGCTAGGGATTTCAAACCAGAAAATAAGAAGCACAGACAAACATAGCCAGTCCACGTTATGAATATTTCTGATCACATGCTGGGAGGTGGGGGTGACTGCAGAGAGGGGTATGGAGACACAAGGGATAGCTCTTCCTGGGACCCATGTGTAGACTATGGATTCCGTAAGGTCCTGAAAGTACTCAGTACGGTGTGATCTGTTTATGGAAGCCCCCAGTAACACATCGGGTCCTAAGCGATTGTCACCCAAGTTGCCCTCAAGTTGCTCAGCTGTTTTCTAAAGTTTTTGAGGAATAGTATTCAATAGGAAGCCAACCCCAGGTTCGGTTAGCGATGCAGTTGGGCCCTGGTGCTGATTTCTGTGAATCTATTTGTAAGTATTCACCAAACAGTTCCAACAAATATTTTTCAGCCTATGGGCTGGTTCACAAACAGTTCGCTTTGACTACTCTGTATCCATTATTTGTATTGCCTGACCGGTCATCTAAATCACATGGGATCAGGAAAGTAACAAAAAAGAAGTAACACATTTTCTGACAAAAGTTGTCAGGCAAATATTAATTAGTGCTGCGATTCATGAAGCTTCTTGGATTGGCACACGGCTTCATGAATTCCAGGTCATCCAGATACGTGTGGCTGATATGTCCCCACAAAGCTACAAACTGAACATGGGGCTTTTAGTCACAAAAATATACCCAAATCAGGGTTGTTGGGTTTTGTTTGTTTTGTTTTGTTTTTTTTAAACTATTCAATCTGCTCTAATTATAGGACAGAATTCCTCATACAGCAAGGTCTAAACACCTTCATTTCCCAGGGATACAGCGCTTTTCTCAGACTATTTCATATCACCTGAGTGGAAAAGCAATTCCTAAATTCAACAAGGGTATTAAAAACATGTGCCAGGAAAAACACCCTCACATGTAGAATGATAGAGGCCAGCACAGGGTTTCTCATCCTTATGCATACCTGGAATCCCCCCATCTCTCACAAAACTCTCCCCCCATTGAGCAATCTGGGAAAGAGAGGGGGGTGGTCATGGCCCCTGGTCTAGACAGACAGAGAGCAATGAATGGGAAGGGAAAAGGTGCAGGAAAAAACCTCTCCTTTTCGTTCGCCAGCTGTGGGTTCAGTGCGCTCCAACGTATCGGCTAGACTTTGAAAATCAAAAATATTTCGCTTATTCTCAGGATACAATTTTTTTATTTTTAAAAATCTTCCCACAGATATTTCCTGAGGGATGTCAAGAGGCCAAACTACTGATTTTAACCTTTCCCTCACCCTCTTGTTTATGTTATTTCTACCCCTCCTGATTCACCAAAACCTGCCCAGCACAAGATGTATTTATATGACACTACGCTGCTGCCTCCCGCACCTGAGCCCCACCACCCTCCCAGCTGAGCATCAGCCCATGGAATCAGGATGGCCCCAACTCAGCCATCCAGCTCAATTCACTTAAACACCTGCTTAAATTTAGCCTCAGGCATAAGTTCCATTGAGGTCAATGGGGCTTAAGAGTGCTGAAAGTCAAGCCTGTGCCTAAGTGCTTTGCTGAACAGGGCTGGACTTCAGCACTCACTTAAGTGCTTTGCTGAAGTAAGGCCTGGAATGGGCAGGGGGTAAATCTCTCCCCCATATAAGGTCCTGGAGTTTAAAGCAAATGTCGCTCACCCCACAAACCCAGAATGCCCCTTCACTTGCATGCTTGCTGTCGTCACTCTTGCACGTGCCATGGACTTCACTTTCCCAGAGACCATTCCCACTAAGGGAACAGACCTATTTAAAGAATTCTCTCTCTGGACAGCAACCCAAATCTAGCTGTTCCCACCGATTACAGCCCAGGAGGGAGCAAATGCTACCAGCCAGGGAAGACAAATGTCCCAGAATCCCTCCAGGGATATGAGAGAGGAACGCAGACAGGTGTTCATCTCAGAGACCCTTCAGCTACTAAATGTCAGCAAAGAAAGGAGAAGATCCGACACTAGAGAGCAGCAGAGGGAGGGGCTGGTGCTATAGAACAGAAGGACTGAGATTCACAGAACATTAGATTAGCTGCTGCAAGGAGAGCCTGCTTGGATTTGCCCATGGCCAATTTAAGCAGAATTCTCCAGGCATGTTACCCAGCATGTATCTGGGTAATCATCATCCAACTAAGCACAATGACCTAGGGTTCTGAGTACTGGAGATTTGGTCCAGTCCTAGTGATCAGCAGCAAATGCCCACCGTCATCTTCCTTGACTTTTCATTCCTTGTAAGCTTGCTGGCACTGTAAATATATTTCACCTCTCTCTATCAGTAGTCCCCTGCAAGCTGAGCATCATCCATCTCTCTCATCTCTGTAGACTGTACTTATCCATAGTAATACTCCAGTTATGAGACCCATCCTGTGGGGTGTGGGTTTTGCCAGCTACACCATAACTGACACCACTTAGTAATACTTCTAGTGCTTGGTTGTTTCCCACGTTCCTGGATAGAACTGGCAGAAAAAAATTGAATTTCAAATTTTCTTTAGTCAGAAAAACAGGGACAAATTTTTTGCAAGATGTTTTGTGAAAAGCATTCCCAGTTTTCAGCCAGCCCTACCCCGGCATTTGTGCAGGGACACTTCTGTGCATTCATACGGTTATCCCTCATCTTCTGTTTCAGAATGAGCCAGTCTTTTTCTGCCTGAAGTGCTCGCTCTGCCTTTTCTTAACCAGTGTAAAGCCTGCCCAACAATCCTTGCCAGTGTTGGATCCAGGAACGATCAAAGATTTCCCTTAGTGATGTAAAGGCAACCTTATGACCCAATAAGTGGAGATTCCAACTAGAAGAGAAGCCATCCTAAATCTGCTTTTTACCAACAGGGAGAAACTGATCAAGTCTGTGAGAATAATAAGGAAGCTTCTTGAATTCAGAATAGTAAGGACAGGATTCACAGAATGCAGCTGTGCAAGGGCATGACTAGGGATCAGGAATGCACATTGTGAGAAATGAAAATAGGGCGAAATCCTGGCCCCACTGAAGTCAATGGGAGTTTTGCCATTGACTTCAGTGAAGCCACCATCTCACCACAGCGAATAAGGCCCAGTCAAAGGAAGTATTGAAACCCAGCAATGCAGAAAGCAGCTAGGTCACCCTAAACAACACCCCAATTAAGAAGAAAAAGACTGCAGTTCCAGTGAGGCTTCATAAAGCGTTGTACACAAAGAGAAGGTTACAAAATGACATAAACTGTACTGTGATGGGAAAGTGGAATGGTGATCAAAGAAGAAAAGAGAGACCGTTAGGAATGGCTGACTGCCAATAAGGGCTGCAAAAATGGAAAGAGAGACTCTTACAAATTTCCCTGGGGGGACAGTGTCTGTGCCCATGCTCTGTGTTCTGCGTGTGTGTTGGTGGGGGGGGGGGGTATTAGAGACAAAATGGGGCCAATAATTAATGAGGAAGGAGAGCAAGGGCAGGATTTTTAAATCACTCTGCGTTAGCCTAGCTCAGTGGTTCTCGACCAGGGTACAGGTACCCCTGGGGACACTCAGAGGTCTTCCAGGGGGTCCATCAACTCCTCTAGATATTTGCCTAGTTTTACAACAGGCTACATAAAAAGCACTAGCGAACTCAGTACAAACTAAATTGCATACAGACAATGACTTGTTTATAGTGCTCTGTATATTGTACACTGAAGTATAAGTACAATATTTATATTCCAACTGATTTATTTTATAACTGTATGGTAAAAATGAGAACGCCAGCAATTGTTCCGTACGAGCATGCTGTGACACTTCTGTGTTCTTATGTCTGATTTTGTAAGCAAGTAGTCTTTAAGTGAGGTGAAACTTGGGGGTACACAAGACAAATCAGACTCCTGACAGGGGGACAGTAGTTTGGAAAAGTTGAGAGCCACTGGCCTACCTCTCTCCCACTGCAGTCTGTGGGAGGTTTGCCATTGACAGCAGCGGGAGTAGAGTTGGGCCAACACTGAGTGCTTTTGACAAATCTCCCTTTAAATCAACACAGAATCTACAATGGTGAGAAATGTAGAGAAAATAATTTGGGACAATTGGGAAGCCCTTATCCAAACAGTGAGGAACAGCAGGGGTGGGCATATTCAGATGATGGTGGGGAAGCCGCCAGGCCGCAAGAAAACCCAGAGAAAGATTCACACAAAAGATAAAAGACCAAATTAGTTTCAGGATCTTCCTTCGACATCGTACTGAGCCCTGCAATGGATGAAGTGAACCCCAACTCCCAGGGTTTTTCATCTGACTTTCCCAGCAGCTGCTCACGTGCGCCCTGCACTTTGTGAGGGCTGCAGTATTTTTAGCCTACAAGCACATTTTTTAGAGCTCTCACTGATTAAGAATGCACCCATTGTCCCACCCTCCCACCCACACGTTGGTCTTTACATCTTGTATCAGCATGGGAACCAAGATAGCATAGGACATGGAGAGCATCCAGCACTCAGCTGGTTTGGCTCTTGAGTCCTTTGCTCCCTCTCCCTCTGAGGGGAATGAGAAAACCAAACGAGGCCATGCTGAGAGTGAAGCCCGGCTAATCCCCTCACCATATTAGACTCCCTAAGGCTCCAAGCTGTCATCACTCATTTGATAAGGGGGATTATTTCCCTCTCAAGTGTTCACAGGGCTGGAGGACTTAGCTTAGCAGCCCTGAGAGCTAGTGGTGCTTCTAGAGGCACCGGTAATACTGAGTAACACTGCTAACCAGGTAGCCAGTCTGGTCTGCGATCTAATGGATTCAATTCACAGGGTGGAGTGAGAGGTGAGGCTGCAAAATGCAGAGCAAGGGATGGCAGCCAGGCGGGGTTTTCCAACTGCAGCCTGGAGGACTGGGCGGCCTGCAGAATACTCCCAGAGCCTCCTTACCGATGTTGCATCCCTTTCCTCTTATCTCAGTGGCCAGGACTAAGGGGTCAGGGAAAGGATCTTGTTACCTCGGGTATCAACACACAGATATCAGTCCATTCTTCGTGACAGAAGTCACAGTGACCCCTTGGTTGCAATGGGATCCAGGCCCCAAAATCATAACCATTCATGGCTTCAAAAGGCTACGTGCAAAAGCTCATCATTGCACAAGCCCCTTCTGACAAGGTGGCTGAAACCCAGTAGGGCCAAGTGAGTTCCCTGGACTCAAAGGCAGGTGGCTTGGTACCCCATGAAGATATAAGGGAGATGGGAGTAGTCCTCTGGTGAGAAAGGATCTAGGGCGTGAGCTGAGCAGTCCTGAGGGAGGAACCCTGGGAGCAGCTAAGCCTGGGGGAAAGTTTGGTCTGAGCTTTATTATCTTATTAATAAACCAAAATCCCAGGAAGGAAGTCAGGTTTTGACTCTATACAATGTGGGGACTTTGTTTTCGAGCCAGTTGGGAAAGGCATTTGCTTAACACTAACTAACTACTAATACTAACTCTACTACTAAGAGGTAAACTACTAGATATAGTGGACACTGCCAAGGCAAGACCTATGGGACGTTCCAGCTAACCGTCACCGGCGGTAAGAAGGAACTGCAGGGGTGGTGGGTCGGCAGGGCTCTATATCGAGCGCCCTGAAGGTGCAACTCCAGGGGGCGCCCAGGCCGACACGACAGATGCTACTAGGGGGAAAATCTTCCAGCTGCCGTGCACATGCCCACGCACACACCTGACTGGAATGGACACGAACAAGCACTCGAAGAACCACCTCCTTTTCACTGTCTGTTTAGAAGGGACTCTTGAGTCACACAAAAGCTCTGAGTTTAAGACTGACTTTCAGTCCAGCCTTCTTTGCACCTGTAATTCCACAGGTGAGCAATTCTGCTCTCAGGATTGAGCAATGGGAAGCAGAGGGAGCAGAGCCCAGCAGGACATTCAAGCTTCCACATGCTATGGCTGCCTTGGCTCAATCTCCAGTGGACATGCCACTAAAGGCGCCACAGTTTATCATTCAAGAACCTGCTCAGGAGAGGTCCCAGAGAGCTGGTGGGGTCATGAGCCCTGTGGGTGAAGTTCCCTTACTTTCCACAAACCCCAAGACTCTTGAAGGGCATATCTGGGAGACAGAGGCAACATGGTGGTCTCTGAAGTCAGGATGGAAGTACCTTGCTGGAGCAGCAATGGAGGAAAACACCAATAAACCAGCTAGATGCTACAGCGCCCCCTTTGCCTGACGTGTCACACAACGGGCATACGGCAGGGGAAGTTTTGTACTGAGGAGGCATATCAGTATACAGAAGCATGAGTCCTACCCTTGACATCCAGCTCCTCCTCCAGGCTCTGGATGTAGATGGGGGATTTCTGCTGGATAAAGTACAGGAGCTCGATGGAGTTGGACATCCAGAAGAGAATGTGCTGCAGGTCCGGGACCAGGTCTGTGATGGTGAAGCGGGACAGGGATCCAGGATCCTGACTGGTGAGACAGAGAAGGCAAGAGGAGAGTTTCAGACTCCAGTCAGGACAAAGCTGGTTGCAGTTGCAGTCTCTCTGTGTGCACGAAGCCCCTGGCTACGGGAAAGGCTTGCGCCCCTCTCAGAGGCTGGCGATGCAGGATCGTCCCAGTGGGAATGAAAAATGGATACACCAGCAGCACAGACAACACTCCAGTATTTTAGACTCTCCTGCGCCTGCACGGACAACTTCTCCCAGCACACTCAGAAGTTTCAGAGTGAGCACAGTCACAGACTATTGCCAGCACAAGAATTATGGTCTTGAAAAGCAAACCCAAACCAAACCCAGCCGCTGGCTTCCCCTGGGGGTTACGATGTGCTGTGAAACTATGCTGCTGCTACAAGAGGGACCTGTGCTGCAAATCAGCAATGGGATTCCTGTTCCCTGGTCAGTGGAAACGCCACAGCCCAGCTCCCCAGGGACCAACTGCTGGATCTCGGTGATTTGCTAACCGTCCTGAGAACCTCCTACCTGCTGATTTACAGCCAGGTGCTGAGCACCTCCTGAGAAATGCTGAGCAACCTCAATCGGAGCTGAAGGTGCCGAGTGTTTCCCAGGCTCTTAGGAATTAACAACAATAATAAAGGAAGGTCACATGATTCCTTCTCTCCTGGTCACGCGGTACGATGCAGTGGCAGCCACCAGTGGGATACAGGAGTTTGGGGAAAACAAAAACAAATCAGGAGAAAAGTGATGGGTCAAAATAAAACCTGGAGGAGACTGCACTTCAACAGGGTTATCAAGACTTGGCAAGATTCTCGGAAGGGACGGGGGAATGTCAGGCGCCCAACTTGAGACACGTGATTTTCAGAAAGTGGTGAGCACCTGTTCTCTGAAAACCAAGCCCCTTTTAAGGTGTCTCACATTAGGCTTCTACAAAGCACACTTGAAAGTCTTTCCCAGAGCCCTGCCCTATTAACAGCAGCCCTCAACCCCCAATCTGGAGAGCCCAAGTTCACTAAAGCAGCACTGAAACTGAAAAAGACTTTCTGCAAAAAATGCTCTTGACAAGGGCAAATTTTGGATCAAATGTTTATTTTAACACTTTGGCCTGATATGAAAGGCGCTGAGTCAATGGGAGCTGAAAGCGCTCAGCTCCTCTCAGGATCAGGCCCTTTATATAGCACTGCAAATGCTAAGGAGACTGTTTTCAACCATCCGAGATTTTGCCTGTGAATTTAGTGCTGATGACTGGCTCTCAGTCCAGAGGCCGAATACCGTACAGAGAGCAGCAACCCTCTTGAGTTAACCAAAGGCCTATAAAAAAAATTTTTTTAAAGCATCTGGAAAATTTCTTAACTAGCAAAACACTTTTCATGCTATATGTCAAAAATGGTTGGATGGGATTTCCGATAACTTTATAAAACAAGCTCACTTTAGAACAACTATGAAGAATTTCAGCCTCAAAAGATATTTTTCTGAGGAATGTTTTAAGCCAGTAAAAAATAGGGACTTTGGGCAAAAATGCTTCATTGCTAATCACATTTATAGGATTGCTCGCACAACACAATAATGAACCAACACTTGTACACAGACCCAAACTGAAGAAGCTGAACTACATGGCTGTAACAGATGGATAGGTTTATCTTTACCACACTGTGATTTACCATACCCCCATGAAATTCCTTAGCACCAAGTCATCTGGCTGCCCTGTAGTAAACCCCTGGATTTTACAGCTTCACTCTTGGGTATGGTACCCTCAGAACCCTGTGAAGTGTGTCTATCACCCTGGAGGTCATGGTTATCTCAAGGGATCAGCGGGCTTTCCATACACAGAATGTGGCAGGATCAAGCTCAGTGCCATTGGACGCACACACATCGCTGCCACTGACTACAAAAGGAGCCGCAAACGCAGAGCCGAAGAGTCTCTTGAACTTGTATATCCCCTGCTGTAATCCCCTTTCCCTGCCCATACTCTATGCGGCTATTACCCTTTGCAGGAGGTAGCTCTGCCCAAGGTTCCTGCTCACATCTGTTATGGCTAATTTTAAAATGACGCTCCCCAAATCTCACCTCCGCTGGGTCTGAGACATACACAGGGCCAAGGTCTTCTATAGAGACTAGTGTCTTGGGACCGCCGTTTTTGGGACGCCGACCTGTGAGACACCTGAAAAGGGTCTGGATTTTCAGAAAGTGCAGAGTACTCACCTCTGAAAATCAGGTTCCCTCAGAGTGCCTCAAGAGGGGCACCCAAAGGAATAGCCACTTTTGAAGAGCTCGCATTTAATCTGAAGAAATCAAATAATATCAACCTTAGTTTGAAGAGCATGTGGCTGGGCTTCCCAGCTGCTGGCGATAGCTGGCACGAACGGCGAGACTGCAAGCGTGCAAGAGTTAAACACACAGCAGCACAACTTCACACAAGAGGGGAAACGCAACACTGCAGTCAAGTGTCCTGAAGTATTCATTTACTAACTCCTCTCTTCAGATGTTCGGAAAATAGTGTAAGGAAAAGTAGGCCAACATCAGGCCTCTGGGGGACGTACTGGGGTTGGATCCAGCATAAACACAGGAAGGAGTGAGGCCATTAACCCATTCAGCGCTGTGGGATGTACAACGTGCATCCACCTGCAGTCCACATGCATGTAACCCCTGACTGTCAAGGAATCACATCACTTCAGGGTGTGCATGTGCAGGGTCCCGGTATAAAAGTGTGTCACAGGGGCTAACGTGCAGCATGTCCCAGTGGCTAGGGGCGAGGACTAGGACTGGGACTCAGGAAACTGCAGCTCAATTCCCAGTTCTGCCATTGACCTGGTAAGTGACCTTGGGTGAAGTCACTTCAAGGGTAGGAGTGGAAATGGGTACAGAGAGCTGGTCTATTTAAGCTCTTTGGGGGACTGTCACTGTGTGTTAAACATAGCAGAACCCCAAGGTGTTTCAGTAAAACAATGAAAGGAAAGTCTCTATTCACCCACCAGCTGTGCTTCAAGGGCCTACATTTTTTTCAATGGCCTCCAGTTCTGCTGGCTCAAATGCTAGCACTCCACTATCTAAGGGCATGTCTGCACTTTGAGCTGTGGGTAAGACTCCAAGCTAGAGGAGACATACTGGTGCTAGCTCTGATCAAGCTGGCGTGCTAAAAACAGAGCATAGCCTCGGTAGCTCAAGGGATGAGCTGCCCCAAGTACACGCCTAGCATCTCCGATGGGCACGCACTCTGGGCAGCTAGCCCCTCCTGCCGCTGATGCTGCTATGGCTACGCTCTATTTTTAGCATGCTAACTCGATGAGAGCTAGTACGGGTATGTCTCCTTGAGCTGGGAATCACCGCCCCAGCTCCAAGTGCAGATGTGCTCTAACTGCATGTCTGACTGCCAGCATCTGCAGCTGCAACTAACTGCTGGTGGAAAAATGCAACTGCAAAATCAGAAGCTGGGCTAAAGCTGCTTTTAAAAAGTGGCCTTTCATTGCTCTTTACTAGTGCATTTGGGTTTTTCCAGGGGCGAGGATACAGTGAGGCCAGCAGGCACCTCTGCTAGCTGTCTCCTGGCCATAGTACAGCAGTGCCTTCCATATACCCTTATAAAGGGCACGGACAGCAGGGGTGCTAAAAGCTTTATGTCCTTGCTTCAGCAAGGTAGTGAGTCGAGCTGTGTGAAGTTTTGAAACAGCAAGTCATTGCAAATAAAAAAATATATAAAACGTTTGCATTTTCTCAAATTCTTTGTTTGTTTTTCTAAACGAACAATTCGCCAGAACGGACATGACTTCACAAAATGTTCCTGTGTCGCTGAGTTTACATTTTTCGCCAAAAAAAAGTTGTGTGTAAAAAAATGTCGCCCATCTGGTGGTGAACCAAGCAAGAAGCCCCCACCTAAATTAGACATTAGCAGAGGCACCTTGCTGAATCAGGGCCTGTATATTAACAATGCTGCCTTGGCCTAATGCTCTTTACAGAACTTCCCTCTTGGTCACTCCACAGGCAATTTCTCTCCCCGTAGGTGCAGCTCTTTCTCTATTCATAAGAGGAAGCAGGAGTGGGGCAGGAGGGAGGCAGAGAGAGTAAAGACAGGTGATACTTACTGCTGGGACTGCTTCTCAGCCAGTTCTTTCGTTTTCTCCTAGGATAATGGGGGGGGGAACATAAGCGAATATGAGAAAACCATAATGCAGAGAGAGACAGGGATGCACGCACACACACACACACACACACACACACACACAAACACCCAGGGGGAACAGTACTATCTGCATCAGGAGCTTGGGATAGTTTTGTCAGGAACACCGAGTGGGCTGGCTATTCTGCACTTTATTGGAAGGCAGAGCAAAACTTTGGTTAAGCGATTTTTTTTTCTCTTGTGCCAAAAACTATATTTAAAATGCCTATTGGAGGCTTGCTCCGTATCTAACGCACCTTCTAGCAACTGCAGCTGTTCTGCACAGACAGTTAAACAAAAGGAAATGACGCACAGGTGCTATGGCGACAAGCACACTCCATTTGCTAATATAATTACAATATATTTTGCAAGTGCACAAAAAGGAATGGGGCGGGAAGGAACAAGGGAGACTGGAACTATGCAATTGCCTAGAATATAATTACACAGCTATATCCTTATATGGTACAATATGCGGGTGCTTATTTCAGGGTCTGTTGCCCACTGGGATTCCTGTGTCTGTCTCACTGTGCCCCCCGGAATGACTGTTATTTCAGTTCTGATTTGCTGCAGAGCACTAAGCTTTGATCTGCATGAATCCTTCCCCCCGAAGTTCCCAACATTGCCACCACAGAGGCAGCTGAACCAGTATTAGTCAGGCTCCTGCCATTCTAATCACCGTGTTTTCCTAAACCCGCTCAGGGCCGGGCTGCACGGCTTGAAACGCTGGCGGCTGCCTGCAGCCGTATCTGAGAAACAACGGCTGGTGGAAACGAGGCCAGAATGGCATCGCGCGCTGCAGGAGAACGAGGTGGTCTCTACCAGGGAGGAAACGTACAGACCCTGATTCCACTCAGTTACAGCAAGTGCATTTCCTCCACTCACACTCCCTGGCAGTTAGGCAGCAGCATGGAGGGTCGTGATGTACGGTAGCTAGCATTCCTGCCCAGTGACCAGGCATACAGCTAACAATGACTCCGGCCTGCAGCGACCTCTAAAACCAGACCTCTCCCATACGGCAGCAGTGGTCTAATGCCCTTCCACTCAGCCTCCAGTTTGTGCTTCAAGGCCATTGGCTGCGAAAGGAGCGGCAGTACTGGGGAAGGCTAGGGGCTACCCCTCATCCTGTTATTAGAGCTAACCCAAGAGGGGTTGAACATCAAACATTTAATAGGAGTTTGGCCTATCCTTGCACCTTCTGACCACAGCAATCAACACCAAGCAGCCCCTTCAGCCCAAGCCCCTGGGATCTCTGAAACCGCTGTGGCAGTGGAGGGGACAAGACCTCGGATTGATGGACAGGGTGGGCTCCTGATCAACAGACCCTCGCAAGATAGTTCAAGGCCTGCAAGCCTCTACGAATTACATGGGGATCTACAGTGCGGCTCAGGGGTGCCACCCTCTTTAATCCAGAAGTGCAGCCTGGGCAGACATCCAGACGGAGCCTCACAAGCGGAGACTTAGTGTCTGTGGGCTGCCCAACTGGGTGACAGGGAAGGACGGTGGTGATTTGCTAAGCACAGCCCTTGGGACCCCGGAGCCACCAGTGTGGCCCTTGGCTGGGCAAAGTTTGAGTGCCCCACCCTAGGCTTCGAGTTCACAGGAGGTGTTATTCGGAGACCCTACAGCACCTGCTGCATCCCCAGCACTACCCCGTCCCCTGACTCCCCGAGGGAAAGCTCACAGACTGACCCACACTGTCCTCTGAATCATCTTGGCGGACTTGAGCAGCAGCTGGCTGAAGTCGCCCGGCTCGAAGCTGGTGGCGGAGTGCTGGATGCAGAGGCACAACAGGAAAGCCGGTGTCAACTTGTGATCGTCACCCCCAGGCTCGATCAAGGTCACGATCCGTCTCACCAGCACGTCCTCGGCAGCTCGCTCAAACTCCAGCTGCAGCCTCTTCCTGGCTGATCTTTGGCCTGCGGCGGGGGAGGGCCCGTGCTTCTTGGAGGAGGGGCCCCTCTCCTTGAGCTGGCGGCCACACATCTTACAGGTCACGGGTGCCTCGGGGTCCGAGGCTCGATGCATAGATCTCAGCCTCATCAGTGTCTGTGCAGGCAGCGGCTGGGCCCTCGTGGGGTCCTTGTAGAGAAGCAGGTAGTAAAGCCCCAGGGACAGGAGGTCTCCGTGGTGCAGCACGATCGTCCTTACCACTTCAGAGAAGTTGATGGACACACTGGCCCCCGGGATGAGCTCAAGGATCAGCTTCTCCTCCGAATGGTGTTGGGAGCGGCTCGACAGCCTGAGCCTCCTGATGGTGCAGTGAAGGGGCAGGATGTCCGGGGCGAAGAGGCTGATGCTGGGCTTGCTGGACTGAGTCCTCTGGCCCACCGTGTGCTGCTCGCGGTTCAGCAGGTAAACCAAGCTATCCTAGATGCAAGCATAAAAACAGGTAGCGAAGCAGGCACGAGCCATGAGCAGCTGCGCAAGTGACTTGATCTGACAGGCGGTAAAGCCATTAAAATAGCTTTCTCTCTCCGCTCACTCTGGTGTCTTGACTCAGCCGTGCCGGTGGCCTCCTGCAGTTCCCTGGGTGCCCACAACACACATCTTTGCACTGCAGGACTATTTTTTATTCCAAACACTGCAGTGCTTTCCCCAAATTATACCTGGAGTTGGCGTAGCAGTGACTCATGCAGCAGAAGAGGTGCGCTACCAGAGACAGGACGTGGAGCAATTAGCATGCAATGGCTCAATTTACACGGCAATTGCTATGTAACTCTTCTGTGACTGTCGCCTCAATACATGAACCGGCTAATACATTTGGTACCATTACACAAGTAACTGCGCAACCTGCTTCCATCCCACTTAACTACAGCTGGGGAGGAAGGTTATATAATTCCTCTGACATTGGCTAGCTACTCCAGCATGATGAGTGCCAATAATTGACATCAAAGATTAACAGCGCCTTTTGGGTAGATGGATGCAGAATGAGCGAACTATCTTTCCCAGGATGCATTGGCAAAGGGAACAAACAGATGGAGACATGCTGCACTGCCCCACTATATCTGGTGTCATCTGCTCGTTTGCGAACAGTAAGGGACATTCACTTCATTGCCTCTTACCACCTCTGCGTGACTAACAGAGCATGCAGTCATACACATCAACCCTGCAGATACAGCTGGTCAACCCTCAGGGTGGCTCTGGCCCTCAGCACACTCTCACATTAACTCAAATGAGTTCATGTATCACTAATCACTGCTCTGTGTCACCCCATAACTGGAACTGGGACATTCTGGAACTCAGACATAAATGGAGTGTCACTCTGTCCAAGGTCAAGATCAGTGGGTTTCATCTGCTCTCTGTAGTACTTTTTTCTTTCCCACCTTCCACTCTCAATTCCCTTCTCAGACTACAAAAGGGGCAGCAGCAAAAACGAAATCACATAGGACCTGCGTCTGCCCTCAGTTACACAACTGCATCTGTCACTGACTTCCATGTGTGAGGACAGAGCAGAATCCATTCTCTCTTGCACTGGCAGTGGGATCTAGTGGTTAAAACTGGGGATAAGGAACCAGAACACCAAGGCTCTGTTCCTGACTTTTCCACTGACTTGCTGGTCAACATGGGGCAGCTCACTTAACTGCTTAGTGCCTCAGTTTCCTGATCTGTAAAATGGGGATAACAACAGTTGTTCTAGAGGATGGCAGTGCACCCTACAGTAAGCAGAGGTAGCACAATAACAGCTGGCAAGGACTATAAGATCTGTGTTACCACAGAACAGAACACGAAATCTTAGCAAACTCTGGCATTCAACCCTTGACAAACCAGCTAGTAGGTCAGTAGCTGGAGACGAGACCTACTCGCTGCCAGTACTCAAAGTGCATGCTGGGTTTGGGGAGTGGTTGAAATTGCCCACAAGACCCATCTACGTATCACCTTTGAGGGGTGTTAAATTGGCACAGACGGTGACAAAGCAGCTTCAGAGGTAACACCCTATGGAAACGAATGGAGGCAGCTTGGAGCTACCAGTCATTGCAGGCTGCCTGGCTGCAGACTCAGGCAGACAGCCCTGTGTGGGCCAACAGTAGGAAGGTTTTTGTCACACGCATGAAGGCTTTTTTTTTTTTAAATCATGAAATCTTAAATTCTGCAAGGAAAGTTCCCTGATCGCCCCTGGTGAGTGCCTTTGCCAAGCCCCAATGGTATTTATTATGCTGCCCTACGGCACACTATACAATGCAGCAGCTTTGCACTGCATTCACCATAGTGCTTTATGGGACATTCCCAAAGGGCAAACCCTGTATATTCTGGGTAGACCTTAATGTCAGGCTGCCTGTGCCCACTCCACCCTTATTCCTGGGCTCTGATGCAAGCTGGACTTGGCTGACCTGAGCAGCTGACTCTCACGCCTGTCCATGTCTGCTCTAAATCGCAGGTTTCGCCAGGGCTCCAAAGAGTCGCAACTTTAAGAGGAGCCAAGGACAATGCTCCAAACAAGCAGGCGCCCTTGCAGCAAAGTCAAGAGACAAGACATCTGCTTAAATATTGTTTGAGAAAACTCTACTCTTTCTCAAAACCCCTGGCAGGAGCAAGCCACAACTGCAGTCAGCCAGAGTGGCTCTCGGGGTTACTAGCAGAAGCTAGTTCTTTCCCTCAGCATCTCTGTGCCAGGATCCCCCTTCCCTTGAGGCAGGGGATGTAGCAGCCCTCTCTCCGAGCATGTCTCTGGACTCCAGGAGAGTAGCAAATGCCACGCAATACAGCATCTCAGTGTCTGAAAACCCACACCTCCCCACGGGACCTAGGGCACCTGCCGGGACTGTCAGGAGCTGATGGCATGGGCTGTAGAGGGACTGCACAGACCGTCAAGGTAAGTAAAGCCTCACAGAGTGGAAGGCTGGGTGCTTACATGCTGGTAACTGTAGCCCTGCAGGAGTAGGAGGTGAGGGGACTGGTAGAGGGAGTACCGCACACTGCTGCCATTCCGCTCTGCCGTGGGGGCCTGCTGCCCATCCCTCGAGCTCTCCAGGCCGCGGATGGTCTCGGGCAGCGTGGAGTAATGTCTCTTGAGCTGCTCCTCCTCCTCCAGAGAGCCCACATGACTGAGGCTGGTCTCACTCACGCTGCGTCGGAGGGTTGGTGGCGTGGAGTGTCGCTTGCATCCCGTCAGCAGGGTCATGGTGCCCTTCGCACGGTTCCTCTGCAGCTTCCGAGCCTGGGCATTAATGCCTAAGGACGAGAGCAGTGTTCAGTGCTGGGGCATGCAAAGAGCTGCCCTGTCTTTCTGCCCTCTGTCAGTCCCGCTTGGGGAATAACAAAAGTGAGTGTTGGCCCTGGGACCAACATTCAGCCAGCAACTAAGCCAGCCATGCCCCAGATACCAAAGTGTGGGCTCTCTGAACACGCTTTCACTCCCTAGGCCTGGCTTCACCCTGCCAAATAAGGGCCATGGAGATCTCTCATTCTATTAATCCTTGGGCCACCATTTTATCTCCAGACACTCCTTCATCACTGCCCAAACACATGCCTTCTAGTCAGCTGCTACCATAGATGGAGCCATAAGAGAACCCTAGCGTAGCAAAGACATGTTCCCAGACATCACACAAACTGCCTTTACATCCTGTCTGTACTCCCCTGGTCAGACTCTGCCCAGAACCCGCTGTCACCTGCCCCAGGATCACAGGGCACTGAAAATCCTACAGTCCCCTAGAATCTGGGGCTGCAGCTGGACTATGTCATTTGCCATCTCCAAGCCAGCGGGCCAGCATATTTAAATCATCATAAATAGCTGCATCGCTTGCGAGACTGAACAGCAGAGGAGTTCTTAAGAAAGGACCCTGAGTCATATTCTGTCTGGAGATGAAAACTCCAGCATCTTCTCGCAGCTTTGACCTGCAGAGGATTAGCAAAATGTTGTTTAAAGCCCCTGGAAACTCACCACAACGTTCAGGAACCAGGAGGGGAAAGGGACGGTATCCCTCCAAAACAAACGAGCCCAACCCCCACCACTAATCCCCACTCTTTCCTGAGCAGCTGGACCCATAGAACTGGAAGCTTTTAAGGGCTAGACACTAGCTCTTGGAAGCAAATACAAACAAGTTCGGAGCCAACTTCACCCTGCTAATCAATGAGAGTAACTTCCCAGCCCCACCCCACAGCCTTCCCATTCCCTCCACAAAATGGTCTCTTGAAATATCCTCCCACCTTACTTGGGAGCAGCCAGGATCCATCTCAAATCTGCAGCATCTTTTTACCAGCTGGCCCAAGCCACACAAGGTGGAAAATACACTGATCGAAAACAAACGAAGGCCAGAATGCAGAGTGACAGCCCGGGGGCTTCATTCCTTACCATGCAGCCAGCAGGCAGGGTCCACTGAGGGTCCTGCTCCCTGCACCATTGGCTAAGTGCACCTGGCTGTGAGTGGGGTGTGAGCGCTGATTGCCAGGACCTGCAGTCTGCAGTGAAAAGCCTGCCTGCCTGCCGCAGAGCAGAGCTGTAATTAAGTTCTCACAAGCATCAATTCAGGAGAGCTGTCAGGAAGACAAATGGGGACTAGAGCTAGTGTATAAATAGGCCCAAACGGCCAAACCCAAACCCGTCCTGCTCAGCCTGACTGGATTCCCCACGGCAGAAACAAGCCAGCATGCCAGAGTCCCTCTCTATGCTGGAAACATCACTGATTGGGCACAAGTTCTGGAAAAGAAAAACAGGAGAAGTTGTGAATGCTGTCTGGAATCCTCAGACCTTTCATCCGGGGTTCCCAGGAGCAGAAAGGTCGGCTGCACGCTCGTTTGTTGATTAACGTAGGAGCAGAATGAAAGGGTCTACAAAATTCTGTTTCACGATTAATGCAACAGCATAATTTAATTTAAAGCAACAGCAGAGTTGTTAAAACAAAAAGCAAGAATCCCCATCTTCTGGATTCCTCCTGCAGTTTTCTAGGGGCTGTTGGACCACGCACCAGACATCTGCAGAATACAGGCTCTCCCCAGCAGGAACTCAGTCAAACTCCAGCTCACTCGGAGAGGCACCAACCATATCCCTCTGTTCAGAATGGAGCAGCACTCTGAACTGGAGAGGCGAGCTCAGCAGTCGGCTGCTTAAAGGGACACTCTCGAGGTTAGACCCAAAATGCCACCTTCCTTATTTGGTGAGGAACCGACTCTGGGTTCTGAAGTACATTTTTTGTTTGTTTGTTTTGAGACTATCGCTCCTTTGCTGGGAAAATGAAGTAGATGAGGGCGGGGGGAGAAATCAGCCCTACTGTTTACATGCCTTAGGATTAGGACAGGGGATGGCCACACAGCTGAGAGAGTTCTGAAACATGGCCCGCTGCCATCTCAGAGCAAGACGGGGCAGCGCATGTTAGGACGTGGCCTCCACGGGCTGTGCTTCCGTACTGGAACAGGTGCAGAGAAGAGCTAACAGGAGGCTCCAAGGAGTGGAAAACCTACTTTATAAGAGGAGACTCAAGGAGCTTGGCTTGTTTAGCCTAACCAAAAGAAAGCTGAAGGGAAATAGGATTGCTCTCTATAAATACATCAGAGGGATAAATACCAGGGAGGAAGAGGAGTTAAGTTTAAATTAAGTATCAGTGTGGACACAAGAACAAATGGCTATAAACTGGCCATCAACAAGTTTAGGCTCGAAATTTGGTGAAGGTTTCTAACCATCAGAGGAGTGACGTTCTGGACCAGCCTTCCCAGGGGAGCAGTGGGGGGCAAAATACCTAACTAGCTTCAAGACTGATCTTGATTAGTTTATGGCGGGGGCGGTATGTGATGAGACTGCCTACAATGGCATGTGGCCCGTCAGTGACTGCTAGCAGCAAATATCTCCAATGGCAGGTGATGGGACACTAGACAAGGAGGGAACTGAGTTACAACAGAGAATTCTTTCCCAGATGTCTGGCTAGTGGATCTTGCTCACATGCTCAGGGTATAATTCAGTGGTCCCCAAACTTTTCAGGGTTCCCCCCCTGCCTGTGCCCCCTCAGGAGCCGGGACCATGGCTTGAGGGGAGGAGGGGAAACGTCGACAGGGGTAAGGGGGCCAAGGCTGGAGTCATGGCTGGAGGCAAGTCTGGGGCCAGGACCAGGAACGGAGCCATGGCCAGGGGCCCAGGCGGGGGTTGGAATTGGGAGCCAGTACTGCAGCTGGGGGCAGAGCGGGGCTCCCTCCACACCCCCCATGAGGGCTGGCCCAGGCCTGCTATGCCATGAATGTTTCTCTGTATCCCCCCGATTTGGGGACCACTGGTCTAACTGATCTCCATATTTGGGGTTAGGAAGGAATTTTCCCCTGGATCAGATTGGTAAAGATCCTAGAGGTTTTTCATCTTCCTCTACAGAATGGGGCACGGGTCACTTACAGGTTTAAACTAGTGTAAATGGTGGAGTCTCTAACCTGAAGTCTTTGAACCATGATTTGAGCATGTTAGTAACTCAGCCAGAGGTTACAGGTCTATTACAGGAATGGGTGGGTGAGGTTCTGTGGCCTGCAATGTGCAGGTGGTCAGACAAGATGATCATGACGGTCCCTTCTAACCTTAAAGTCTAAGAGTCTATACCAACTGCAATCTGCACTTGGGTTTCTGGCAACTGGCCGATGCAGCCGCTCAGCTGGGCAAACCGTGGATGCCTTTGCCTTAGGACTGCTCAAAAAACAATATTTCATGCTTTTGTGGATCTACAGCAGACACTTCACTAACAAACTAGTCTCAGAGCTCTGCTGGCATCACCCAGGACTCAAAGACTGCTGCACAAAAAAGGAAGCATATAAGAAGGGGGAAGGGGGGGCAGTTCAAAAAGAGAAACAGCTGAGAAAGGAATGCTATTTTCCAGTTTCTAAGAGGGTAGAACAAGGAGCTATTGAGAACCTATGAAACATACAATCCTGTGTAGCAGTATTCGCGATTTTTATACTGTGTAGGTTGCAGACACAAGACGACATTATCACACGTGAGTAAGAGCAATATTCTATCCAGCAGAGGGCAGGGGCGTCACCCGTCAATGTAATGCCTTATGATACAGAAAATACTCTGAATTCCTATGGTACCTTCCCTATGAGGATCCCAAAGCACTTTATAAACAGGACTCCCCTGAACAGTAAGTATTATCCCCATTTACAGAGGAGGAAGTACAGGCACAAAGAGATGACGTGTTTACCCAAGGAAGCTCGTGACGGAGCCTGGACTAGAACCCATCTTCCCTAGTGCCAGGACATCCTCACCTAGAAAGTCCAGCTCCCTAGACAAATGGAGAGAATCAACAAACAAAACATACAAAATACTTGATTGCAGCTCCCTGAGGCATGAACCAGCGTGGGAGCCCTCTCCTGGCATGGGTACAGAAATGTGGTGGAGAGATATTGTCTTGCCATCTGGAGTCCCAACTCTTAGCCCACTGTGAGGCAACAATAAAGATTTTCTAGCCCGCGAGCAGAATGGGAGACATTACACCTCCAACGATAAATTAAGCCCCAGATTCCTTTCCTGCATTAGTCCCTTCAGGGCATCCTGTGCCGCACATGAGATAACCAGTTCTGCACTCCCCATCTTAGGCCTTATCCCTGCTATTGGCCAGGATTGGATTGGCAGCAGTACTCTCATTTGTGTCAGATTTGTGTTTCCCCTGCGCGCCCTATCCTGAGCAGCACTTTTCACCTTGTTCTTTACATGCAACGCTCAGCACCTGGGCAGTGCAGGAGCCAGCCCTCAGTCTGGCTTTCTCTTCTCCCTAGGGATACAAGCTGGAGGGCTTGGCTGTGGAGAAAATGAACTGCCCCTTTTCTGTCTACCAAGGGCAGCTCTTGTGGGGTCAGGCTGTAGAAAGGGGGCCTGGGGGAGATTACCATCTGTCTGCCTGAATGATTACACACACACACACACACACACACACACACACACAACCAGAGACATGAATGTTCAGAGTTTTCTTATCTAGAGGAAAGGAAGCTTCTGTGTTTACTTTGTGTTACAAAATCAACTAGGAAAAAGCTGCTTTTTACTCTAGATAGAGCCTCTGTCATAGGCTCTGTTCTAAACTCCCGAGCCACAGAGGGAAAGATAAACACAGCTCTTTTCCTGAACGTAACAAATGTAACAAAGTCCTTCTATAACTGGGTTATTTTTCTAACCCTCTGGTACTGTTCCCCCACTCCCTTGGTATGACAGGCATCTCAAGGGCATCAGGCTCAGAGGAGCTCCTGGCAGTTTGCTTTTATATACC